ACCGAGGTGCACAAAACAGTGCCTTTTCAAGTCTTCAGCCAAGAAACCTTTTATGGCTCTCCGATTGTTCTTGAAGATGTCGGTGATGGTCACTTTTTGGGATTTGATATTGATGTCCGAAACCGAACTATTTATTATAACCAGCCCAAGTTCCTTTGGCAAGTTCGACATCCCATGAGTGCAGGCAGCGAACGATTGCTGGTGTCAGGTGCGAAGTCGAGAATCTCTCTTATCCGTAAGTACACTTGGCCAACGTGCCAAGCAGAAGTCGCCGTTCATACCTTTGTACGGTGGTTAGCGAACCTCGGATACCCATTTCGCCTGTGTGAAGCCTTGATGAAACGATAAAAGCGGCTTGCAATCAGATGACAGTCGTCAGCAGACCTGCAAATGTTAGCGAAGTTGATACGTGTGTACTCGCCTAGATTCAATCGGGTCAACCGAAAGCGAGAGATCACAGTGACGAGCAAGGGATACGCAAGCGGATTGCAAGGGATGTGCAAGCGGATTGCAAGTGACGTGCAAGTGGACTGCAAGTGACATGCAAGGGTATGCGAGGTTTGTGCAAGTGCAATGCAAGTGATTCGTGGCAGTGTCTTGCATACAATGTGCCCGCTTAAGATCTTTTAATTGCCGTGTTCAGTTCCAGCATTCGGCTTTCAGCGGTACACGCCATGTCGGATCGATCCCGATCGCGTTCTCCGACTGTTTCGTGGCGATTTTATTGGGTGAAAAATCAAGGACCCAATGGCAATGAAACGTGGTGGAAATCTTGGTTTCCCGCCACCTCTCGCTGGATTTCGGATCGTCTGGCTGCTGACAATCAGTGGCACCGAACTTCTCAGACGACTTCTTCGGTGGACTTGAACCTCCCTACTGAGAGCGCTAATTCTTTGTCACCCCGAAAACGCAAGCGAGATGCATCACCGTAAGAGCATTTATCATGTTGGAACAGCAGACGACTTGTCTGCTTAATTCGTTTTCCCAATTGACATTTTTGGGACAATCATCATTCCTGGATTAGAGCGCCTGCACCACTGAAGTGGAACCGTCTTTGCGCATTGCAAAACAGCGCGTAGGAGCATTACGCTCGGTTTTATGCCTTTTTCTTCATTTCTCTCTCCCCTCTCTCTCTCTGTCTCTCGGGAAGCCGAAGGAGTTTTTCTTGTTTACTCATGTGATGCCGCCAGCCGTTTCCGTCTTGTTTTCTCGGCACACCGATATGGCTTCCAGTCAAGACAATGGGGTACCATATGACGATCTTCCTGATGATGCCAGCTCCTGGTCTTCCGCTTTCGATCCTCCCAAAGACTCGGCACCCACAGAGGTGGCGTCTTGGGTTAAGAAGTCCTCCAACAAGTGCAAGAAGACCAAGAAGTCCAAGAAGTCAAAGAGGGTGAAAAAGGACCGGTTACTAAACAAGTCTCCGAAGTCGACGAAGTCTAAGAAGGAAAAACGTGAGCGTTCACCTGTTCCTTCTGAAGCAAGCGATATCACGCTTGGGGATCCGATGCAGTTTCACCGAAATCCTGGAGCACGGTCAAAAGCTTGTGCAAAAATGCTGATCAGAGCTAACCTCCGCTGTGCTTGCCATTTTTGGTATGTTGCACAGTGTCCCAACCGAAACGTTTGATTCTTTTTTGATTTGGTCACCGGGAGTGTACAGGATTACATGTCACTTGCTGAAAAACTACCAGAGCAAGAGTTGTGCCCCCGTGTCCTGGAGTACGAGTTCTTCGTTCAAGCAGAGTGAAACGTGAGCAGTTGCGTCCGTGTGCCAGTGTCACTGCAAGGGTGTTGCAAGGGATGTGCAAGGGACGTGCGAGTGACGTGCGAGGGACGTGCAAGGGATGTGCAAGTGACGTGCAAGTGATGTGCAAGCAAGTGTTAGTGCTGAGCATCGCAGTGTTTTCGGCCAAGAGACGAGATCATCTGAGTAAGCAAGCATGCCGACGGTGCCACCTTCGGATCCTAACATCGATGAGTTCCTGAGAGCGCTCACTCATTCAGCGCGTGTGAGATTGCTCAACTTTGTATCACGACCACAACTTCGTCAAGCTCTCGTACTTCAGTTGACAGCTTTTGTGCGTGACGGGACAGAAAGAATGCTGCAGCAAGAGTTGCGTCGCTTGGATGAGAGGGATAGAGCAAACCTGCGTGAAGAACGCCCTAGCAGTAGCGGAGCTTCAGGATCACGTTCGTCCAGATCCCACCCCTATGCACCTCCATCCTCTCTGCCAATATCGAGGAGTACACCGAGTGCAGGCAGCGACAACCCTTCGTCCAGTTCTGCACCTCCCTCCCTCCCTCCCCCTGGCCCTCCCCCTCTTCCCCCTCCTCCCCTCCCTCCCCCTCTTCCCCCTCCCTTCTTCCCCCCGCCCAGTACCAGTGCTCCTGTCTTTCCACCCCCAGTGCCACTAGCAAGCTTGGCGCATCGTGTGTCTGAACCTCCTTTGGTGTCCAATGCTGCTTCGTCGTCGGCCGCACCTACATCTTCAGCCGCGTCAGGTACTCCGATTAGATCCAAACCTATGCCTACCAGAAGACGTGTATCACGCCGACGGCGACGCAGTCAATCTTCTGATCTTAGCTGAGTATGACTGATGTGACAGGATTTCACTTGTATCTGTAACGCATGCGAGTGCTGAAGTGAGAAAAGCTGTGCCGTGGACGCCAGTGCTGAGAGTACTCGTTTATTCGTGTTGTGGTACACACCAGAACAGTGTTGCAGCACCCTGCTCAAGTCTCGTTCCATTGCGCTAATGTCGAGCAACTCAGCGTGCGATCCGTTGGCACCTCTTCAACGCTGGATTTCCTACACACAACAGGAGCTGATCACAATCAGAGGTGAATTCCGTCATTTTCGTGAAGAAGCATTGTCCGTCCAGAAGATCCAACAAGCTCAACTCGACGTGCTCACCACACAAATCAGGGACACTGAGGCTCAGGTGGCGGAAGTTATGTCCGCCACCACAGAACTGTTTCAGAAACTTCAGAAGACCAACGAAGTGGTGGGGAACTTGCTGACGGATTTGAATTCTCTTCAATCTGTGACTACTCATTGCGTTAATTCTCTTCAACTTCAAGAAACAACAGAGTTGCCCCCAACACTTCCAGCAGAAATTGAAGTCTCAGAGTGAAACGAGAGCAGTTGCAAACAAGCGTTTGTGAGCCAGTGTCAGTGCAAGGGTGTTGCAAGGGATATGCAAGAGACGTGCAAGTGACGTGCAAGGGATGTGCAAGAGTTTCTGCATGGGACGTGCAAGTGACGTGCAAGGGATGTGCAAGAGTTTCTTCATGAGCCGTCTTGAGTTGCAGCATTTGACATCCAGTGCAAGTGTGTAGGTTGTCCATCATGAAGCGCAAGGCTAGCGAAGCCAATTTGCCTTGGAGTACCAGCCGCGACTACAATTTTCGGATGTGGGTTCGTGTATGCAGTCGGGCAACCGGACACGAGACTATTATTCTCCACATCCAGTTGTCAATCAACGATTCCATCAACGTTGCCAAATACCTTGTCGCGATGCAGCTTTGGGAGAAGTTCGGCTGGTGGCCTAGGTTGCACACCTTCCAGCTTGTACAAAACTTTCGTCACCTTCGATTTACAGAACCTGTTACGACTGCTCAAACCCTCGAACCAGTCGATTTCGTCGTTACGGTATAAAAAGAGCCCACCTCTTTGTCAAGTCAAGAGCAGTGACGTGCAAGGGATGTGCAATCGGAATGCAAGTGATGCGCAAGTGAATTGCAAGTGATATGCAAGGGTGTGCGAGGTCTGTGCAAGTGCAACGCAAGGAGTGTGCAGTTTTGCTTCAAGCATTTGGAAAATTGTGTAGACCCCGAACATCATGGATTGGGCTGCTTCTGATGTGCTCGATAACGTCTTGATGTACGTAATGCCGATCAGAACCAGAATCACATTCATCACCCGTCTCGATCCAGATGATGACTTTGAAGAGGCACAACCCATTACTGACACCATGGTGGCGTACACCTTTCTGCGACGTGGGATACAGGAGTTTCGGCTGTCCTCTTCGACTAAGTGGACCATGGGTTTTCAGTCTCTGCATACCACCATCCGTTTTGCACAAATCAATGTCGTGGCATGCACCATGTTGAGCAGCCCGTCAAAAACGTGGATGAGAGCTGTCGTAGGTCTAGTACAGGAGCGTTTGCGAGTGAGTATCGTGTCACTAGCCAGCGTTGCGTACCAAACTGCAACTCAATGTTGCATGTACTTTGATGCCGATGCGGAAGAAGCAGAAGTTGAATTGCACTTAGTGCACAGACTGCGCTTCCTGAGGTTTCGTAGCCCGCTCTCCTAGGTGTCTTGAGCATAAGACTCTCCCATGAATTTCAGTGAAAAAGCAGCAATGGATGTGCAAGGGACGTGCAAGTGACGTGCAAGGGACGTGCAAGGGATGTGCAAGTGACGAGCAAGGGACGTGAAAGCTTCTACAACGAGCCCAGTCGGGCTTGTGTGTGTCCATCCCTGTTCCGAAGGGCTGATTGTGTGTCATGCAGGGGGGCAGTGGACATTCTGGAAGGCACTGCCCAACGAAGACCTTTCCAGTTTGTCGTGATATGGATTGGGGACGCTCAATCCACGTACCTGCTTAGTTTTTACAAGTCTTTTCCGATGGCACGGGGGCCAAGCCACAAACCCCTTTCCGAGCAGTGTTTGAGTGAGGGCTTGCATTGGTCAGTTTCTTACTCAGTTCCTGTTCAAGAGTTTGCCTGTGAATGCGACAGTCATGAGTGAGGGTTTGCACATGTCAGTCTTACATGAGTGATTCGAGTCTGTCCTATGGTAGTACTTCAGATTGTATGTTCTGACTTTCTCGTGCAGCCTCTGACTTTCCCTGACAGCTGCTGACTTTCCCTGACAGTATGCATCGACAGATCAGACCTGCGACACGATGTGTCAAGTGTGTGTGCGCGTGATTCAGGGCTGAGGAATCCGTTTCCGCGACGTGACCTGGAGCTCATGAAACTTCTGCCTCGGCGAGGGTGCGCACGAGGCGCAGCAGTCGCGTCTCCATGGTGGAGGGATCCGTCGAGCCGGGTTCGCACTTGGCCAAATCCGCTTCGATGTTGGTGACCTATGGACGAAAGAGGCATCGCTGGTTGAGGACCTGACTGGGGGTTCTTCTCTCAGGCCCATGCCAGATCCGCCAACACACGCATGAGGTCCGCTCGGACCATGGTGAGGTGTTCCTCAGCTCAGCTGTGACAAGTGGTGATTACAAGCATCCTACAGTACTCTGCCGCGCCCCCCCCCCGCCTGCGAGGCAGCCAGAGCCACGAGAATCTCACCCGCCATTTGGAAGGTGTCTGCCTTCAGAAGGCATGGGTCTCAGAGTCTCAGACAGCCAACTGCACTGCTTTACTCGCCTCTCCAGTGGATCCGTGGCCGCTTCCCGCTTGGCAGAGGAAGTGGCACAGTGCCAGGACCTCGCAGCCGAAAGTCACAAGCCAGACTCAGACGCAGGAGTGCCATGTGTGGTCACCTGGCAGCTGAGGCTTCCACGCTCTCTTGGGACAGCACGGCGTGCATGTTTTTGTTGATCACCGTCCAACCTCGGCGGCTCCACTGGTGTCAAAACCTCCGCCCTTAGGACCATCGTAGACTGCGACACTCGCGACCTGCTCAGGCAGCCTTGAAACTTCCTCTATTCTGCAACATGATCAAGCCCCTCTTCGGGACGTCGGCCAGCAGCTTCAAAGCACTACTGCTGCGCATGCCCCGCTCACATGCCGCGACTGCCAGCTCTGCGGTGATCATGTTTCCTGCTGTCCAAGCAGCAAGCTGGCCGAACAGTGACAGTGCACAGCGCCAGTGGCTCACGGCGACCGACGCTTTCAAAGCTGCAGAATAAGTTACCAGCGTCGCCTGTATCTGAAGCTGATGCAGCTCCTGGAATAAAGACATCGCCGTGCTCCACCGGCATGCTTGCTGACATGCACTTAAAGCGGCGCTATAAATAACCACATCCGGTTGCAGCTCAGATTGGACCAGGTCTCTAAGACATGCTACCGCCAGCTCCCAGAGTCCCGCATTCTCGTAGGCACTGACCAGTGCACTGTAGGTGATGACATTACCGCGTAAATTGCGACGCACCAGGTCTCTGAACAGATGTATGGCTTGCTGCCACAAGCCGCGCTTCTCGCACGCGCTCATGGCTGTGCTGTACGTTACAACGTCTGCCCGCACTTTCTGAGCATCAGTTTGCCACAAAAGCCAGAGGGCCCACTGCCACTCACCACTTTTCTCACATGCACTGATGGCAGAGTTATAAACGATCACATCTCTTTGCACCACAGCAGTTTGCATGTCTGCAAGAAGCTGCAGAGCTTGCAGCCATCTAGCAGCCTTTTCGCAGGAGCTTACAGCAGCGCTGTAAACTATCACGTCGGATTCCAGGTGTATCTCCTGCAATCGTGAAAGCAACATCAAAGCAACCGTCCAGGAATCCATCGATTGGCAAGAACTGATCGTCGAACTGTACGTGACGAGGTTCCCCCTCAAGAGCGCGGTGCTTAGCCCATTCAAGAGTTGCAGAGCCTGCTGCCACTGCAATTCCGGTCGGTTGCGCTCACAGGCAGCGATGGCTGAACCGTATGTGAAGACTGAGGCTTGCAATCTGCTAATCTGAATCTGTCGCAGCACCTGCACGGCCCATTTCCAGTCGCCACGCGTGCAGGACAAGGCTGAGTTGTAACTTCGGATCGCCACTGACCGGTGAGACTCGAGATGTGTCAGGAGTGAGAGAGCCGATATCCATCGCCTGCAGGTCTTAACCGAGCTCGGCTTCGAGTCATTGCACACCCCACTTCCAACTTCCGGCTGCCTGGGTTGAATGGTGTGACAGTCGTACCGGCGCGGGTCTCGTGCCACGCCACGGAAGCCCAGGCGAGAGAAACTTGAGCCAGGGTCATCATAGTTCTCGATACACATAAGACCTCCCAAGCATTGGCTGAAGGATCCCATCGCATCCTGGCTGACATACACATGCCCACGAATTCCACAAACTGCTTCCCGCACGCCTAACACCTGCTGCGTCCCACGTTCCTCTGCTTTGCTGCCGAAGCAACATCTCCCGCCGGAAAGGATGACATGATTCAGCATGGCACAACAAACTTCTGGGTTCGCCACGCTCCAAGCTCTGCTGCTCTGCGGGCGGATCTTTCTTGGTCTTCCCGTCCTGGCTCGAGTATCAGATGTCTGCCAAAGCTGAGAGATGCCAAAGAGCATTGCAGCACCTTGTCCTCCTCCTCCTCGCCGGGCACCTTGGGAGTTGCCTTCAATAACCAAGTTTGACTGAAAACAACATCTTGCGTGCTGTCACCAGTCTACCGACATGCCGTTTTGGCTCGGGGACATGTGTCGGTTTGGCTTCTCTTGTCTACAGTACCTGCTAAGCACGGCAAACAGGCCTCATCCTGTCCTCCTGACGCTTCTGCAGACTTGTCGTCCTTCTTTCCCTGGTCCGCAAGTCAATACTCAAGCCGCAGCATCGTCAAGGGGTATGTACGGCCTTGACGGGAACCAGCAGCGAATGGAGGATGGCAAGAAGCCACGCCTTTTGCTAGGAAGAATGCTGCAGACCAGAGCTTGACGCCTGCAAAACTCCTGCAATGCGACTCGCTGCTAAGCGTTGCTGAACATGACACTATTCAACTCTCCCGAAGCGAGATGAGCGACGAAGCAGACCCTGTATGGGTTTCGGACTGCATGCCGTGAGGAGGCGAGGAACAGCCTCGACAAAGGGTACGGAAGTCTTGGAGGCGCTGGCGAGCAAACGACCGTGACGGCGTGGAGATGCAGCAACCGGGTGCCGTGCTTGGTCGTCAACAGCCGGAGTAGGACATTGACCTGTGGCGAAGCTCTGCTGTGATCTGCAAACTTATGTGCAAGGGCCATGCCCACTGCAGCTTCCGATTGGGCCATGACTGAGTGATGCCCAATGAGGCTTGAAAGCTGGCCGCCAGTGACAAGTGCTGCCTCACCCTGCAGGCATTTCTGATTCGAACATCAGACTCGGCCACATCGCCCCATGAAGGCTGCATGCTGCAACGACCTCCAACCACGGCTCCTTCTGAAGAGGCTTGGCAAAAAACTCGCCGCACCTCGTCGCATTGCAGACTTCAAGTTGGAGTGAGCGAGTACATACTCTGGTTCAAACCACCAGCCGTTGAAGATCTTCAACAGAGTGACAGTGGAGGATTGACATGATGCATATATATATATATATATATATACACATATACAAATATGTAACTGTATAAACACGCACACATACATGTATGTACGTATGTATGCATGCACGCATGTACACACGCGTGTATGTATGGATGGATGAATACATGTACGCATGTATGCGCCTTAATCATTCATGCATTTTCACTGAACACATGTTTGTAAGCTTGCATATATCGTTATGCACAGATAGCTAGAGATATACATAGGCAGATGGATCATCAGACAGACAGACAGACAGGTAGGTAGGTTGGAAGTAGGTAGGTGGATCAATCGATAGATAGCCAGATAGATAGGCAGACAGATAGAGAGAGAGAGAGAGGGTGATAGATAGAAACCTACACTGAAGTAATTAATAGCTTGATGGACAGAGAGAGATAGTTCATCAGACACTTGCTTGAACTCACTGTAAGGGTCCCCGCTGAGGGATGCGTCTGAGCAGATAGGCCAAGATCTGAAGGACCTGAGGTCAGGCGAAGAAGTCTCAGTGCCTGAGATCCGACAGGTTGGCCCCGTATTGCGACGCTCCGAGGCTCGCGGCCCGCTGGGCTCCCACTGCCTCCAGTTCTACCAGCAACCCCAAATCCACTAAACAGCATGCAGGAGAGCGCACAGCAACAGGTAAAACTACTGAACATGACAAGTGAAACGAATAAGCCCGTGCAACCTTCGGTGGCTTACAGGTGCGCCTTCACCTCCGTGGCATTGGAGATTGGCCCGTTCTCAAGTCCTGCCACAGAGCTTTCTTGGAGATGCTCGTTGCCCCTTCCTCACCCGGCCTTCGTAGAGGTGCGCCGGTGGAAGCGATGTCTCGCTGCATCCGACGGCCTCCAAACCCGAATCTGTTTCTGAAAAAGAGGCGACGTGGAGTCTTTCAGCCACCATGGCAAATCGCTGCTTCATTGCTTGCACAAGAAACGACAACCTTACCGTCGATGACTCACCAGACCGAAGCAATAGTTTTATTGCCAGGCCTGCGGCTCCTTCACAAGGAGAACCTGCAGCAGAGCTATTGCGGCGTCTCGTGAATCGCGACTGCGACCAAAAAAGCAAACTTCGTGTCTGACTTTCATCTCTGAAGTTGCCTGCTGTGCTTGTGTACATCAGTACATGTGGTGCTGCTAGGTTTGGTCGAGTCGGAAAGTTTCCAATACCAGTTTTCAAGCAGCGGCAGCATCACGCACAGCAATCGATGTTTTTTCGATCATCTGGGGCGAGCACCAGGAACTGTCCCAAGGTGAACTGTCGGGTTGCTGGATGCAGCGACAAGTTGAAGAAGAGCCGCGTCAGCGGAGTCACGGTCACCTGAACGGACGCAAAGTGAAACTTGAAGTGGGTCGGTTTGCTGCCGTTGCTGCCCGCCTCGTGGCGAAGGTAAAGAAGCTGGCAGACCTGCCGGCGAAATGAAAGTACTCGGCGTCACTTTCCGCCTGCGTGGCTCTCCGCCTTGGGGAGAGCCGAGGGCGGCAGCGGCGGCTCCAGGCCCTGAGAGAAGAAGGATGCGAGGCTTCGATTCCTTCTCCTCTTCATTTTGATTCGATGCTCGCCTGGCCTGGCAGGATTCCTCATCGTAGTCAGCGAGGCGCTCTAGGAGAGCACGGTCAGCCTCGAAAATGATGCTGCCCATGCCGCCATGGCCCACTGAAGACCTAAGGCTCCCCACCTCGTCGAAGGAAGAGAGGCCCGGAGTTCCCACACCTTTGCCAACTTTGCCAACTTCAGCGATGCAGAGATGTTCCGGTCAGTTGGTCGGAAAGCATTGTTAACCACGCACAACATCTCACCTCTGCGTGGCAAGCAGAGCCACAAAACGAGACAGGCGCCAGCACCGGTAGCAGCGACCAGTGGCGCAGCCTGCCGCAGAAGAAGAGTCGTACCGAGCGCTGCCCTGCAAACTCATGTTCGCCTGTCGACTGCGAGAGCCGCCCAGTGCCAGGCCAAGCTGCGCCATGAAATCGTCACTGGCCTTCCAAGGACGCTGCAGTTGCTACCCTGGGTAGTGCACCACCTGCACTCTTCACCCCTGCACATCGCAAGCACGTAGATTCTTGGATGCATCATGCCTGTCTGAGACGGCCATCTGTTCCATGCAGCCAGGCACGACGACCTGTACAGGGCTGGAACCTCTTGCTGACAGGCTTCTCCACACAAGGCTCATGAGACATCTTCTGCCTCCGGCCAGTTGAGACAGCTGCTGCTCCATTGCCTGTCAGGTTGTAAGGCAAAGAAATTGTAAGACTCTGCCGCAGGTGCAGCAGAGTCGGCGCATAATCCGAACTCGCATGGCCATTGATGCTTAAGATTGGCGTGGGCAGCATCGCAGAAAAGTCCTACCCCAGATCCTGCCTGCAAATACTGGTGCGGACGCCCCGGAGGTGTCGTCGACGGCTGTGGTCTCGGAGCCTCAGCTTCTGAGTCACGGGTAGAGTGCAGCCTGGCACATTGCGCCTCTTCTTAAAAACGTTGGGCCAGAAAAGTTCTCAAGCTTTCTAAGATGTAGACCAAATAAGTCAGGTCCAAAAGTTTAAAGAGTTCTCCCATGGGCTATCTAAGTTCTCGCTCTTAGCTTGGGCGTTCGGCTCTTATGACTTATGGTCTGGCCTTATGGCCAGGTCAACTCCATTCTTGCAGCACGCACAGGCCCTTGCACGGACTTGCGGGGGCGGCTGCGTCGGTGGGGGGCCCTCGCAAATTGTGGTATCCGTCTTTCTCAAGACGAAAGAGGTTGCAGTGCTTCCGGCATCTTCCGGCCTCCCGATGGCTGGCAATGCGCATGAAGGCGCGGTCGCGGATCATCTGGGCCTCAACACCAAATTTAAATGCGAAAGGCCTTTCCAAGAAGCCGTCTGCTTGCAGCAGCGGGCCTCTGCCACCAGCTCTGCAGGCAGAGTTTGCAGCACTTCCTAAGACTTTCAGGTGCTGACACATCCGCATGTCACAGAGCAAACTCCTGCAGACCCATTCGTTTCACCTCGTTTCACCCTGAGGCTTGCGGCCTCTGGGGCAGTCATCAGGACCTCTTCCCGGAGCATGGGGTCCAACCTGAAACGAGAAAGTGCTGCAGACACCCGAGGCAAAAGGGTTCATGCGGGAATACCTTTGCTTGTCGCTAGACCAAGCCCTAGCCGCAGCTGATCCGCTCTCTCGCCAAGCGCCGGAGGCTGGGGCCCTGACGATGCTATGAAAGAGGCGTTGTCCATGTCACCGCCTGAGTGGGAACTAAGGCTCGGGTCCGTGCCCTTGCAGATGCAAGTGGCTGGAGGATGCAGGAGGGTTCAGGCACAATTCTAGAGCATTGGGTTGCTGGCTCATGACATTGGCAGCAGCAGGGGCCTCAGTTCTTGCATTATGTCAACAACCGCATCAGCCAGCCAACAGCTTGGACCACCTCTTTCACATGCTCTTCTTGCATGCCTGGCCTGTGGGGCTTGCGCTTGGGTGGCAGCGGCTTCAGTTGCCCGTTGCTGGGCACGCTCCTTTTCGTGGCAAACGCAAGTTAGAAGAAACCCCGTCACAACACGAGCCGGGCGCCCACAAAAGGCGTGAGAAATTCTCCTGCTCACGCCGCCGCCTTTCCTCCTCTCTCATGACCTGAAGAGAAAGCATCCTTTGGGGAAGCAGTCATACCGACACCTGTGCGTTTTCAGAGTCGCGGCGGCCTCTTCTCGGATCTCGGGCGGGAGAGCCTCTAGGACGGAAGCATCGATCTCGTCGTAGCCTGGTACAAGTCTAAAATGCATAAAGATGCAACATGCCGAGCGCCCTTCCTCGTGAATGCGCTCCTGATTCTCTGATGTCGGGTTGCTACCATTACAAGAACTCCGAACCTGACACATCGGGTGGGACACCGGCCCCAAGCAGCTCTCAATGCCCCGACGTCTAGTTCGAAACATCCCAACCCTTCGGGGACTTGTTTTGCATGTGTCTGTGTCTGTGTGCATGCGAAGGGCTAGGAACAGTGTTACGGCACAAGCAGCAACAAAGGAACAAAACCACAGCGGCAGAATCACCACCAGCATGGGAAGTTAGATCGCAGGCTGACTAGTACTGCCAGGGGGAGGTAAACATACATTATGCAATTAGGCTGCGTAGAACGGCAACTGGGTCTGGGTTGAATTGTGCTGCTCACATTACTCACATTACTATTACAGGACTATTATAACTTGCATTTGCCATGACTGCTGCCATCGCGGCCGTGCGTGATACGAGCTGCCACGAGCCTGTTGCTATTTCCACACGGCTATACCGTACTATTGCTCGTAGCCATCACGCAGAACGCGTTGCACATGGCCTGCTTCCGGGGCTGGGCCAGTGCCGGCACCCTCTGTGGTGGCTCCACGGGTGCGCAAGTGGTCGACATTGACCTGTCAAGAGTTGAGGCATGGTGAGACCATGACGAAGGGATGATGATGAAATGATCGGGGTGATGGTGCAAATGACGAGGATGATGGCTATGAGGCTCGGGATTGTGGTGGTCCTTGCAATACTATCAGGCGATGGACACCATGCTTCATCTTGACTCCGCTGACGAATTCTGTAACCACATTTGGGTGGCGCAACGCACTCAGGCCAAAAGTTGAAATCTTCACGCTGGTTGCTGGATCTCACCACCGAAAAGACAGGTTGCACCGGAAGTAAGCAATCCACACAGGTCTCACGACAAATCATCACCAGCACAGTTGTGCCTGCATTGTGCATACCAACAGCAACCATACAGCAGCGGCTTTGTCTCATCCACGTGGTGTGACCCAGTACCAGCAACTTCTGGTGCCGTGGAGGTGTGGCTCACGTTGCTCGGAGAGTGGCCGCGGGATGGACACTTCGATGGTGCCAGCAAAAGGCTGTCGCGGCATTTCTTTACGGGTCATGCCCATGCCGTCAGTGAACTGGGCCCCCCCATGACACTCCTATGACTAGCTTAGTAATGACATCGGTGATGGCGATGAGATGTCACGGTGGACGGAGATGACGACGTTCATAGTCGTCGTCATGGTCAGCGGCAGCATCGGCTTCACACCCATCACATTCCATCACCATGATCTTGATCATGAGAATCATAGTCATATGTGTGAGGCTGCCGCTGCTCGATGTTGCGACGGAGGTCGGGCTGCAACCAGAAATGTTCAGAGCCCTTCTGGTGGCAGTGAAGTGTTCTTATTCTCCAGATGCTGTCGCAACCTCGGCTAGCCTGGAGGTCTTGAGAGCCAAACTGTCGAGACCACCCTTTCAATGTTGCATCTTCCGGGCACCTCCCATGCCAACCACAAGTTTCCAACACATTCGCAATCGAATAGTGCAACTCGAGGAGCCCAACTATCGGTCACACAGCTCTCTTTGCAAGAATATTCGTGCCCGCCCCCCCTGCAACATCGCCCTCGTTTGAACAACAAAAATCCTCTTTGAGTGTGCGCATTGAGACCAGGCGTGAAGGTCTTTCAAGCCCAATTCAGACATCCAGGTCCCCATCTTGTTTCCGCCCTCGTCTGCTTCACGCTCCGAGTAGCCACCGCTGTGCAGATGTTTGCAGCTTCTGAGAGGAATCGTCGCGCGACTTGATATGTCTGACTGAAGTTGTCCGGCGTTTTTTTCGATGGGTGCTGTTTGTGGTTACCACTTGGTTCCCCTCACCGTCTTCGAACTATGTACCTTCTGTCTAATTACCCGCTTTGTAGCAACACTGTGTGCGGGGCATCGAGTTCCTGATTCATTGTAACTCCTTCGATCTAGCACAGGGTCGTGCCCTTGCTTCTCGTGCATTGGCGATTTTGATGGTGGCACCAAGCGTGATTTTTCTGCCCATCCATAGCAATCTGATGATCACCTCAACCTCCGCTTGTGATCCCCCTGAAGAACATTCACGACCCGAAACTTTCGGAAGGCAGGCGGCCTGTGATAAGGTCGCCATGACCACCGCTCCACGCATGTCCTGCCGAACAAGTCACAGTGTATCTGGCAACGGTCACTTGCGTTTGCGCGCACTGGTAACAGTGCCTTAGAGCAAACACGTACAGACAGCATCTGGCACCGGAAGAATCAGCCCGTAACCGATCCGACTCGTGACATCCTCAGGCAGCTCTGCCACGACCGATGCGTCGATCTCTGCGGCCTAGTCGCACAGGTTTCTCATGGCTCGACGGACCCGCACTCTCTCAGCAGATGTAACGGGTCGTGTCCTGTAGAAGGGCCGTCTGCGTGCAGCCGAGGCTGGTCGCGAGCCGCTCAAGCTCGGCCTGAGGCCAAGCCAGGCAGTAAAGAAAGCAAAGCCAGAAGCATCGGAGTTCCAAAGTCAAAAGACTGCGACGGTCCGGTGCTTGCAGCACTTGAAGGCTTCCTTCACCATCCCCTTTCTCAAGGTGCAGGCGATGCCCAAAGCAGCGGCTGGATCCTGGACATAGGAAACCCTCTATATCTCCCAACCCCAATCAACTAAGTTCGTCCCCGAAACCCCCAATCAAAAAGCCCTAGCGTTCTGACGTCAGCGTCTCAAGCAGCCCTCGTTCCATTGCTGTCCTCCGCAGCAGGCGGGGCCGCAGCCTCCGAGGCTTCCTCTGCCTTTCACCGCTTTCAGGTCATTGGTTCAGCGAATGGCCAGCAAAAAAGGGTCCGGACAGATTGGAATGCCTACGGCCTACGCTGGGTCATGGACGAAAGCCCCCATGTTTGTGGAGACGTTTTATAACTAGGCACAAGAAGAGACACAGAACGGCATAGTCAATAACCGCAGAACTATTTTACCGGGCGTCAAGGAAGGCTTACCGAGTCAGCCAGATGTGGAGGCGGCTGTGGTCGCGCCTCCACATCTGGGGGCTCCTCGGCCTGGAACGGTGTATGAGTGCAGCACAGGGCACAGGGCAGGTCCGGTCCATGCGGACTCTGCGCACGAAATCGCCCGCATTGAGCCGTTGCCGGCCTCCGCCGGGACCTCCGCCGGGGCCTCTTCGACCTGCTCTTCAGCCTCCTGGAGCCGAACAGACCATCGCTCAAAGGTTCTACGGAGATGCACCCGACCGCCTCTGCGTTCAGTCGGGCCAAGAGCTCCGAAGCTTCATCCACAACGTCTGAAGGCACCTGGCGTCACGCTGGTGGAGTCTCCCAGAAGCATTTTTACATGAGGCCTGCTCGCCTCTAAAGCAACCCTGAATTCTCAGAAGCTTCGCATGTCAGCGACCGGTTATTCCTGCAGACGAGCTTAACTTACATCGCACTTGCACCAATGACCTGGCCGGATGCAGGTACATCGCAACACAGCAGCCCAACCCGGCAACAGCTACAAGAGGAAGCTCGAGTAATAGTCGGTCGAACCTGAACGACCGTCTGCGTCGCTTCTGTTTCTGCCACCTCAGCAGAGGTTTTCTTTCCATCTGTACGACGGCCTTTGCTATCACTATGCAGCAGACCCGCCACAAACAGTTGAAAGCTTCCTGCTGCTTCTTGCACAGACCACCCATGAATGTCCGAGGCAGCCACGGTTTCACCTGCTGGGCGCAGCAGCAATTTTCAAAGCAGCCCTATCCACCATCATATGGTTAAAATGCTCCAGCAGCTTTTGAGAGGCTGTTCCGACGCTCTGCTGATTTCGACTGCCTTGCGGATTTCATCCACCATGTCACATGTCATAGATCCTAGCATGCACGAAGCAGACTCCCCAGCAGACCTTCCGCAGGTGCCGCGGGTGGATCGGCCGGGGCTGGCGCCTGCAAATCGGCTCCGACTGGGAGTTCATAGGATTCACGTAGCCACGCGAAGCTAGGCATTTATTTGATGGTACACGTCTGAGGGTGAGCAGGCACATCAGAGCCACGGAAGTCTTCTACCACTGAAGACAGTTGAACTGACACAGATGGCTCTGGCCTGAGATTCTTGAGGGGTCTCTGTGGCCGGCGCATCCTTGGACTCCGTCGGAGCATTGCGCAATTCGTCGGACAGCCTTCACACGAAATTGCCATCGTTGGAATGCACGATTATCGCGAAGCCCTTGTTGGGATTCGCAGCTGAATCGCGTGAATTCTCAGAATCCTACGCAAGGTCCACGCCTTCTAACATGCTAAGGAAACCAAGTCGCAATGAAGACCCCTGAAGGTTCGCGCCTGCCCGCCAGCTCCCCGTATGCCATGTCAAGCGACTCGGCGGCAGCAGCTGCAAGCGCACCCCCACCTCCGCTTCACAGCAGCTCGAGATTCGGCTATTACTGCTGACATTCTATCTACGAAGATCAGTTATTTGTCTCAGTGTTGCCTCAACATATGCGCGAGCCTCGGCTAGTCGTTGCAGGCATGGCTGCACCACCTCCGCCCATAGCTGCAGACCTGGCATTCAAGCTGGTTCCACCTTAATCCCGAAGAACCATCTAGAACCCCTGATCCCGGCTAGTAGCTGGCAAGAGCTTTCCAAAACGGTGGTGGGACGAGCTTGCAAGATTGGCTAAGGCGAAAGAACCTGCTGCAGGCACGACAAACCGCCGCATTGGCCGCATCTCTGCTTTTCTAGCAGAAGATCACCCGCTGTCACGATTCGTCTGTTGAGGCAATCGGCGCCCTCTTATCAAGCCCAGTGGTTAAAAATGCGCCCACGTCAACGAACAGTCATGAAGGGTTCTCGCTTGTGAAAGCTGGGGTGCTGACGGAAGAAGGTTGCTGCTGCTCGTGATCACAATCTGTGCCCCACCCGGGCCGCCAATGACTCCGGCGGCTCCTCCAGTCGGGCCGGAACCTGCGAGGCACGATCTGTGACGCCTATGTCACCTTGTTCAGGCTATGGTCTTGCACAATCTTGACAGTTCTGCGGCTTGAGCTGGACACTGGACACCCCTTGACTCTGACAAGATGCAGAAGCCCTGCCTGCAAAGATCTGTCGGAAGGCATCCGGTCCGGGAACGAGCTGCACCCTGTGCAGCTGCAGCATTCAGCATTCGGACGCTGGTTTAGGGATTTCACATCTTCAGCAGAAGCGCCGATCAAGCTGGGCTCTGCTTTGCAGGACTTGCTGTCATACGGACGAAACCGAGCTTCCGACATTCGACTCATGTCCACGACTCCAGATGCGCCCTGAGATGAGTCCACGAGTTGCACCCGGCCGCGCACTGAACACCCGGCACACGACTGGCAGTGGTGCTGCTTAGAGTTGGATGGCGAGTCCACGAAACATGGCTGATGCAGCCAGTCTGCGAAGGCTGTGCATTCTTCCTGGGAGCCCTGCTGGCATCTGGAAACCAGTCAGCTGCGGCAGTTGCCTGGCAGAGTAGGGCCAAAGACACTAAAGTCTTCTGGACTGGAGCTTCTTTCGATGCCTCTGCATCTCGATCTCTGTATCTCCCTTTTGAGGTGCGCTTTAGAAGCCACAATGAAACCATGGCCGAAGCGGCTGCAACGGTTGCGCGTGGCTCTGATGCTCGCGCCGAAGCATGGGATGCTCCCCGGGCAGGTCCAGGTCACCAGGCCTCTGCGGTTGGCTGTATTTTCGTCCTGTGTCTTTGTTATCTTTCCTTATCTGTTTACTTCTCTATGGAATTAACTAGCTGTCTATGTATGTAGGTATGTATGTATGCATGTATGTATGTATGTATGTACTGATTTGCGTGCAGGCTTACCTGCTTAGGTATGGACTTGTTAAATTACAAATCCGTGAAACATCTTCCAAGATAGCCCAACTACTGGGTTGAGGGACCAACAAACATTCAAACGGTGATCAAATGTCTGAGATCAAAACAGAACAGCACAGGGGTCAAGAAACAATACAAAAGATCATACAAGTATTCTCAAGATGATCAACTTTCGGATCAAAACAAAATCAAACAGTGATCAAACAACTTCAAACAATGATAACGTTTTTTGCTGTCAAACCAGCGTCGCAGCACCGTGGGACGTTGACGTTTGGGGGATCTTGCTTTCTTGGTGCGGGGGCTTGGAAGGAGACTGACACGGTGCCAGGTGCAGGGTGGTTGGGGTCGCAATAGTACTGGCCGTAACAGCATGTGTAGTGCATCGTGACAGTCAGTACCTGTAACGGCAACAGGCAATAGCAACAACGAATGCAATAAACTACGATGCTCGTACTTCCAACACTAACCGAAATAGAAAAGATCTTGGAATAGTGCTAGTAATAACAATGACAGTCATAAGCATGTTCATTCTGATTGTGGTTGTTTTGCAAGATCCCTATTCCGGGTATCTGTATCGAGACTGTGACTCCAAGTGCACTACGACTCCGCGACCATCAAGAAGCCAAGCAGAGACCCCGGCTCACTCCAGCCAGTGCCCACCGTGACACCGAGGAAGTCCATGCCACCCCGTCCAACCCGCCTGAGGATTCAGAATCTTTGAGTTGCGGCTTGGCTCTCTGCATGCCACCGTGCATCTATAATGCAATTCCAAGCACAAACCTCGCATGCGCTTGCCTACAAGCATGTCAAACAGCGACAGGAAAGGTAAACACATCTCAGAGAGATGCTGAAAATCCGAGATGAACAGCGTCCAACAGGGCCCCGTGTATGGGGTTCGCACGGCGGAGCGCGCCGGGGTGGTGCATCTCCGAGGTCCTGCGCTCGTGATGGGTCGGAAACTCTGAGGGAAGGACGATAGTTTGGTAAGGCACCTGGTGGCCCAAACCAAAAGCAAGCAGTCGGACGGTTAGGCAGCTCCAAATACGTCAACACGGCCCTAAACCTGCAGTTGAAGAGAGTACAGACTCTCGTCTTTTGTGCAGGTTGGCCACTCTACACTGTACGCCCGTACTCTTATCCACGATGCGAGCAAGCATCTGGCTTTGGCCACTTGCGCCAGTTCGGGCGAAGCTGCATCTAGTTTCGGCATTCCCCGAATTCGGCCTTGAAGACGGCATCAGGCAGAGGTCTGGTGCCCACCGTCATGCACGGTCACCAAGCTTTCGGTCATCGCTCAAAGGTAGTCGGAACGCAATTGACCACAGTCATCAGTCACGTTGCTTCCTCATCTTTCCAAGGCCGTCTTGTGCTCTCTGGCTCATCAGCCAATTTGTTCCAAATTGGTTGCCCTTACCATCTGCGTGGCTCCATTGTGTCGTCGCACACACCATACACCTCTCCAGGCATCATAATAAGTGAGTGTGCCTTCGATCCCGTTGCGGTGATCCGGTCTCAGCCCTCTCGTACGCACGTGTTGATGTTTCACGAAGTTCCCAGCTCTCCAACGAAGCATCTTCCGCAGAAACGCGATTACAAAAACGGCAATCGCGAATCTGGTAACGGTTAGGTGCTGATACGACATCGCTACCTTCTGGCCAGCTACCGCGACTGCCGAGGACACTGCAGAAGTGGCAGCACTAGCCCGCGACCGTACATCTCTGCATTGCTGCGGCGAAGCTGGCTTGCCCTTTTTAAGGTCACGCTGCAGCTCTCGATACTCCTTCTCGAGCTGATGCAAGAAATCTCGGAATTGCTTTTCTGCAGGGTCGCTGGTATCTCCCAACATGTGCTTCGTTGCATCTGCTGATCCGTCAAAGCGGCAGTGGGCCAGCTCGTGTAGCAGCGTTGGGAGCACCTTGGGACCTCTGAAAACTGCGTCCCCTGGGGGAGCACGGACCCTGAGGGCAATGTAGTCGGACATGCGACCTCCCCAATTATCGACAAGCATAATGTGATTGTAGCCCTCTTCGATTCGGGTCTCAATCCCGGACGCAGTCTTCTTTATCTCATACACATACTGAGCATCATTCGGACCCAACTCCTTGAGAGAGCCGGTCTTTAGGTGGTGTCGCTGCATCAACGCTATCAGAGCCGGGTCATGGCCAAGTTCCATCAGTAGTTTGAAGGCCCTGTCATCGGCCTCATCCGTCGAGTTCGGCCACGCTTCACTGACGCTTCGTCGGTCAACGCGTATGCCAGCTGATATGCCAGCGGAGCATGTCCACCAAAATGCCAAAAAGCTTGCTGCGAAGATATCTACCATGGCTTGTCCTGGCACACCAGTCACTGGGCACAGATATTTGACCCTGGTGGGCGCTCGTGCCAAATGGCTCTTGCAGTCGCTGCTGGTCTTCCTGGAGTTGTAATTGCACTCATGTTGGTCGTCACTTTGGTGGCTGCTGCGGGGACTACTACAGCGACAAGCTCCATGAGCAGTGACCAGCATGGCACTGGAAGGAAACTTCTAGCCAGCCGTCTTTAAAAAGCACTTTACTCACGTACCCCGTCCGGCGAAAAGTTCATCTGCATGCCCATCTGGTCAGGGTTGAAGCCTCTGGCAAGGATTGCAGTTTGGAAGATTTTGCGGGACCACCACCCACCGTGGAAAGCTACAGGGCAGGTTTATTGGACTGTTTTACTGTTGGACACCCTCAGAAGATGTTGCCTGTCTTCGCATTACAGGTCGCTGAATCGTTGATGATTGCAGGAGTTGTTGCACTGTGTTCCCTCAAGCTATGTGCTGCTTCTTCAACAATCTTTGGACAGGATCGCCGTAGTGTACACCTGCCATTGCTTTGAGTTTCGGTTCACCCCGGCTGTTCTGCCATTATTGTCTCTCTGTCTTGCTACCTGTCCCGGCACTTTCGTGGCGCAGCAGTCTACTGGCAATGTAGTCAGTTTAGCCTAGTCGAGTCTAGCTCAGCCCCCCCTCAGGAGAGCGAAAACGCCTTGGACTTGCTGATCGATCACATGGATTGCGTTGTTCAGGATGGTGGCCTCAACGGATGCTGCTCCATCTGAGGCTACGATTGCCCATACCCGTATCCGTAAGGCTGGAGCAAGATTGGGTTCGGCCTGAAATCAGGCATTGCAACCATGGGAGCTCGTGGCTGCCAGTGAGATTTTCTGCAAAATTAGATCATGACAGCCACTCCGAGCATCTCAGGAGCTGGCTCCGTCATCGCCATGCAGGAGGTCATCGGTGATGATATCATCATCCCCATAGTCGTCGTCCTTTGAGCGGCAAGCTTCTGCGCTACAAACCTTCTTTGCCAAAGTCCGCCTGACCGATGCCATGCATGGCCATCACCCCATCACCCGCGAAACTGGGAGCCTTACGAACTCTCCATCATAGTCCTCGTCACCGAAATCTTCCTTAGCAGCATAGAAGTGCGTCAATTTGAAAGACTCAAGAGAAACCTTCAAGAAGTGTCTCCATGTCCAGTAAGGCATGCACATGTTCGGGGAGGTGTCCACCCTCCATTCCTGCCATGGCTTCCTGGCATGGAGTTAGTTGAATTTCAAGCGTGTGTTAGTGAAAGGGACCGCACATCGCGGACCTCATCGTCCTCCTCTGCCAAGTCATCATCATCCTCCTCTTCCTCGTCATCTTCCTGAAATCTTAACTTGTGCGGAAAACGATGAGCCGGCAGTAGTTCACAGCATGAAGATGTTCTCCAATGCTGAATCTGCAGTCAACAATGTTTTCGCGGGCAGCAACAACCTTCCTCGTCATCTCTGTCAAGGTCGTCATGCGCGGGGCCCTGTCAATGGGCTTGGATATCTGAAATCCAACCCCCACACGAATCTTTCTGCACGGCGCGGCTGCAAGCCAAGGCCCCGGCATCGCCCACACCGAAGTCGGCTGTGAAGTCTTGACCAGGCCCGAGGCCGTCCTCTCCCTGCACGTCTTTGCGACTCAGAGAAAAACCTGGGTGCTCCGAGCGTTTTTTGAGTGCCTCCAGCAACATGGGCGGTGCCGGCTCCGGCGAAAAGGGCCCCTGGCTACGGAAGCTTTTGAGGAGTTACAGTCGGCATCAGTCGGCCCGGCCTGGGAGCTTCGGTTCTTCGTCTCCCGTCGCGTCAGGAACTCCAAGCATTTCACGATGCCCGTGGCCACGGCCATGACCGCCGTACCTACGGGACTTGGACTGGAACTGCGCGTCGCCCCTGCAACGGCTTAGGCCGCTTAGGCCCTGGCATTGCAGATCTGTCCGAAGCAGTATCGCTACCAAGGATTCACGAAGAGCCTTCAATCCAAGCCCGGACTTGGGACTTTCACCAAGCTTACAACACTTCATGGGAGACACGTGCCTGTGTCTCACTTTGATTGCAGAAGACGCTCGATTCTTTCTTGCCTCCACTGCATGACAGCATGCGAAATGCGAAGAAGGCCAGACGCAGAAGACCATCACGCAGATCTGTACAAAACCTCTGGCTTCTTGTATCTGCTTGCACTTGCTGCGGTCGCATCATGACAACCATCATGAACTACAAACACTCCGCGAGCCGCTAGCCCCCGGGCCTTTGGCTTTCTTCTGGCCTTGACCTAGCCAAGCGCACGGCAGGCGAGACTGAAAGGATCTCGAGATCCCGTGGCCGGGCTGCCGGCTGTCGCCTTTGGCATCGGAGGTGCCTGACACGAGGAGAGACGGAGAGAGCTAGGATGTTCTAGTACGACCGTCGGCTGCCTGGTCTCGACTCCTCTTTTTCTTCTTCCTTGTCCTCTTTGCGGTCCACCGCAGCAGCTGCACCAAGGAGCCTGGCCACGAGGCCGCAGACGGCGGCCACCTCCGTGCCGAAGGAGAGCCGCGCAGGAGAAAAGGACTCGGAGTCCGCTAAGGCCTTGGTGCTGAGAACCACCTCAGAGGCGAGGGCACGGCGTGGTTCAACGGAGAGCCGCGCCGTGGAAGCCAAGGTGGTGGCCAGGTGGGGCATGCATTTCTGCATAGGGATTATGGCCCCTGTGTGTGTCAAATGCAATTTTTGGCTGTGGGTCAGTGGCTGGATCTGCTGTTGCCAGACGTCTGCCAGCTGCGCAAATCGTGGAAGCAGGTGCCGCGTCATAACAAGCAAGAGGCTCTTCTGCGAGAGCCGTTCGGAGCGGTCGGGCACTGCCAAACATGGCTCAGGCAGGGTACTTGGATTTGTACCCACCGCCAAAGGTGGCTTCATGGCAAGTGCGCTTATGCCCGGCACTCGGGTGACTAAGGCATCGAGGACGAAGAGCAAGGCATTGGAGTCCAAGGCCAAAGGGAAAAGCGGGGGAAGCTTCGAGTTCACAACGGCGTCTTTCGACTCCTTCTCTGTCTCCTCCTTCTTCTCGGTCTTCTCGGTCTTCTCGGTCTTCTCCTTCTGGGCCTTGTCCTTCTTGTCAGATCCGGCCTCAGGCTCTGGCCTCTTCGATGCGTCAAAGATCTTCGGGAAGGCGGTGCTGTGCTGGAGCTCGAGATTGAAGCAAATCTCGGACACCAGGGTTTGCAGCATGAGCAGCGCGCCCGAGTGTGGAGCAGGCTTCTGCTTCGACCTGCTGCATGAGCAACTAGTGAGCACAAAGCACAAGGGCTACGCCATGCCACGACGAGCTGCTACGACGATACCAAAGCTAGAAAGCATTCAAAAGCATCATGTCAACCGGACATCAGCCAAGCGGAGCATGCGCCTCTCTGCTTCCGGCAAGGGCTCCAAAACAATGGAGTTCTGATCTGAAGCCTGTGCCTTCTGAGTGACCGCCTGCAGAGCAACACGAGCAACAGAAATCTGACCTACGTCCCCCACGGCCGACAGCCTTTATGGCTTCTCCGAAGACGTCTGGGTTGCGAATGAACAAGTGGTTCAAGCGGCTTGCGATCTCGGCAAAACTTGCGAGTTCCCATGCAGTACGCCAGCAGCTACAGTACAAGCACAATGCACATGTACTGCAGGAGCATGTCACACGAGCCGCAGCTAGAGGAACATCTGGCATCAGCCGAGCCCAGGTTACGGAGTAGGGCTAAAACCTGCTTGATCGGAAGCGTCTTCACCTGCAAAGCAGAAAACCCAGCTGGCGAGTGCCTTTGTTTGTGAGATCTGACGACCCCAGCCTGCGGAGAGAAGAGGGCCAGGATCTCGTTCTCCATGCGTGCTTGCAGCGCGGAGCCCTCTTCCATGAGGGTCACTGCAAGGTCTGCAATCATCTGCAGCCTAGCTTGCAGCCGGCAGAGTTCACATCGTGGGAACGTCTGGGAGCCGGACATGCCAGCGAAAATCGTCTTCCTCGCGAGCCGCAGCAACAGGATCATGCCACCGGCCGTCTCCGAAGGAGCCTGCTGCAAGGGCATGCAACTCCTCTTTGCACAAAGAGAGCTTGTGCACGGTTGTGCTGTCAACGCATTGCGCTGCCTTCAGCGATTTGCCTTCGTCCAGCGAGAGCTTCGGCTGATACTCGAGGAACGCGTGGGCACCGATCTGAGTGGAACAAAGCCTCCGCCACGCTGCTGCATGACGCTGCTCGGTCTACAAACGGTCAGGGCTTGGAAAGATCTGAATTCCGCATCGCATTCCGAAGCAACCCTGTCCTCAGCAGGAGCTGGATGCAAGCCAAGGCAAGTCCAGGCTCGAGTCCTGCAGGCGTGTGCATTGTGTCTGCCGTTGAAATTTCCGTCACGAGATGCAGTGGCAGGCATGGTGCAGAATTTCGTGTGGTCACTCGGTCATTCCTTTTACATGGTCAAATGTCTTGCAGGGCAGATCGTGCTCCACTGCATATGACAAATCTGGTTTGCGTCCTATGCATGTCAAGGAACATTAACGCATGTTCGGAAGTGAAGATACCCCAACTCAAGCATTTTGCCTGGAAATGCGTAGAGAATGTCCAACACCCCTGCGACCCAGCTCTTCTGCACTTCGGCACCTGGCAGAGAAAGCAAAAATGGCGGCCGGAGGCGGCTCGGAGAGAACGGAGGAAAAAGGTCGGGCATTGGCAAACGCGATATGCCGGGAAACGCTACGTAGGCATACGCAGGCCGGGTCCACGCAGCGACTCGCGGCCCTGCCGAAGTTGGACCAAGTCCACGGAGATCAGCAGCTGATGTGCACAGACCGTGACCTGAGCTTGGCTGCGTTGCCTTAAAACCACGACTGCGACGGCATGCTTTGTGGCTTTGCGATGCTTTGCGGCTTGTGGCTCCTCGCGTGCTGAGGCCCGCACGGGCGTGAGCCAGGCGGGCGGTGCCAGCAGCGCCTCGCCGCCTCCGAGGCCTCCCTCCGGTGCGGGCGCTGCCTAGGCCCAGCAGGGCGGCGGTAAGGAGACGTGCGGCGCAAGGACACTCCAACGGCAACAGCCCGAGAGCCCGAGAGATCCTGGCCGATCCCATGCAAAAGGTGCGGTATCCGCGAGCCTGAAGCAGCTTGAAGTTAGGAGAATACTCGAAACTGTCGAGAACTACCGGGAGCCAGACAAAGGGTTCCACGTTGGAATCGATGCTTTGCAACGACCTCGCATCACAGCAGCTTGCTGTAGCACCACACATGAGAAATGCGCTCTTCTCTGGGCTGCTGGACCATCTGTTGAGCTTGACGAGGAGCGACTCGGCCCCTGCCGGTCCAATCGCGGCAACGACCTGACAGGTGTACCGGATGTAGGGACAAGCCCCACAGCACATCCACACATCCCTCCTGCCTGCTGCCGTCGATGCAAAAGGCTTGCCAAGACCTCTTGAGGCTTTCATGGGCTGTCATGCACTCACTCCCTCAACTTGTGCTTCTTTGTCGGACAGCGTTTGCGTTTTCCCGCAGCCCAATGCCTGTGCCACACAAGCCAGCGCATCGGCAGGGGGCTGGTCATCGCTTTCTCCCAGTGCTTCCAGGCAGGCCTGTCAATCCAAGCTGGCTCTCAAAGACAAATCTTTAGACTCTTGCGGAGCTCTGAAGCCTGCACCACAGACGATGCATTCGCCTCTGGACCGTTTTTGCCGACCTGCGGGGCCAGTGCCAAAAGCGTTTCGTCAAGAGCTGGGCTTCTTTGTGTAGGCAGCCGGCAGCTTGGTCCCAAAGCTGCGTGGGCACAGCGACCTAAGTGGGGCGGGGAGCGGACTTGCAACGCCTGAAAGACTATTGGCCCTCCGAAGCCGTGTCAGCCTTGGCTGCCACTCTGAGTGGTGGGCAATAAAGGCCATGGCATCTGCCACCACCGGAATCGCCTGCTGCCAGCGCGTGTGAAGCGCTAAGATGCTTGAAGCTTGTAAAGTCATGCTCGCCCCCTGCCTTTGGAACCTTCCGTCCGAAGAGCAAGATCCTGGGGAGGAGATCCTTGCAAGCGTCACGAGCTGGGAGCGTGCCCACACACACACACACTAGATGCATGAATGCGTTCCGCTCCTTCAGCATGTCCGCCACCAGTTCCTGAAACTCGGCCGCGGTCTTCGCTTTGACTCCTCGCAGACGGTGGCATTTCGCTTGCCTAGGCAGCATGATGCACAGAAAGAGAAAGCCTGTGCTGGAGGCTGCTTGGCTGTCAGCTCGACAGGCGAAACTCAATGCTTGGCCGCCCAGACAGAGTCCAGAGGCAAATGAGCCAGCCCAGTGTGACCCTGATCGATTTTTGACGTGGCTGAATTGCAATGCAACCGCCAGGATCTGTCACGGTCGTCTGCGAAACTGGGGAGTTCGCATGAAAGGTGCAGCGGAACAGCTTCAGAACCCGTCTACGGTCTCAATACCCGCATGGGACGACGCAATGCTTCAGACAAACATGCCACGGACAAAATTTGAAACGGGCGTGTGGGAGACCTGACTGCATGAGCACTCTGATCTGCGGTCATCGAAGCTCCTGGTGGTGCGTTTGGAGGTGGTGCTGGAGTCTCAGCGGCCTCACACGGAAAACTGCGGCATACATGTGCCCACATGCCCTGCCATACGCCTCCTGTGCCGGAGGATTTGCGGATGTTGTCTCCTCGCCGGAGGCCTCGGAGCACCGAGACTCGCCGAGACACGGAGGGGCGTGAGAGCGGGCGATTGCTGAGGACATGGCCATGAGCATGATGAGCGAAGCGATGTCCTGGCACTGTCACTGGAAGAGCTTCAGGATGGAAGCACACGAAGATCAACACCCATGCAAATCACCCGTGTGCTGAAACTAACGACATTAACCGCACAATGAGCCAGCCAGGGCCAGCCGTGATGTCACAAAAAAGAGCCGTGGCTTGCTAGAACAAGCCTAGTAATTCTTGGAACCCCGCCGGACGCGTGTTGCTGTCCACCTCTTGCAGCCGGCGCCTCGCATTCGACAGAGTCCTATCCACTCGAAAGCCTAGTTTGGAAAGGATTGCATAAGGTGCCTGGGTGAACAAACTGTGTCCCAATGTTTTGAGCATTGTCGTCTCAGCAGAATTGCCGAAACATGCCGTCGCATGTGTCGACCGGGAGAGTACACGCATCGTCCTGCGTTAACCTGCTTGCTGACCCCGAAATCCTGTGGCCGCGGCTCCACCTGTTCTCGTGGGAATCCCATGTCCATGAGAGAGGTGACCTCACACTTCCATAAAGCTGGCATCATGGACTCTCTCGTCGCGGACATGCCTCTGCAGCATGGACAGACATCCAGAAAGAGTCCAGGGGCAAGGCCATGCTTTGCCTCGTTGCCTCGTCTGCCCAGCGTCCCCTTGCTGTGGAAGCCTTGGCAAACATTGAATGCCTTTGATTAAAAGGACGATCTCTTCGCTATCACCAGGTGGCTGCTAGCTTTTCTAAGCAAACGAAGCAAACCTTGTGGCTCGACCGCACCACTTCATGGCTTCTGGCATTGGTCGCGGTGGGCGCCGTCCCACCAGTTGTGCCGCTGTTTGCAGTGGCCGTTGGGTTGGTTTGCGCAGGCCTGACATGGACGAGTACGACGCTGGATGCGGCCGAAAGCCATGATTTAGTCTCCTTCACCAGTGCCGTAGTTAGAGGTAGTTCATGCGCACCCGGAACCGAAGGTCGGACAGGCTGCTACTGAGCATCATGACCGCTTCAGTGCTGCCTTCTACGTTTAGGGCAGGTTGGTCCTCGGCTCCGCCATCCGGCAAACTACTTTGAGTCTTTCGCAGTCGGCCTTGGCGGAATGTCGCGCGGTCCGTCCAGCGAGTGCACCCAGACCTGAGCACAAATCTGTCCGCGGCCTGCGCCACTAAAACTCGCAACGGCAGAGCACAGGGGAGATCTGCATGGGGACTTCTGGGCTTCTAGGGCTCCCAACCTTCATCAGGGACTGCGCAGCATTTGCGGGGAAGCGGGCCAGGTCCGCATTGCGCCACACCTGGGCCCCGACTCAGGCAAAGAGGTTCCCGCTTTTTGGGTGTCAGTTAAGTCAGTTACTCATCTTCCACTCTACTTGTAGGACAATCCACTTTGTAGGATCCTGAACTGTGCTTAGGTTAACCTGAGAAGTCTGCATCACGGTGCAGGACGATCTTGGGGTCCCCACTGGCAGCATGATCCTTAATGCTTCGGCTTGGACGGACCGACAGAGTGGATCCTGGCGCTGGCACGTTACTGCTGCTCGTGTAGATCGGTGCTGTGAGTGACACGTTCACCACATGCATGAACATCAAGACATGTCCAAACTATTCCAAAGGTCTGCCAACACAAGGAAACCCCAATCCGACCCCGTCCTTGGGGATGAAGCCGTCCTCTACCTTGAGAAGACCAACCTCGGGAGGAGAAGCAGTTATGGTGGCCTAGGGGCCTAGAGGTAAAGGCACAGGGAACTCTCAAACGGAGAGAGGGTTCACAGTGACAGGGTTGCCTGGGGTGCATTGGTGAACCGCTTGTGCGAGGTCACCTGGCAGCAGATCGCGGGTGGAATTCCAGAGCAGACTTGCCGGCGTCTCTGTAGGACTTCTGGCCTTTTCCAAGTAGGCCAAAGCGCTGCCCAAGGCTGGTGGTCCTAAAGCCCAGCGGCAAATTAAATTTTCTATGCACCTGCCTGCAGTTCTGGGGAGGGTGGGCTCCACTCTGGTTTGCAGGATGCCGGTGGAGGGTCCGCAAGGGCTTGCGGCCGGAAGCCCTCTCCTGCGTCCAGATCCAAGTGCTGGCCCACCTTCTGTAGAAGTGGCCTGCAGCTGCAACGTCTTCTGCTTCCCCAAGTCTGAAAGACAGGCAGTGTCAGAGAAGCATCCCCACTGCAACAAGTCTTCTCCGAGCAGGTTCGGGGCTCAGGCTCGAGGAGTTCGAAGCCACCCACTTGATAGAAAGCTGAGAGGCTCAGAGGCCGGACGGCCACACGGTTCCTGGGAGGCGGAGCAAGGCTTGAGACTCTAGATTCTCAGTCTCACAGAGATGGTAAGGAGGGGGCTGTTCTTCATGCATACGGAGAAGGAGGTCGAAGATGTCCGACGTCCATTGAAGATTGGCGACCTGGGTGGACTGCCGTTGCTGCCGGCAAGATACCGTGAGATGCCGCGGTAGTTTCTGCTTCGTTTGTCGAGGTACTGGGAGTGTTTGGGCAATTGAAATAGCTGCCTGGGCCTCCGGATTTTCCCAGCACACAGCACTGTAGGGTCAGGGCTGTGTCGCCGGGCGGAATTGCCGAAACACATGCCTGCATGCACGCACAGGCACGGGCGACATGTCCAAACATCGCTGCCATCGCGACCGTTGCGACTCTCCGATAAAATGAGCTCGGCTTGAATCTCTCTCCCTGTTCGGCACGCCTTGGCCACCTCTGCCAGCTCTGTGGCCAGACCGGAAATGGTTGGCCTTGGTGTACAGGCATCTACTGATTGTCAAAACCGAAAAAATTGTAGACCTCGATCGGCCTAGTGAGCACCCCCTGAAACGGAATGCATCGCAGCAACCGGGGACCACACGTGACCTCTCGCTGACGCGCCCTGCTGTGCAGCTGCTTCGAGACCACCACGAGCAGCTGCCGCCTTGGAAACGCTTCTGTTCGCCAGCGCAGTTCCCCCGATGTAGGCTCAGGTATTGAAATTTTTCCAGAGTGGACCTACCCAACCTCTCGCATCGAAAGATTCGATTGGGGTCCCCGGCGTCGCGTGGGCAGTGAGACGGAAGCTTTGTCGAGCTGCTTGCAGGAGAGGTTTGTCCTGCACGCCGCGAGATAACGAGCAAGAGATTGGCAGGGACACGAGCGCAGCAGTGTTGCAAGAGGGACTTGCAATGCTTTGTGCCAGCTGCGCTTTGTCGTCTTGCTGGTTAAGCAATGCCAACTGGACAGGAATCCTGCAAGTCGCATGCACTCTACCGGGGCTCGCCTTCATCGGAAACTCACGCTCTTTCTTCTCTTCTGGCTGTGCCTGATTGCTGTATGCTGTGTCCATGATGCTGAGCGTGCAACTGGTGAGATTTGTAAATCGACTCTTCTGATTCCTCCAATTTTCTAGGGCGCACACTTCTGAAGATCCAGACGACGAGGCACCTGCAGATCCGCCCTAGTCTATCACCCTCCCTGCAGGCACACAAGAATGCCTCATAATGATGCCTCCACACTGCATGAGCAGGACAGAGCAGACTGGCCTTCGGATTTGGAGGTAGAGCTCGGGGTGAACAATGTCTTGATCGTTTCGTGATAGCCTGGGCGCAATAAACACTCACGTTGAAGCCCGGCAGATAGCATGTCACATGTCACCACCGATCTCTGTGCTGCAGCACGTCGCGAAAGACGACACTTGGAGCGAGGCTCGTCGTTGCACTGTTCCGTTCCCGCTCCTTATGCACGGGCTGCTCTGATGCGACTGTCCTGATTCCGCTACAGACAACTCCCGGCCTGCACCTCTGGAGGATACCACGCCGCAAGAGCGAAGATGAAGCCACCCAGCTTTCCCACGTGTTTGAGAGGAGCCCGCACCGCCTCACCAGGCAAACTCAAACAGGGCATTCTTCTGTCGTGCTTCAGACTGCACTTGTTGCCCTCTTTCCCGCCACGGGCTCCCCTCACTCTGGAAACCGAAACCCCTCCATTTCGTGGTGGCCCGGGATTCGTCTGCACTTGACGGTGTGTGCATTGCGAACACATGTCGCGAATCCTTCTGCAGACCTGAATCAATTGCAGCCTTATCCTTTCCCTGGGGCTGGGCGATGTATCTGCACGATCCTACGTCCTGCCTTGTGTCGGCTCTGACACAAAGAAGCCGTTCACAACTGCATCGACATTTGTGGCTACACTCATGATCAGTGTATCATTTATCTCCGTGTCCATCACCGTCATCATCAACAGTTTATGACGGTGTCCGCACACAGCATTTCTAGTACCACTGTCGGCGCCACCACCACAACCACCACCAGCGCCACACCCACTGCTGGTGCTGCTGCTGCTGCTGCTGATGCTGCTGCTTCTCCTCCCCCTCTTCTCCTCCTCCTCCTCCTCCTCCTACGACGACTACTACTACTAATTTTCCTCCCATTTCTAATCACGCTGCCACTCCTGCCCCTACTCCTCCGGCTTCAACTCGGGCAGCTACTGCGAATAATGTTCTTTCTGACCTGTTGCTGTGGTTTGATTAAGCTCGTGCGCTGCAAGACCGGCCTCCAGCACTTGCACAGAGCTGCCCTCACGGCACACGGACAGGAGCCCTTCAAGCCTCAGCAGGAGCAATCATTACATAGCAAAAGACGAGTCAGAACGGCAGTAGTACGAATGACTGCAAACCCTTGCTGCAGTCGATGCGAAGTCTAGAGTTTAGAGCATCCTTCTGCTGTTTACACATCGGATGGCCAACAGCGAAGCCTTAGAACAGCAGCTATCTGCTCTGACTGAGGATCCGGACGCAGCAGCTGAGCGGCTTATGCTGCGGAGGAAAGCACTAACTTGCGCATCATCCGCTGCAGCCAGTGCGGTGTAGGGATCCTGGGAGATCAGCCGACCCCTCACAAGACACGCCGAGGCTTACGTGGAAATCAGGCTTCCTTGCAGGTGGAATTGTAGAAAACACATCTACCGGGCCTCCCTGACACGCGGAGAGGTGCTGGAGCAGTCATCGTCGGCTAAGTGTCTGACGCTCCCCGGAACACACTGGTTGAGCATCGGCTCTGCCTGGCTGAAGGGCTGAAATGGAAAGCAGGCAGCAATAGCCGGCAGCAAAGGCTGTGCTTGGCAGATCCCCAAGCCTTCTGAAAGTTGGAGTTTAGCCTCGGAGGGAGAGAGAAGCGAAGGCCGTGGCTCTGTCGGCCGGCTTTGTGCAGCCTTGGGCTCTTGCATGTCCTCCAGCTCGGCTGCCACAGCCAAGTTTCCATCCGGGCCTCGTGCCTGCGAGAAGTGACTCAGTCGAACCATGATCGGAAGGTTGTTCCAAAAGCGAGCAGGAAGAATGCAAGTCCCAACTGCATGCGGAACCCCAACACCTGAAGGTTGAAGAGTCCGGCCATTGGATGCTGTTGACCTGAGCGCTTAGACCATCCTTCGTCATCAGTGCTACCCCTGCATGCGCATCCACAATCAGTCTCAAGGCACCGCACCCTCTAGCGATGTCAAATGGTACGGCAGACCTTGGTGATACAGTAGTGCAGTTCAGGGCAAGAGAAACGATGCCCACGATGGCTGGAGTGGAGGCTCATCACCAAGCTCCAACAGAAACAGAGAGGTTGTCATGGTGTGAGCATCCAAAATCTCTTCAGGCAGGAGTCCTTCACAAGAACAAGATCTGATCGAATGCCTGCATCATTGGTGAGGAATTGTCGGGGCCCGGACAAGGCAACTCGTGAAGTTCCCGCACCAAGGCCAATCCTTTCCTTGATGCCAGGAGCCAAAACAAAATCCTTGTTCCCACGAGTTCAGCCTACTCTAGTGCGGCATGTCATCCGACGCTTGCCCTTGCGGCCTACAGGAGCAATTCTCAGGCCGCGGCTTCTCGAGGAAGGATTTCAAAGTCTGCTCGTTCGTGGACAAGATGGACCAGCAGAAACGACCTGTGTGTGCAATGAAAGCAGCATGCAAGAATTTGCGGAATGCCTGCAAGGGCGCTGTTCCTGACGATGGGCGCTCATGCAATCACGGCTTGTGCGAGTGAGAACAGTGTGATGTAGACTTGAATGTTAAAACGTAGCGAGTAGGAGCAGTGCTGAAGCAGACGAGGCGGTCTGCCAAATACTCTGTGTGGTCCTCACATACAGCAGCTGACTGACACTTCCAGGATCTTCAAGGTGTATGTCTTCTGCGCCGCTTGCTCTTGCAGACCGTGTCCGTGTCCTCCAGATCTAAAGGCGTCCACTCAGGGTAGTCCTGCAGGCTATAGCATGCTGCGGTACATGATCACTCGAGGAACTCAAACCGCGCAAAAGTCTGCATTTGAGCACGACACTGCCACCTTCAACTCTGAGCCTGAAAGGCCAAAAGTCTTACGGTCGCATTGATCAGCATCCTTGGCTTGGTCCAGGATGCTGCGCATTCCCGCAAGCATACAGTCGACCACCTTGGATAACACGCGTTTGGTGCGGTCACTCTCCAAACACTTTTTGAGGTACCTCTTGAGATTTAGGCCTTCGGCCTTAGTAAATCCTTGGGCCTGAACGTGGTCAGTGAGCTTGTTGGGCCCGGCCGGCCGATTTCGAAGAACCTCGGAAAGCTCAAAGCATTCGCGGACGTTGGCTCTCGTTTCTCATGAGCCGCATGAGCCCTGGCCCCGGCCTTGTCCACCTGGGTACTCATGATCTGAGCGATTTCCTAGGCGGTCACAGACCGCGGACAGTGCGGAGCTGTGTCTGCAAAGCTGAGGAGTTCTTGCATGTGGCTTTCTGAGGTTAGTGCCGGTTGAGAGTGAAGTAGGGGAGCGAAGCTTGGATCCACGAGGATGTCGGTCAACAGCTGTATGGGCCTCCGGACGCGATACTGACCTTTTGAAACAGCACTGTGCATGCTTTTTGGCATTTCACCTGGTTCCATGGGGTCGTTGTGCACGTTTTGGTCTCACTGCAAGTTCTGGCCCAAGGCCCTGACTTTGACGGCGAATTGAGGAGGAAATCCTCACCGACCTGCTGAAGTTCCGGCTGGCGTTGACTTGATAACTGCGGCTCACTTCTGGGAAGGCAGCCGAATGAAGAGCGATGGATGCAAGCACCCCGGGCACAAAGGAGACGCATTCTGCACCTTTGGCCCGTAACCGCAACTTCTGGGGCCCTTGAAGCCTCTGCTTCTTTCCGCGGCTCCCTCCGGCCCCTCTGTGCTTCGGACTTCGCATCGTGTCTTTGCTCAGGGCCGCCATGATTCCAGGCCTCAAAAATCGGGGGTCTCTGCATCGAGGGAGCAGCGTGCAGCGTGCAGCCGGGTTCCGAGCAGAACCTCGGAGTCGATCATCTGAGGAACCCGTGCAGGATCCTAAGTCTGAGAGGCGGTGGGAATGCCCCGCCCGTACAGTGTACAGGATTGCGGCGTAATGCTGCGGCTCAATTCTGCTGACCGTGTTCCGGACATCTTGTATGATGCTGGACACGATGTCGATGGCGGTGCCGAACAGGGACAGCCCGACCTTTGACGGCTCCTGGAAGGAACTGGCACTAAAACGCTCTCCAAGAATTGATGAGCTGCAGTGCCTTCAGAGCGGTCTTCAGCGCATCCATCAAAGGGCCCTGGAAGACGTTGGCCAGTCCGGCCTGCTTTGCGGGGACATAAGGGAACTGCAGAGAGTCCGCTGGGCCGCCCTCGGCCTGCAGCACCTCTGTGCACTGCAGGGCGGTCTGGATGTTCTTCAGCCTCAGGGAACGGGGCCTTGCAAGTCTGGACGTGTCTCGCGGATGCTCATTTGGGAGACTCTGCAAACAAGATCAAAATGCCAATCCCTCAATCATTCGATCCGGCTGGGAAGGTGACAGTTGGCGGCAAAGCTTCCGCCGTGCGGTGACCTCCTCGAGGAGCTGCCAATACCTGCAGTGCCATCCACTGTCGCTGCCACTTTGCCAATGTCCTGGCTTTAACTTCTGACAGCATATCGCCTTCGCTCCCTGCTCTCTTGCTCTTCATGCTGTCAGTCCGAAGGAATCACATCGAAGGCAGATGTGCCATGGCTCAGCCCTGGCCTCTGCTTCTCCTCTCGTGTGGCCTCCCTGCCAGGTGGCTCCAGCTCGAAAGCCTCAGCCAGCTCACGACATGTTGCATGGCTCCCGCCAAGCGCTCCACAGGCTGAGTCTTCTGGCATCGCCGGTGAAGTCCAAAGCCTGGAACCAGCTACGAGCACGAGTACTTACTGGTTCCATCAAGCCCAGAGCCCAAGCTCCCGGCCATCATCAGTTCCACTTCTCTCTGGAGTCTCAATGAGAAGGCCTGGTGAACTTTTGCAATGATATAAAAAAACTGCCTGCAAGCGTGACAGATGCAAGTTCTCGCTCGACTACGCATTCATCTGCCTCTGTACCGTCTAAGTCTACAGTGCAATGAGCTGAGGAAGCCTGCCTGCAGGCCGCTGAAGTCTCGAAACAAGACCAGGGCGGCAGTCCCCGACACCTCGCGAAGAGTTCAAGTGGGTAGCATTTCGCTGGGCTCAAGAATCGGGAGCCTCTGCTGCCAGCTCCAAGCATCGCAGCATGGCTGTCACAGCCGGCAGGCATGCCACCTTTGCACGTTGAGGGTGCTCTGTACGGAAAGTTGTTCGCCTGGCAAAGCTCAGGCAGAAACATCAGTTTTCTGCATGAGCTCGAGCATGGCAAGGATCATTCCCGCATGCCTGCGCAAAGGTAGCTCAAGCCTTTTCGCTTCGAAGGTGACGACAGACCAAGCTGCCGGCCCAAGCTGTGCCGTTGTTTGGTGATTTGAGACAGTTGTGACTTGAAACAAGTCCAGAGCCTTGGGGACACGAGATGCAGTGCGATGCAGCCAGGCTTTCGAAAAGGCCATGCCCCTGCGAGGGGCTTCCAAGGGCAGGACAGCCAGGAGGACTCGATTGTGACCCTCCAGCCTGGCGAGTCTGATGAGATACTGCCCAACATTACACCACAAGCTCGGAAGACTTTGCTGGAACAAGCGCTGGCTGACTGATCATCAGTTGGTTGATGTCCAAGCAGCCCCCTCAACGCCTAGGCTTCAGGGAAGGCTGGCCATGCAGTTGCACCAGCTTTTGAATGAGAGCCGGGAAACCCTTTAACTTCTGCAGGCCGCCATGAACGATTCCGATAAAAAGCTGAGGTCTGAGCACATGCGACTATTCCATGCGGGAGAGAAAGGCCCAACCTGATAGACATTTTGCAACACAGGGGTGGTCTCCACCAACACAGCACGACAAAACACCATGCGAAAGCCTTCGAAATCGAAAGGCTCTGAGTCTTCAGCATTTGCGACAATTGCGAAGCTTCAGATCGACCTGAGCTCCAAAAGCTTCTAAGAAAGGGGCGTCAGGGCCCCAGCAGTGCAGCAGCCGAAGTCCCGGAGCCCCAAGGCCCGAGGCTTCAGGCGCCCTAAGCTGCAAGCTCTGTCCAAACCGTGAGTCGAGGATGGCTCCCGTGACCCTGAGCGCCGCCACACCTGCGTCGGGACTTGCCCGGCCCCGTCCCGTCCATTAAAGCGCTCCGCCGTATGCCCCGCCTGTGTCAGAACCCACTGCTTGAAGGCTCTGCAGCCTCGGACGGCGACAACCCTTGTTGAAAGACACATCCACCAAAACAGCTGCAATCTTCTCTTTTCAAACCTCGCACTCTCAGGGCATCTCAGCTCGCAGAGCTCGGAGAGAAGTCCCGGCCTGGGGAGATTCTCTCGCTGCGGGGCTGCATCTGTGCCCAACCGGAGTCCCAGCGGGTCTCACATGACGCTTCTTGATGAGCAGGAACTAGTACTGGCTGAAGAACCTCTACCCTGTCGAGCGGCGCCTTTACTTACCAGCTAGGAGGTTGGAGTGAAACAGGACGAACTTACGAACTTGCAACCGGCACGCACACACGTCATTGCAGACACGAGTTTGGGAGAAAAGCGCTACTCGCTGACTCGCTGAATCTCCACTGATGGGAATGCACAGGCCAAGCGAACTGGGCGCACCTCTTCTGCAGGTACTGCTGCAGCATGCAGGGGCCTTTCGTACGCAGCGGTGATTTCAGCTTTCATCTGTAACTGGAACTGAAAATGCGCTCCCCGTGCAACACCGCCCCAATGCTTGGCCGCCAGCCGACGTGCTTTATGGAGTTGCACATGGCCAGAAGCGCTATTGCAACCACCTGCTCGCAAAGGTATACGATACGTGCCGTCAAAGTATTGCTCCTACCGGATCTTCTGCCATGTATCATGTGCCTTGCCTCCTGTCTGCCTTCGAGTGTTCGAGCACGACACCTCCAGGTCAAGGTTTGCTCTGGTGCATGATTCTCTTGTCGCGTTTCAGAGCTCAGATTTGGAACATCTACGATACGAAATGCTTTTGCATTCTACATGCCGGGCAAGGAAAGCCAGCAAGCACCAACATCATCGAAGCCTTTTCCGCACCAAAATTATGTGCCTAGAATCTTAGAAGCATCTCACGCTTTCAGATTTGTGTTCAACTCGACACGTTGAGTTGGTGGCTGTAGATCTGTCCAGATAATACTACAAAACTTTGGAGTCTGCTCAAGCCGGGCATCTAAACTCTCTGGCTTCACATACTGGGCAGGATCCCGTAAGGCGGTGCAGCGACACATCTGCAGACCTCGACCTGTTCCAGACCGCAGGTCTGTAGCTGCCAGACTTGAGCAAGTGTCAAAAAACTTCTCTCACAACTAAACACTAAGCCCAGGAACGACTGCAAGCAACAATCTGGCAGAACAACAATATTTCGAAGCACAAATCGGCATAACGAGCCCAGACATGGATGAGCTCTAGGGGACGCACCACAAACGAAGCTGCAGCATGAGAGCCTGAGGCATCTGATGCTTGCAGCTCATCTTCAGTTTACGATTGCACGGCCAGGGTTGAAATCCCGAACCAAGTACACCGGCGGTCGTGACCTGAACCCCGGATGCCCCGCATTCGGTACTGAGCACAGGGCTGGTCGAATTGCATCTGTGACCGCAGGAGACTCCTGCACTAAGCACAGAAATCGACTTGCAAGTTTAGGGACGCACATCGCCAATCAAAGTGCTGCATGCAGGAGCTGCACTTGGCCTCGAGGCGCTTGAGGAGCACTTCGAAAGGCTCCGCTGCCTCAGACGAGGACCACAAGTCACGAAATTGCAGTGTTCGGACGAAGGTGGCTACGAGGCTTCCCCACATGCCCTGAGAGCTGAACAGAGGCTGCAGGTACCTGGTGCACTCGCTTTGACGACTATGATCCAGGAACGGAATTTGGTGCTTCCGATCTGGATCGCGCCTTTAGCACCGAAGGCTCTGAAGGATTGGTTCCCTGCCAGCACAACTCACTGCAGTCAGAAAGCTTTCTTCCGGACCGTTCCTACACACTGCTTGCATGGCACCGCTTTCGCTTGTCAGCTGTCGGCCTACTACTAGACTAGACACTCCACTTCCTGAGGCGGCACCGGCCCCGTGTGTCGAACTTCCGACCGGACATGATCCAGAAAGTAAGCTTCCAGTCGTAGCCCATTAGAACACACAGCACGCCCACGGCCCGGTTCCCGAGGATGATGCAGACGAGGATGATGATGACGGTGGCGAGGAGGAGGCATAGAAGGGAGGACGGGACGAAGACGAGGCGGATGACGACGATGATTGTTAGTTTTATCCTCATCATCACCATCATCATGATCATGACGACTTACCACTCGACTGCTGACTGGCAACGGCCACCAGCATCAATCTTTCCCTGCCCCTCCTCCTGCTCCCCTCATGATCATCAGCAGCAACAACAACCACTGCACGTGCGCACCAGCCATGCCAGCGGTCGCCGTCGGCCCAGACTCGAGATGTGCCAGCTCTTCAGAAGCTGGGTTCCCAACCGCACTTTCAGGAATCTCGAATTCGAAATCAGCAAGTTCGCTGTCCTGCACAGGTCGGACCGATTCGCAAGGTAAAGGGTTGAGCTGAACAGCCCCCTATGCCCCTCTTATCAGAGACTTATTCCTTTTGCATTTTCATGGCGGATGGGGCAGATGCCTCATCTCCTGATGCCAAAACCCCTTGAAATCCTCAAGCCCGAAGAGGTCACTCCCGGCCTCCGAGCTGCAGGCATCCCGGAAACCCGTGCTCCCGAGAACGCCTCAGGCTCGTGTGTCTTCGTTTAAAGGCCACCCAAAAGAGTAGAAAACGATAATTACCACTACTATTCCTTGGGGTTCCTGTCATAGTTGTAGCATAATCGGGCCCAATCTTTTGGAGGCTCCGTATTTTTAGTTTAGTACAATATGCCCCGAAGCCTTGTCCTAACCATTCGGGCCCCATGCACTGAGGCTCTGAGAGGCTCTGAGGCTCCGTCTCGGGGCACCACAGCAAGCGAGGACCTTTGCGGAGGTTTTCTGCCACCACCACAGGCTTGGGGATCCGGCACCCTGCCAGCGTCTCGCCTCTAATCTTCGCTCCATGGCGGCCGCCAGAGGAGAGCTCTGGAGATATCGGCCTGGGTTTCCGCAGCGGCGGTCCTACATATCAAAGCTGTTTACGCTTTGCTGGTACAAGAAGCATCCTCTTGGGTAAGCATCCGTACATCCATAACCCAGAGTGACATATGCTATCGACGTTTAGGGCCGAAAAGGCTAGCACGAGACGACGGATACCCTTCTTTTGTATGGGAAGAAAGCGCATCGCGCCGGGTCCGTCGCCTCCGCCCAAAACTAGGCTGGCCGGCGCCGGGGAAGCTTTGAGCTACCCGACGCGCCGCCCGTGGGCGGGGGACGACCCTCAAGTCTTTCAGCAAACGGCTTCGCCGATACTGGGGAGGCCTCCTCCCCACTCCCAACACGAGGGTGGTAGAGGGTGGGCCGAAAAAGCGACGTCGAGCCGGAGCAGCTGCCGGCACGACGAGTCGCTAATGTCCATGCGCACACACGTGTGCTACACGACATATGCTATCGACGTTTAGGGCAACGCCGAAAAGGCTAGCACGAGACGACGGATACCCTTCTTTTGTATGGGAAGAAAGCGCATCGCGCCGGGTCCGTCGCCTCCGCCCAAAACTAGGCTGGCCGGCGCCGGGGAAGCTTTGAGCTACCCGCCCGGCGCTCCCCACCCCCACACAGCGCCGGCACAGCCGAACTATAGGAAAACTCAAATAGCACAAGTTCTCAGCTCCGCCGCCGCACCCTGAATGGCGAACTCAAGGTCGCCAGCGGTCTTCGCCAGGATGGCGCAGATTCTGGCCGCCGGTGTGCGTACTCTGGTCCAGCCCATCGCCTCGGCCGTGGCCAGGTCGCCGCGGGACACCGCATCCGCCACATTGGCCTTGGAAGGTACCCGCCGGAAATCGGGCAGTTCATCTCCGCTGCTTGGGACCAGAACGCCGCCAGGACGCCGTTGACCGCGGGGTCCCTACCGTAGCCCTTGGTCAGGGCCCACTGGCCGGCGACGTTGTCAATGAACGCCAGCCAGCGTTCCGGCAACCGCCGCGCCAGCGTTGTCAACGCCAGGACCTGGGCGACAATCTCCAGCACATAGATGAAGGCCCGCCTGGAGCCGAACGCCACCAGGAAGGAGGCCGGCGCCTGGCCGTAGTCATAGTAGGTCTCGCCGCCGACTCTGACCACGTATCCCCAGCCGTTCTTGCCGCGTGCCCCCTTTGGTGTGGGCAGGTCCGCCGGCAAGAAACCCGCCTTGTGCTTGACCTCGCCCGGTTGGAAGAACGCGTCTGCGTACACCAGGGCCTGCGGGGCGCCGTCGTCGACGAATGGCACAAACCGGGGCCGGATGTTCCTGAGGAGCTGCCGGAGTGCCCGGAGGGCCGCCGCCAACCCCAGCGACAGTTCTGGGGACGACTCCGCCGCCGCGTCGTGGGCTCTGGCGTAGAGCGGCTTCAGCGCCGCCTTGCCGAGGCAGCCGAATATGGACTGGGACGCGAAGCTAAGCCTGCCCGCCAGCTTCTGCGCCGCATGTGGCTGAAGGGCATTCGTCTCCAGCGCCGCCTCTATGGCCCGGAGGAGTTTGGCCACCCTGGAGGGGGTAGGCCGCAGGGACACGCCGTCCGCCTCAATCGTCATTTCCACTCCTTGGACCACGTGCCGGGCCGCCGGCTTTTGGGCCTTCGACGGTTTGGTCTGCAGGCCGAGCTCCAGGAAGAGGTCCGCCAGGGAGTGGAAGGCCGACTCCGCGAGCTCCGGGAGGTCGACGCCGTTGAAGTCGTCCACGAAATGGCCGCCGACCAGCCACAGCAGGACGCGGGTCAGCGCCTGCATCGCATCCGCGGCCCTGTTAAAATTCCAGACCGACGCCGCGGCTCCGAAACACATGGCCAGGTGAAACCAGAGTGTCAGCCCAGCCGGTGTCGCCAGGAACGTGCCGGAGTGGGCCGGGTGCCGGACTGCCCACTGCCGGTAGGCGTTGAGCAGGTCGTGCCCGAACAGCCTGGCCGCCGGGACCCCACGATTTCCTGCCAGTTCCACCACGCGCCGGATGAAGTCCACCACGTCGTCCACGAACTGGTGGGTGGGAACGTCGTGCGCCAGGATCGTGGAATTGTGTCCCGAGCGCCGCCAGTCTTCCCCTCGACGCACCTTGGTGTTCCCCTCGCCGTCCTCCTGCACGATGGCAAAGGACGCCGCGGCAAAGTGGCGGCCCGGGGGCGGCGGTACCAGCCGGTCGGCGCCGGGCGTGTTCAGCACCGGCACGGTGACAATGTTCCATCCCGCCGGCGGGGCCGTTGGTCCGACCACCCGGCCAAGCCTGGCCTCCGCCACGAGTTCCGTCAGGAGGGTCTCCCAGTGCTTGCCGGGCTTCGCTGCCGAGGCGCGCTTCCGGACGTACTCCCAGTTGGTCGCCGCCAGCTGGTCCAGGGACACCGGGTTCTGGTAGCGGCCGTCCGTCCGGTCCTTCCAGCCGGGGCCGCGCCGCAGTTCGTCGAGCATGTCGAATCCCTGGGTTAGGTCCGCCGTGAAGGCCCTCGATGTCGGGATAGCCCACCACGCCGAGGAGTTCCAGCAGGACCGGGATTTGCGTCGGCCGGTCCTTGTCCGCCGTGGCGTAGGTGCTGCGCACCGGAGCCGGGCGCTGGGCCAGCCAGGCCGCCGTCTCCTCCGCGCGGTCCGCCACCATCTCTCTGATCTCCTGCAGCACAGGTGGCCAGTTCCACCGCCGGCTCCAGGCTGGGCCGCCGGTGACCGTGCAATGGCTAAGCCGCCAGTGCTCGTCGGGGTCGTCCTCCGGCAGGTCGAGCCGCGACGCCAGGCGAGGCGGGGCATGTCCAGGGGCCCGGCGCCGAACTGTGAGGCCACCCTGCTGGTGGTGGTCCTCGGTGCTACTGGCACCGACGCCTCCGCCGACTGTGCCACAGTAAGGGCCATGAGCATTGCCAAGAGGCGCCGGGCCACTCCCCAGTGCCACCCATTGGCCACGCCGGCAGGGCCCAGGCCGCCGTGAAGTCCACCCAGGTCCGGACCCTGGACCGGAAGGGTCCCTCAGAGGAGCGCGCCATGATAGCGCCCACGGCTCCGCTCCACCAGGCGCCTGTTGGTGGCTCGCCCTGCTCGCCTGGCGGGAGGGCCAACCTGCTCTCCGCCGGGCTGGGCGCCGGGGCTCGACGTGAGCTCTCCGGGGCCGGGCGCCACGCCCCAGCCTAAGGAGCACCTCTTCTGGCACGCCGGCCAGGAGCAGCGCGCCAGTGTTGTCCAAGGCGCCTCGGAGGTCGTGCACCCCCACCGCCGGCAGGATCGGCAGGAACTCTTGAGCCTGGATGTCGACGAAGGCCCGCGCCACCTGCGCGAACCCGCCGCCGGCCGAGAGGTCAACCGCCGACATCCTTGAACCGGGGGGGGGAATCTTGAGCCGCTACGACCTCAACGAACGCGCCACGACGATTAGGGTAAGAGGGGCCGGGCCGGGTGGGCAACAGCACTGCCACTTGCGCCGACTGCACTCCAGTCGCACACCGCCGGGCCGACTTTTCGCGCCAGGCTATGATCCGAGGCTCTTGGGCCTCCCGACCTGCACTTACGGCACGCCGGGTAAGCAACGGCAGAAACTAATTAAAGCATCGTGGGCCTGCGGCCGCCGGAGAGGCCCGCGAAGGCATCGCGGCACCGCCGGGACCAAGAAGAACAAACCGGCTGAGGGCTACGCCAGGAGACCTACCATGCGGGCGATCGCCAGGAAGAGGTAGGGCTCGCCGAGGTCAAAGTAGCCCGCCGGCGGGTGGCCCTAGAACCGGCCGTCACGCGTGTTCCGGAAGCGCCGGCACGCATCACAGAGGTGATTGTTGTGCGCCTCCAGGTCCTCCGTGCCGCCACGCCGAATCAGAACCGGTCTGAGGCATCTACCGCCGGGGCTTTGGCAGACGCCTTCAAAGCCGGGGCAGGGCCGGCCACACCAGCCAACGCACCAGATCTCGCCAGCCAGCCGCTCCGGGATGCGACCGCCGCGATGGTTCGGCAGCAGCGAACGGACTATGTAGTCCGCTGCGCCGGGTGCCGTTGGCACAACGGCCGTGGGAGCCCCGCCGGCGCTCCGGACCCGGTCCTCGATCTGCTCGAGGATCTCCACCGTGCCGACGATGGACGCCTGCATCGCCGCGGGGACCGGAACATCGGAGGTGGCGCCGGGCTGGTTGATGCGCCTGAGGTGCTCCTGCCACTCGACGGAGCACAGCCGGATGCGGATGTCGACCAAGCGCCGAAACACCTCATCATTACGGCGCCGCTCCAGCTCCGTCGCACCGCGGCCGGGACGCCTCGGCAGCTCCGGGAACCCCTCGCCAGTGACACGGTTCACGGTGAAGGTCTCGCCGCGAATCTCCATGCGGACGAACCCCTCCGGGATGGGCGCCGGCGTTGCCGCAGGCGGCGCAGCCTGGGACGCCTGGGTGCCCGCCGCGATCTCCGCGGCAATCTGGTTCTGCAGCGCCACCATCTCTGCCGAGTTGGGCGCCGGCACCTTAGCCACTGCAGCCGGCTTCGCCGGCGGGAACGATGTCTTCTTCGCGGGCGCCGGCTGGCTAGCCGACTGGAAGGCTCCCGCCGCGGCCCATGCCCTGTAGAACTCCGCCGAGGAGGTGAAGTTCAGGTCCGCCGCCTGCCTGGCGTTTTTTGGAGAGGAAGCCCTCAGAGCGCCAGAGAGCCACCGGAGGGCCCTTGGGCCTGGGCTTGGCCGGGATCGCCGCCACCTGCGGCTGCTGCGGCGCTGCACCCTGGTTCGCCGGCACTGCCGGTGGCTGCTTCCTTGCCGGGGTAGCGGCCAGGGTGCCGGCTGCGCCTGCGTAGAGGCCGGCGGCTCCGGGCTAGGCTCGGGGATTGACTGCCCCGCCGAGCTCGCCGCCACATCGTTGGACCCGGACGCTCCACTGCCGCCGGGTCTCCCATCAGTCGAACCAGATGCGCCACCAGCGCCGGGACCATCGGCCGGCGCACTTGCCTTCGGCAATGCCGGGTTTCCGCCTGCTGCTGTCCGGCTCGGTAAGGACGCCTGCAGCATCAAAATCAAGGCACGCCTGGCGCCTGCGGGGAACTGTTGGAGGAAGGGAGCCAAGTCCTCCCCTTCCTCCAACGCCGCAAGGATCACCACGAAGGCCGCCTCGATGTCAGCCGGTGAGTACGACATGGCTCGGCCGGGAGGAGATGCTACAGAACGCCTGGTCACCGAAAAAGCGACGTCGAGCCGGAGCAGCTGCCGGCACGACGAGTCGCTAATGTCCATGCGCACACACGTGTGCTACACACCAATAACGGCATGTAGATGCCATCTCATGCAGGAGGGTTAGAAAATGCGGGGACAGACGGTGCCGTATGACGATGTGAAAGACTTCATTCAGCGTGCTGCCGCAGGCTCTGCAGTTGTCGAATCTTGAAATTTCATTTTTTTGAAACGGAGCATGTGTATGCAGCAGCCACTCTGTGGTCAGGTGAATCAAGCTCACTGACCTCGCGCGTGACTCGAAGGTATGCACAGAAACTTGTATGGAGGGGAACGACTGTTGCACACTTCCTGAACTTCAGCATGCAGTGCAGAGCAGATGCAGATTTGAGGGCGTGAGCCGTCACCGCACCGTGCCCGGCCGTACCCAGGGTCGCGGCTTGGTGGACAGGCGGCCAAGCAGCGCAGCGCCTCGGAAGAAACGAACAGAGCTGCTCTCAAGGTCTTCGGGGCTCACCGCTCACAGCGCACTGGGGCCCGAGCACCAAGGAGCACTTTCAGCTCTGAGCCTTTGTTCCGTGCCATGCCAGCAACGGTGGCGCTTCCGACACTCCACGAAGAAAGACTACTTAGGCACCAACACTGCAACAAGTCTCGCAGGCGGTCCACCGCACCTTGGACAGCTGACAGCCGTCAGGCTGCAAGATAGACTCGGACGTCCGTCTCTCGTCACCCTTCCAGCATCGTACTTCTGGCTTCGCTTGGGTGCTTGCCCTTCAGCTCCTGGTGGAGGAAAACAATATCGTGTAAGACCCGCAGCACCTGTGCATCCACACACTGGTTCACGACCACCTTCTCCAGCAACAGCTGATTCACCCTCAGCCATACCTCGCACACGAGCTCTTCGTCGGGAGCTCCGTCTGCTGCTCGCTGGGAGGGGTCGGCAAAGGCCTACAGTAAAGACATGCAGGAGTGGCAGGGCAGCAAGCAGAGACTCAAACTCAGGGATAAAATGATGCTTATTAGGTCGCTTGACTCGCAGCAACACTTCTACTGCGCTGAACATCTCTGAGAGCAACTGCATGCGAATCCCATCCAGGCAAGGAGCTGCCAGAATGTTGTCAAAGCGGTTCAGAACTGGATGCCATGAAGACGCCACCTGATAGGTCTTGCAACAAGAGCGCACCCCTGACGGCAGCAGTCAGAGAGGTCCAGACACAGCGCTCCCATCGCTGAACCTTCAGCTCCTTCAGCTGCTCCAGGAGATCCACCTCTCCGCTGGCCATGCTCTTATCTCTTGCCCAGGGTACATGCGTCCGAGTGCTGCCACGCACATGTACATGCCACGCATGACTCCGTGCATTCACGCAAACTCTATCGTGCACCGATGCTTTCTTCCTTTCCGGATCTCGCGGTTGAGACCTGCTCCTGTCTACACGTCAGATAGCCAGCCCAGGCCGATTCGAAACGACTGCAGAATCAAAGCCCAGCTGCAAGACTGCTGAGAAGTTTGCCCTGCCTGGCTACATTCCGCCAAGTGCTCCAAAGCTCGCCGCTGAGAGACCGCCCTTAGCTAGCCGCTCAGAATCAAGGAGAACCAGTAGACAAGCTCAAACTCTGAAAAGAGCCTCACGCCCACAAAACCAAGCTCTTTGAGGATCTGGTCACTTAAGCTCCCTGCGGCTTCAGAGCCAATGGAGAGGGCGGAGCGGGCGCCTCACGTTGCATTGCCTCAGTTCCGAGACAATCCGTGCCGGTGCGCGCATACCCATCTGTACTCCCGGCTCGTGATGCTCGGCCCTCCACGCCGACCCGGCTGGGCAAGCGAGTTTCAAAGACCGCGGTGGCAGCTCATCTACGTCTGAAGTGGCCAAAGATGGCTTTTTGGCAAAGTGTGCTAGTACGGTTCGGCGTCGGGCGTGGCTACTGCTGCATGGTTTTGTGCTGCTGCAAGGTGTGCTGTTTGGTCTGCTCTGGTCCCACGGTGCAGGGCCTCTCGAGTCTTGTTGCTGGGCTGGCTAGGGCACGGGTGTCGTCTGCATGAAATTCTTCGGCAAAGATTCGTGCAGGTCGGATAGAGCCACGGACACAGGCAGTCACAGGTGTGCCAGCGAAGACCTGTCCTGAAACAGCTGCCTGCTCAGCCCCAGCTGTCATGCTACCGATATCTACCGATCTACTCAACAGAAGACCTGAGTCACTGCCGCAAGGGATTTCTGGCAGCTCTTTCCCTCGTTGGGCTCACTGTCCCACGCAAAGCCCTTGTACTGCGCTCTCAGTTTGGAAGCGAGCGCTTCTTCGAGTTGCCGGAGTTCCTCTTCATGAGTCCTGTTGGTCAGTGTGGGTTGTGTTGATGCTTCCCCAAGACTGGAAACCCAACTGCATGGAGAGGCAGCGCCAATAACGCACGGAGCTAGCACAGCTCTTCATTAAGCGCTGCAGTGTGCACGGTAATCCTCAGTCCCTTGGGTTGTGGCTGCATCTTTTCACGTGATGGTAGTCCATAGATACGAAGTAGAAGGGCGCAAGATGACTCTAGGATGGCACGATTGGAAGCTGGCTTCATTCTCGGCTCTGCCCATCGAGTCTCAGTGCGAGTGGCTTCGAATCCGAAGGGTGTATCTGCATGCCAATCTTTGCAAACCCAAGGAGCTGGGACTTCCAGCTGTTTGGACAAGTGACGCGCACTGTGGCACATCTCCATGGAACATCGTAAGACCGCAGGACATACCCAACAATGTGTCATGATTGTCCATCTTGTTTAGGCCCTAGCTGGTCAAGTACGCTTCCTAGATGTTGGCAATGGCGGAGTTCACCTCCTACAAGTATGAAGAGTATGGCTGAAACGGAGAGGATTGACAATGGACACATCGCCAGGTGTCGCAAGAATTAACGCATGACTCACGCGAGCCGACACGACCTGGAAAGATGCCTCGGATGGTGCGAGAAACATCCTGCGACCTCCCTGAATTATCTGCTACTTCCAAGAAGGAAGCAGCAGCTCGCTTCGCAGCCAACGACCGCTTGAGCAGACAGTCTAGCCGTCAATACCTTCAAATTGAAGGTGAAGGGGCCTGCAAGCAGTGAAGGGGTCTGAAAGCCTTGAACCTTCCGTTTCTAAAGACGATGTCGAGCTTGCCACTCCACTCCATCGCAACCAAAGTGTTTCATAGCTCCTAGCTTCCCCACAGCGCAGTCGCGCATTCCTGCAGCAGGGCCACAGAACCATGAATCACCTGCGGCAGGGCAGCATTCCGCAGCTTCGAAGCTTCGCTAGTAGAGCGGCGCCTCCTCTATCTCTCGCGACTTCTCAAAAAAAAGACTGAGACCAGTTGCAAGTCGCACATACAGCATGTGGCCTGGGCTCAGGCGAAACCGAAGCCTTCGTGCCCTTCACTCACGGCCTGTCGCGGTCAGATTCGTTGGAGTGCGAGCTTCTTGCCGTTGCCGTGGTCAACACGACTCCAAGATGTCAATTCTAAAGGCAGCCATGTGCTTTGTTTGATATTCCATTCTTTATTGCGCTCGAAGTTGTTGCAACTGGGCCCCATCCGTAGTGGCCTAAGCCCTACGTTGAACTTTCCGCACACGAGGGGCGGAAGCAAGGGTGAAAGCAGCCTTGCACAAGAGATATAGCAGAGATTAGCATCTGCAGCGGGCAGAGCCTGCAACAGCTTGTCTCGAAGCACGTCTTCCGATGGGTACTCCGGCAAATCCACCCTGAGCATCAGCTCCACTTAGGCCGGCGTGTTACATGGTGGTCGCCACTAGCCTTCTCTTATCCCAGAATCTCGCAGAACTCTTGGCTGAGAATACATGACTGTTTTGACAAGGAGCACATTGACACTACAGTGTTGTTAAAGGAGAGGACTTGTGGCTCTCCCTTACAAGGTCGCGGCTGGTTGAAGCAGGTGTGCGCCGATGGGAGCCGATCTGAACCTCAGCGAGGACTCGTTGAGAAGCTGATTCCCGGTGTCTAAAGCATTTATGCCTCAAGCCCAAAAAAAAAACAGGGGCGTGCAGCCTGCACAGTACTTCTCCTGCAAGCGTTCGCCTAGGGCGAAACACGCCCTAACAAGCTGAGAACCCGGAGATGCATCCTTCTCGACCCAAACGTCGATGTCAACCACAGAAGTCCCTAATTCCCCGGTGGTCCCCACCCTCTGCTTGACCAGTATCTGGGATGCATGCCATATGCTCGGTGCAGCGAGAACTTCTGCGGCCCTCGCATGCCCACCAGACCCTGACAAATCCGGAAAACTTTCCAACTCCCTGCTGACTGAGACATCTTCCGTGCCATTGGGCCATGCCGCCTTAAAGCCTTCGACCGGAACTCGAGAGGTTCCAGTGGCGAATTGCAGGAACCACGCTCGTTGCTCCTTGTAGGTGGCTAAGAGCATGACCATGTCAAGCATGCAAACCTGGACCGCTGCTACACATGGACTTGCTGGTCCTGCGTAAACTCGCTCAAGACCTTCCAGAACCTTCAGTGCACATTCAACTGGCGCGTACGAAGGCATGGCTGTTTTGACCATCAAATCTGCAGCTAGTGTAAGGTGGACCCAAGGGCCGAAAGGTTTGAGCCGCAGACCACTGGACCTGATCCGACAGCGGCGTATAGTTGTGATACTCGGTGTTCTGCTTCAGGTCCTCAACTCCGACAGACTCGCTGCTAGACTATGCTGTCCCTTTCACCACCAAAAACAAGAAAAGTACACCTGCTGAACGAGCTGAACCATTCATCCTCGCTACTTGTACCGGCAGATTCCCTGTGACATCTGCAGGTGGGCTCCTCAATATCAATATCCGGCAGGCCCGAGATGAGAAGCTCCAGCTCCTTGTCGTCAAACAACGACAGCCTCAACTTCTCAGCAAGGCAGGACGGCATACTGTTGCGAAGGAGTCATGCAGCACATGGCTGATCTCTGTGGAAGGCTGAGGTGGAGACAGCTGCGGAGGGACGATCTCATGCAAGCCTCGACAGCAGTTGTTGAGCGCAGCCACGAATGGCGTTCCGGTCACCACCCATGCTCTGCCGGCCTTTGAGGAAGTGCTCTATTTGCTGCTTGACGGAGTTGGTCCTCGAGAGACATGACAGGCAGCAGCTGTCCGAACCCTGAGTCTTGAGACCTTTTGAAAATGGTGAAATCTGTTCGAGTGGCCACTGTGGAGAGAGTCGGAAGCAACAATGAATGAGGCCGCCACATCTTGTGCTCCGACATGAGTTGAATGTACCTCACTGCTCAAGGAGCTGGTGCAACAACACTCTCCTCAAAAAACTGCGATGTTACAGCACGTTGCATGAAGACTGCTCCGGGCGTTTAGGCTCCTGTAGGAAACGGAGTCCAAGGCCACGGCTCATGTTTGTTTTCGTTGGTTACGGGCAACGTTCTGCCCTGAGGCTTGAGGTCGACCACCTTGGTCAGGCAGCCCAAAACATCGGACATCACACGCTTTTTCTGCAACTGCTAGCAGCTTTGAGAAAACCGGGTGAGGCGCTTTGATCTGCCCCAGCTCATCGCTTTCCGCGGAGAAGGTGAGCTCGATGATATCTGTGATGTCCTGTCAGGAGACGAGCCGGCCTTCTGCGGCGGACCTGCAAACCGCCTGGACCAAAGGATACTATGCGTCGGAGCATGCGAAGACCAACATGTGCTGATTTTCGATCCCGTCACACCGTCACACTATCTCCATGGCACTTTCTTAGGGCGTTCGGCTCTCGCCGCCGTCCAGCAGCGATCACTACTGTGAGCTCAGGCCCTGGCATGATCCAGCATCCTGGATTCGGTGCAGAGCGAAGAGTGCAGAACGCAGAGCGGAGCCGCTTCGCTCTTCGAAGCGGTTTCGGCGACTGTGGCCCTGGCCATTTCAAATTGGAGAAGTACTCGGGATCAAAGGCTTCCAGATCAGCGGGGATCACCTCACAAGGTGTCAAGGAGGAGGTGGAGGAGCAGAGCACAGAGCACAGGGGTGCCCAAGCAGACCAGGCCAGGCGAGGATACGGGCGGGCGGACCGGGCCTTCTTTCCCAGCATGTGCTTGTAGAAGCCTCGGGTGAACCAGGCCTCCAGGTTCTGGCCATCATGAATGGCCTGGAAATCACTAGTTCTCAGGGAATCTGTGTAACCCTGTCCACACTCTGCACATGCATCATGCATGGCATCTGTGCCGGACGAGCCTTGCCAACCACCCTGCCAATGAAGTGGAAAAACTGGAGGTGGTCTCTGTTGACATAGGACCTGATTTCGTTGGCACAAGACCGTCTCGGAGGCAATTTCTGCAGGTGGCGGCCCACTTTGAAGTGCCGAAGCAACTACTACATCCTTTTTGCTTGCACACTTGGCTGCCAACATCGGATTCGGGTGGTAAGTGCAAGCCTCGGTGTCGCGCGTTGACAACGTCTCAAAGGCCGGAGCCAACTGAGCAAGGCCTTGCCACCGGCCTGCACAAAGAGGGCCTCAGAACTCGGAAGATTCAAGTCCAACAGGCTGCCTTTGAACAGGTCCGGCAGCTAACAGCGACTATCAAGTTCAAATCCAAGAAACATAGTTGGGGTTAAAAATTTCCCTGGCCAGCGCTCCGTACCACTCCTGGACCAACAGCTGAGACAAGCTGGCGGCTGGCACATCCAAAGACCTCCTCGACGACTCTGCGAAAGCTGGAGCAGCGTGGCTCCTTGGCCACACCCCCGGCATCAATGCCCTCTTCGCCCTGGAATTGAACCTGGCAGAAAAAAGGAGCTCACCAGGTTTTCAGATTCAGTGAGTCGGTCTGCAGAAGGCCTGGATCTTGGCCCTCATCTCCTCACCAGTCCGTATCCGGAGTTGGTGGTATGAGTCCTGAGTGTTTGCCAGTCACAAAGACAACTGAGCGAAGTCTGCAAGTTGCTTCGAAACACTGAGTTATCTGAGTTTAAGGCCATGAAAATCTCGTTTCGACGGACTCGTAAGCGGATGGTCTGATACCGACTTTCTAGCCTCCGAGACCTTGCCAGAGACTCTGCGACGGGCTGTGCAGAACAACATGAATTTGCTTCAGGAAAACCCGTGACGAGCTCCAGGCCGCAGCTGCGCCCTGGCAGAGGGGGAGGGGCTGCCAAGCGTCCCCACACTTACCACAAGGGATGCGCCGCACCTGAAATAGGCCCGCTTGTTGTCGAAGTCCAGACAGGTCGGCATATACTGAAGGACTGGAGCGAAAGACTTCGACAGAAGCGAAGGTGTCTGTTTCAGCAGCGCATTCAACGGACGCCGATGCTTCTTGCAGAATTGGCCGAAGCGAGATCTCTCTGCTGCAGACTGCTCGTGGAACTCGGCAAAAACGTGCCGTGACCTCAGCACAGGATTAAGGATGATCCTGCAGCTGCTCTATGTTGCGGCTGCTTCACTGCGTCAGAACGAGCAACAGCTGAGCTGGTGACGGGACTTTGCCCGGATGAGATGAGGAGGAGCCACCCTCGGTCATCTGAAGCGGTTCCTCCGGTCGTGGGGCCTTGTCCGCTTCCTCGGTAATGTGGCCATGGAGCACGAAGAAGGCTTCGATGAGCGGCAGCAGCCGGTTCAGCAACGGCTTCGGAGGCGACTGGCTGTTATCAGGTGAACCTGCATCTCCCCCCTCACCGGAGGATAGGAGCTTCTGCGCTGGCGTGGCTGACATCTCTGGGTCATCCAGGCGCTCCAATGTGCGGTCCAGGGCATCCCACAAATTTTCAACACGGGCCTCCTCCATGAAGCCCTCCGGCTTAGAGCTTCGGTCCGGCCCTGACTTTGAGGCCTCCCGGAAAACTTCGGTCAACGTCCTGACCACGCGAAGGAAGCGCGACTCGATCGTGGAGGGCTCTGCGGCGGCCGCCTCGCACTCCTGAAGAGCTCGCTCGATGTCCGTGACCAGGGTGGCCAGGACCTGCATCAACTCGCACCTTACGGTGTCTAGGTGCGTACGTGAAGCTGCTAGGGCCACGAGGATATCCCCTGCCAGTTGGAATGCATCACCCTCACTGCTCGAGCCGTGGCCACTGCCGGCATGGCAAAGGAAGTGGCAAAGAGCCAGCACGCTCTTTTGGGACAGGGCCGTGTGCATGTCCTCAATGATCTTGCTCCACCGCTGTGACCCGGGCGTCTCTTGCGTCTCCTCTGCGGCCGCGGCGCTGGCCGGAACGGTCGCGGCAGTGGCCTCGCCGGCCGCGCTGGCCGGGGCGGGCGCCGCTTGGGCGGGCGCTGTCTGAGGCAGACCCTCGCTGAAAGAACCTTCCGAGTCCTTGGAGGAGCTCAGGGCCGGCTGCGGAACCAGCAGCGCATGCAAGACGGAGAGAAGCCATGCCGCGTGTCGGGAGGAAGACAAGTAGAGTCTCGTGTTCACGAGCTGCATGAGAAGATTCACTGCGCAGTGGCCCGGCAAATCTGATATTGCAATCCCTTGCAAGAGCGAGACATCTCCCCGCGACTTCTTGCTACGATCACTCGACCATTGTGGTGCATGAAAAGCCTTTAACCAAGGCTCGCTCTGCAGCTTCCGTGCAAAGAAGTCCCCGCACTGGGGGACTCGGCGGAGTAAGTAGGCCAAAATGGCCAAGACTCTCTGCGAGCCCACAGACTGAACTTCCAGCGGACTGCGGTGTGGCTGCTTGGACTGGGATTGGGGCCCATCCAGTCCTTCAAAGAGGCAAGGGGGCGGAAGGGATTCCAACGAGGCCTCGGGCTCCGTCTGCCTGCACAGTAGGATGAGGAAGTGGCCCAGGAGCCACCCTCGAGTCACCGGATGCAGGGAGAGGTTGAAGCAAAGCCGCGTCATGGGCATCGTTGCGATCTCCACACGCAGATAGAGCAAACCTGAGCAAGGAGCCCAAGGAGTCTGTGCGGAGAGTTGCAGCAATAGGCTCCGGACGGCAGGTGTGTGGAACGACGCTTGCTGGTAGAGGAACCTCCTAGGAACAAGTACAGTGCAAGTAACATCCAAGTCCAGCGCGAACTGAAACATCGCACTCATGCCCTTAGCCCTGGACCATGTTTCTTGAAGCTACCGAATGACTCCAAGGAGAGTCTGGGGATGCTACCAGCGCAGTGCCATCATCGAAGTCTCCGAGGCGCTGCAATCTGGGGAGCTGTTTACTTCGAGACACAGGACATACGGGGACATATGAGCGGCGGCCTAAACCTATTGTTCGACCTGCTCATGCCGAGATCTCGGGTTCAACTACAAGATGCCATGCCGAGAACATGGGTCGGCCCCTATCGGTTTTCCTACTAGACCCTAGTTTTTCACCATCTCAGTTGCGCTCTAGTCATGTTAGCTCTTACGGAGGTTTTGTCCGATGCTCATATAGGGACATAGGGCTTTCTCCTGTTCTCCCAATTTTCCCCCACCCCCGACTCTCGTAGTTCGCCCCCAGTTCGAGCACGTGTCGCGCTCTTGGAGTGCTCTGCAGAGCCCGAGGTTCAGGCAGGTGCTGGTCCGCATCGTCGAAAGAGCTCAGCCCTGGGGTGCCTGGCAACAGAGTGCGAAGCCTACGAAGCGAGGCGTCCCTCCGCAATGCTGCAAAACGAGCTGGCTCTGTTGAGCGCGGTGCTGCATAGCAAAAAGCCCGCTAAAGAGACTTGAAGCCTTTTCGGTGCTAGGCTGTGCGTCCTGTATCAGAGTGCCCGAGACTCGTGACTCCTTACGAAGGTCCGCCACCATGAAAACACTCGCCAGCTTGGCCTGCTTCACCTGGCAGCGGGCTTCCCACTGCCAGCTGACCCCGTGATGCATCAAATTGGTTGCAAAAACCGCTCGCCAGCCATGGCACCTTGTCCTCGAGGCGGTCTCTGTAGACCGATGGGCCTCGGAAGCAGACAGCGGCTCGCCATCTGGAAGCTGGAGTGGGGGCTCTTCCTGCTCCCTGAGCAGTCAGCCCACCCCAGCGGCGTACACCGCTAGAATGATGAAGGAGCTGCTGCCTGATTCGGCGCTGTATCATTCTCGATATGCGATGAGTTTACCCGCTGCATGCGTTTGCTGACGATCAGCAGCTGTGCCATGCACTCGAGTGCCGACTGAGAAGACGACTCGATCATGAGCAAGTGTGCGTGCTGCCGCGGCCATGCCTGCCCGCTCAGGCACCCGACTCACAGACAAGGTGGACAACATCTGGACAACACATGCAGAGACAGAAACGCACACAGGTTCGGATCAAGACTTACTGAGCACATGCTGCACCGCGCATGCACAGGAGGTAGGTACACCAAGGAAAATTTGTCGCTTCAAGTATCTCAGGCAGCAGACCCTGCCATTGTCATTGACCCAAGCAATTCCTAGTTTCCGAAATTGCCTTTGGCCTCCATAAGGGCCTGACCTAATGAGTGCGCCTGTGGTTGGGCCTGGGCCGCCTGGGCCTGGGCCACTCGCTGGCTCGGGCCCGGTGCCTTCCGACTGCAGACTCCGGGATTGGGTCAAGGCAACCCGGCAACCCCTGCGATCTTCACGCCTGACTCAGACCAGGCGGTGCTATGCCGACCACCGGACGCCCAGACACCTGCAGCTCTGACATGCACCACACTGGAGAGCGCGTACTTGTTGGGCTCATCCACCCGCTGCCATTCAATGCGACTTGCTGCACTTGTTGTCCAACCACTCCAAGGTCGTCAACGGTCAAGCCAGCCCAGGCTGAACAAGACTGAGAGAACCTACCTGAAGCCTGGTGACCTGGTGCTGGGCGGCGTACTGCCGGAACCTCACGCCGCAGCGCAATGCGTGTAAATGCCTGAGTGCTGCTTTCAGGCTCTGGGTAAGGTCAGTGGCATGGTTTTCGGAGGCAGGTCGTGAAAGCTGGCCCCACCAAGCTCGCTGCACGATCTCGGAGAAGCTGCCTCAAAGGCGTGTGGTCTGACAGAAACAGAAAGGTTGTGCTCCCTCGAGCTTCATGGCCCGGGCTATAATTACTGTTAAGAAAGCAGAGGAAAAAACACAAAAAGAATCTGAAGCAACAAAGCAGCGCTTCCGCCACCAATTCGGCCGGAAGGGTCCGAAGAACTTCCTGCCAGGCGGAGGCAGTATATGCAGTTGACCTCTGTGCTCCGCCTGTCTTCTCACATCATCCGAGCGGGCAAGTAAGGCACTCTGGCATTCTATTGTTGTTCTTGTACCAGCAGAGTGAGGACCTACTTCGATGATCCTCGATGCCAAAGTCGCTACAGTCTGCATGTCCTCGGGAGCGCTCAGCAGCACCTCTTCGCGTAAGAGGGGGTCCAATGACCTGGCCGGCGCTTGCAAACATGGAAGATACCAGCACTGACCCACCACAACTCTCACAAACTACCACGACTCGGGCTTCACCACAACCAATGCAGCCTCCTTTTTTACCTGTAGTTTCCTGTTTGCAGGTATTGCGAGCCACGCAGTGTTGTTCGCAGGCTGCGTGCCCCTCGGGCCAAGCTCTTGTCGCTGGTGTTCCCTCGTGCCCGAGCCGGGCAGACGCGATGAACGATGCATTGTCCATTTCACTGCTCTGAGTCGAGCCTCAGGGGAGCGTACAAACTGCCTGAATCGGGAAACGGATTCTGCACATACGTTCACACTTCACACTACCGAAGATCTCTTCTACTCTGCCAGAGGTCCCTGAGACCATTGCGAGGTGGTGCAGCTGCGCTTGCCTGATGCAGTCTGCGACAGCTCCACCATTACAGGACAAAACCAATGAGAAGCCCCACTCAACGAGTCCAAAACGACTAACACAGGTCGCAATAGGCGACTGCTGGTCATCATATCTGTTGTTGGGGGGCAGAACTGACGGTAGCGCAGCTTTTCCATGCTTTCCCCACACTCCACAACATGGAAATATCACCAAAAGAATCTGCCTGTTCCACCTCTGCGACCGCGGTGGTGCGTTCACAGCACAGGCAAGATCTACGCAGACTACCGAGGATGACGACGACGACATCGAAGAAAACCAGTGCCTGCTGCTCCCGCCGACGGACAGCTTCTTCTCGGAGGACCTCGCGGAGTTCCGGATTCAGGCTGAGTAGCCTTTCGACTACACTGACACTACACTACACATTGACAACACCGAAAATCTCCGTTCCGCATTCCAACATTCCAACTCTCCGAAGTTTCCGATCGTCTGCGTCTGCACCGCCCGAGCTCGGCCTCGTCGCGGATCTCCGCGGGCAACGCCTCGAGCACCACCGCATCCTGCAGCGAAGCGACGAAGCGACGAAGCGAAGTGCAACTCACGCCGCCTTTTTGCGGCGTGCTTCTGTCACCCCCTCTCAGGCTCTCAGGTCGGGGCTATCTCCGAAGCGGCGCTACCGGCCTGAAGCCAAGCGAGAGCTTGCGACGATCACTAGTCTTGCGGCCATTTCACATCGACAGCGCAACCTCGTTTGCTGTCGCCGCTGCAGGGTCCGAAGCCTCTCACGTCCAGGCAGCAACACCCACGGCCCACGGCCATCCGCGGCCCGCGGCCGCGGCCCTGCGAGTCTCATGTCTGGCTCTGGCTCTGCCTGTGGAGCTCGGCGCAAGTGATCGAGGCCTGAGCACTGCAGGTCGATTGTCTCTCGTTGGACCGCCGAGCAGCTACAGGGACAGGCTCCGGGCTCACTTGCGACACCTCTGCCATGACCACAGATGCGCGCATGTCCTGCCAGCAGTCCGCTGTGACATGACATGGCTGCTTCAAGCGGTGGTTCACGCAATCACTCGACTCGATTCCCATGACTCGCCAAACTGCCGAAGCTCTGGGCCTCGGGAAGCGCCGCCACCACGGAGATGTCGATCCCCGCTGCTTGCAGGATCGCGGACTGACTGCAGCCCAGCCTGCGGGATGCGGCGAAACTTGCTGTCTTGGTGGAGCTACGATTCCGCAGTCGTGTCCACCTGGATGCCAGGCGCTGCAGCTCCGAAATTCCGAGGCAGGCCGCTGCATCCTCTTCCTGGCGTTTGGATGCTTCCCCCTTTCAGCTATGGGCCGTGGGTCTTCCTAGGGCGCAGCTCTGGTAGAGATCACTTTTCCATACTGCTACTCCATTATGCACACATGCGCACACACGCGCACACGCAGACACACACTTGCTCTCGGATCACACACAAACAGACAGACGTTTTGACTTAGACACTTGGTGCAGATGTCTGCTGTGAATATGCCCCAACATTGCGTGGACCGTGTTACTCAACTCGTAATGATGACAATATCTAACACTGCGACTTGAAGCTTCAGAGGGCCGTACGAAACTACCAGTGAAACAACTGACATGAAAGTCGAACCTCCACTGGCCATGGAAATCGCTTGCAGTGGGACACTGAGGTCAATTCGGCAACAGTGTTTTCCGCGATGCGAGGCCCCTTCGCTGGGGGGGGGGGGCGTGTATGCTTCACGAGGCAAATCGCTGGTACAGTGCTCATGCATCAGGAAACAAGGCCGTCGGTACTTTCCAACCCGCCTAAACTTACGAATGCTGATGGGTGGTCGAACCCTAGCAGTATGGCTAAAATCGACAAGCAGTGGCAAACGAAGTATTGCGTGCAAATCATGCTCAGCCCACAGAAGCCCCTGAGCCCATTCACAAAGATTTGCCGAACACCTGTGTTTAAGGCAAGGCATCGGGAAGAAGAACGGCAGCATCCATCCCTGTGAAGTGCTGGAAGCATGGCCCAGTCACAGACACAGACACACACACACACACACACAGACAGACAGACAGACAGACGGACAAACTGACAGACGGACACACTCACCTGCACGCGCGCACGAGCACTTCACCTACCTCCGCTGCTTGCTCCACGGGCTCTGCAGCATGGTCTGCAGGCTCGGCAGGCGCAGCAGGAGGCTCCGCAGGGGGCCCAGCTGCCTGGTCCAAGGCCGCAGATTTGCAGTGCAATCCCAAAAAAACTGGCATCATCTTGGTAACGACATGTTCACTCCCATCTCTTAGCACTGGCTTCACCGGCATTGGTACTGCTGGACATTGGCCGGCAGTGATGGAAAATAGTACCGGTGCGTACCGATACCATACAGTCGGCTCGTCTTGAATGCCGGGCAACAGGCCCGAGCTTGTTTAAAGAGCGATTCATCGTCTACACCCACCTGTGCCACAGTTTCTAGAACAAAATGGTCGTGTGAAGACAGATGCCACAAGAAAGAGCCTGTAACCGCTATCTGCGTACGGAATGACGTGGTATCCGGTGGGATGGCAGACTGCAGCATCCGGTTTTCCCGGTTCTGCTGTGCCCGGTAGGGAAGAGGTGCTGGAGCAACAGAATATTTGTACCGCCAATCTGCTGCCATGCTGAGAACCTGGAGTGAATGGACCAGGATTCCTGAACTTTCGACGCTGTGAAACAAATCAAAGTGTGCGGGGAATTCTTCAGGTTTCGGCTCCTTGTCTGCACCAGGGGCCACGGGATCCAAGGCAGCACCTGCTCCGACATGAACCCGTGACGGTGCTCTTCATCGTCGCAGTCCTCTCAGTTCGTTGCCCCTGGCAAGTTCGGCTCCTTCACCACGTGGGAAGGTCCCTCGAGGGACTTTCGAGACTCTGCCACCCCATCGGAGCTCAACAGGCCCAACAGCTCTGGGGCTCTTGTGCCTGAAGATCGCATCAAACCATTTGCCTCGCGGAGATTAAGAACTTGCACCTTGTCCTGCAAGAGATGCAAGACCTGCAAGTGTGATCCACCACTGTTCGCGGCTTTGGCTATGTCAACCGCGGTGTGCCCACGCGAAGTCTTTTGCAGCGGGTCGGCTTTGGCTTGCAGCAAGATGTGAAGCATATCGTGGTCACCCGTCCGCGCGGCTTCGTGGATTGGGTAAACGCCGTTTCGGCGGAGACGGAAGCAGCCTGTTGGAGTCTGCGGCTCACAGACTTCCGAGAATCCATGCGCTTGCAGAAAGTCCTGGAGCCTTCTGGTTCTGTGCCGCTTTAGTTTGCCCCGTCTGCTGGCAGGCTCTGTGGTGCTGGACTGCGAAGTGTTCAAGCCAACACTTGAGATCTCGACGAAGGTGTTCGGCAAGCCCGTGTCAATTGATGAGAAAGCGGTGTTGACAATGCGCGGCCGCGACACTCTCCCCGGCATGGCTGCCGATACTCTTGCTGATTGCAAAGTCTGAGCCGGCCAGAATCCGACGTGTGAGGTAAACGCATGGTAGGTAGGAGCTGAACATTGCAACAAAAAGATTGCCAAGCTGGTGTGATGCTTTTGGAACTGCGATGCGTCCCGGCATGAACTAAGGACTGCCTTCAGCGAGGTCATGGCATTGTCTCAGGAAACAAAAAACAAGCACTCCTCAGAGTGCAGCAGTCCTGCAAATTCTGCAAGCCTTTGCCAGATCAGATTTTTGGCCCTGCTTAAAGCTTTGACCGGCGGTGCTTGCTGTTTTTGTCTCAAGAGTTTCTCTGACCGCCACTTGCAGCACCTAAGTCCAAGGCCTTGGGTTCATGCTCCAATGCTCGAAAGATTCGTTGCGAAGGACCGGAAGAATCTGATCTCACTTTCCTTGCGTCCCCAAGAGTGCGGACCCTTGCCCGCTCAGTACACCGCGGTGTACGTTTCTTTTCAGGTCACTCAAGTCACCTTCGAAGAGAGTGGTGCCGTCTGGCATCCTCAGCGTGAGACGCGGAGACACTGAGAGACACTGAGACGGAGTCTTTGACCCGACTGGGTTTAGCCGGGAAGCCGGAGAGTGCCATGGCCCTGGGCCTGCACAGGTCGGGATCCACACCCTTAGCCCTTGTAGATTGCAGCCTTCACCAGAGTAGTGACAGTCTAAGATGCTCTACAAGTCTACAACTGAATCAGCACCATGTCAGATGCACTCGGAGGCAACACCGTGGCCTGCCCCTGCACAAAGTTGCATGTGAGAACCCGTCCATCAGGCAGCCGAACACATCCCCGTCCGTGACGCCTTCCATCCTGCGACTCGGTGGCAGGCGGCACTGTTGGAAGTTGCTGCTCGCTGCTCGCGCGACTCGCGCGTGCCTTCGCCCGGTCGGTCCTTGAACTCGCCCCAGTACGATGCGTTCTTCTTTTCCAGGACCCCTCGACCCTCAAAGCGTCCAAGACGGAAGTCTCCCTTGTAATGGAGTCCATCTGCAAGGCGAAGACGCCCAAAACCATCAGGGCGACCATCCTTCATTTCTCCTGCTATTACAAGAAGCGGCTCCAGCTGTTTGGATTCCGGGCGATTTCGGTCGTCCTGGCCTTCGTATTCGCTTCCATCTGGCAAACAGCGCTTCGATTGCTTGCACGCCGGTCGCTCCGGCGTAAGGTCGCGCTGTCTTGACAGAGGGACTCGGCGGGGAGGTGTCCGCGGCAACCTCACCGAGCTAGCGCAAGACAGCATGCACCCAGCCACAAGCCTTTACTCAGTATTCACTCTCTGCCGAGCTTCGAATTGCCACGTGAACTGCAGCTTCTTTTTGGAGGGATGCTCTTCGGAGAAGAACTCTCCGAGGAAGACGAGGAAGAAGACGAAGACGAGGAGGAGCTCGAGCGATTCCGGCATGGAAGGGTTGGCCGAGCAGTGCACGCCTGCTGGAGGCCAGAGCACACCAGCTTGCGTCATTGTTCTCTGCATTTTCGCGCGGTGTGCGTCTGCGTCGTTCGCATGAATGCCTGTCCGTTTGTCTCTGTCAGTCTGCACTGTCTCTATGGAGAGGCACAGGGCATGCACAAGCGAAGGGTGTGATTTCCTATCGACATGTTTGAGCATCTGTACTACGATTCGTAGCCATACCAGCCTCTGATACATCAACTGCTGTATATAATATAACATCTTTGCTTGCTGGCGCTGCTGAATGCTATCCGATGAATCTGTAGATACTAGGAACTTACAAACGGGGATGCATGGTAAACTAAGCATGTGCGACGATCATGCATGTCTAAGTGGCCATAAACACGGCGCGCCGTCAAGATGTGGAGTTTTGGGTAAGGAGCAAGACCAGCCTCGCAAATGGTTTTGCTGTTCGATTCTGAGCTTATTGGTCGCGTTTCAAAAAACCTGGTATCCACCTCAAGCACAGCTCCCGCACCCTCTGGCTTGAACGTGCCACACATCAGTATTCAACAGCAACATCGTAGGTGCAAGCCGTGCTGCGAAACGTCTCGCAACAACCGTCTGGCGACATGTCTGCACCAATCACTGGAGTGTGGCCGAACTCTGCTCGCTCCTTGTTGCTGTGTATTCGCTCGGTGCTTCATTTTCGTGATTTTTCTGTGTAATCACTTTCCGGATAGGATAGGACAAATTACGCGAAAATGAACGCATATGCTCCAAGAGCTGTATGAAGGCACAGTAAAGCAAATCGTCCATTGTGGAACCCATGGATGCTTGTTGTCGCTATGCATTCGCACACCTGGACTTGGTAAATATGTGGTCCAGCCTTTTGTTGCCTTGCAGTTGGGTCCTCACGGGTTCCACACGGATCCTAATGCTTTTTGTGCGTTCGCTAGAAGGCTGGACCAAGTATGCGTAATCCCGGTGAAGTTTAAGAAGAAGCTGTTACTCAAGAAAGACACGTAATGGGTTTGTGTACCACCAGGCAAATATATTGGGATGCTATGTCTGTTTCTACGTATCTATATAAGGTCCGCAAAAGGGACCGCAGGGGCGCAACCATATACACGTGCATGCTTATACATGTTTGCTTCTAAGTTGGGCCTCGCCCGGCTGAGTTGTGGCCGGCCCTCGCTTCGGTCGGCTTTGTGTCGTAACAGATTGCTTTGGCGTCGGCACTTTCCTAGCCAGCCAGGGAAAAGGAACACAAGAAGGGTCGAAGGAACGCATTCTCACGACGTCGTTGGCCTAGGGTCTTTGGAGCCTTCGGCGTGCTCTTCGCGCTTGGGGCTCGTGGCCGAACTTGACGACATTTCGGTGGCGTCGCGGCGTCCGCTCGCCTCTTCAGAAACACAACGGCATGTTTCAGTGCTTACTTGAGCGATAACGATTGTGCTGCTCTGCCGTGCCGTAAAGCCCAGCCTCTTCCTTGGCGGTGTTCGCGGCGTGTATGTTTCGGAAGTTGTCCTGTGCTGATAGCATGCACTGGGCCAGGAGTCTTTTCTCTCGCCCCGCTCCTCTTTGCTGGTGGTGTTCGTGATGTGCGCGCTTCGCAGGCAGCGAAGCCAGCCTGCAGCTGCCTGCCGAGTGCCTTCCGGGCCAGCCACTCTCACAGCTTCATGGATTATGCGATTAAACCGTTAATGCCACCCCGAGGGCCTGGGCACGAAGGCTTCGTCTGAGCTCTTTGATGACCCCATCTGGCCCCCCAAGCTGCTCTTTCAGCTGACCCGAGCTCACAAGCCTTTTCATTCCTGTCCACTTCGAAAAGCGACAGAAGATTTCAGACTACACGCGATCCCAACACACGTGGAGTAAGCCTGACTATCTTCATCCAATTCATGCACATCGGGAACAACCCGAAACATCGAGTGTCCTTGATAATGCCGGAACCAGCCAGGCTGCCGCAAGGCAGCGACTATCGCCCGGTAGTTCTCGGGGTGCACAGACGGCCCGACGAATAGCGCACCAGCGTTATTGTCCGCGAGCACATTCCGAGCAAGCAGCTCAGGCGACCCGTTGAGGTATCTTTGCCTGCACACTTCAATCAGTAAAACCAATCCGTCTCCGCACGACCCGCACACGTTTGACCAATTTGCAGCTCAGAAGCCAAACGCTCGGCTGCCCCAACTCAGCACGCCACCTGCTGTCCACCCGACTCAGGGACAGGGTATCGTCCGCCTTCAGAGCCTCACGTGCGGTTTGAGACAATGACAGAAATACAAGTGTTGAGCAGATGTAGAGGCAAGTCAAGATCCGGTTCTGTCAAAGTAGCTTTCATTGCAATCGCCCCTCCGAGAAGAGTCGGAGAAGGTGTGGCTTTCACTTCTAGATGTAAGTTTGCCGTCGGTGCGCCCACCGCTGCGAACACCAGTAGAACACTGCACTTGACGGCGTGCCTCGGCAATACTGACAGCTGCCCAGCAGCAGCATTGCATTGCTGACTCTTTCGGCATCTGCTCATGAGCTTAGCTCTGTTCTTTGTACACGTCCACACAGATGGCTGACACTGTGTTCGGCTGATGGTGCCATGGATGCCTCTTAAGCGGTTGATGGCGTGTGAACGCGTGTAGACGGCCTGGCTGCCGGAAGCAGTAGCCCTTGCTTTTTCTATGATCCTTCGGAGCCGGAATATCCCCGTCAACGAGCACATCAAGAAAGGCATGGGTCCTATGTCATGGCTGTCATGGCCCGAGTCATGCTCAGAGCCGTTGCAACCACCACTCAGACCGGACACCCTATGTCTGTTCACGCAGGTCCACCCCCAGGAAAGGTCGATCCATTTCTCCCTGAAATTCACAATCATCAGGCGCCTTGAGCGATTGTCTTGGCATGTCTGCACCCCGACATGCTGAAACCAGTCACACTGCAATGCATGGCTCAGACTTGACTTGGGGGTTCTGTAGGGGAAGACAACATCGAGATCAGGACTGCACCTCAGCTCTAGGCTAGGATCAATCAAATACGAACGGGATGCATTCAGTTCGAATGCTGTTGACTTGCAACCCACACAATGTGGCAATAGGAAACAAACACAGCAAGTCTCGTGACGAGCTTAGAGTGATTGTGCAGGGGTGCACCGTCCGAAGCCACACTCGTCTAGACGCATTTGCTGCCTTTGGCTCTGCAGCTTCTGCAGTGACAGTTCTAAGGATCGCCGCCTCTTCTTTGACGTTGTCCCCTGAAGCTCTTTGCTGATACCAGCGCTCCGCAGCCTTTGCCTGAGGTGCCGCAGCACTCCACTGTTCAGACCCTTCGGCCGACTCAGGCGACCTTCGGTTGCCAGCCGCTTCATTCCTGCAGGAAGCGCATCATCAAGGACGCGTACAGCCTTACGATATCTTACGAGAGAAGAAACAAGCCTCACCTTTCCTTGATAATGCCGGAACCAGCAGGGCTGCCGCAAGGCAGCGACTATCGCCCGGTAGTTCTCGGGGTGCACAGACGGCCCGACGAATAGCGCACCAGCGTTATTGTCCGCGAGCACATTCCGAGCAAGCAGCTCAGGCGACCCGTTGAGGTATCTTTGCCTGCACACTTCAATCAGTAAAACCAACCCGTCTCCCCACGACCCGCGCAAACGTTGGACCAATTTGCAGCCCAGCAGCCATACGCTCGGCTGCCCCAACTCAGCACGCCACCTGCTGTCCGCCCGACTCAGGGACAGGGTATCGTCCGCCGTCAGAGCCTCGTGAGCTGTTTCTTTTCTCGAGAGTTGGCACAAGCATGGTGCACTGAACAGACGACAGCACACAAGAGAAGCAAACAAACAGTAAGCCGCAAAAAAAGTCTGTGAAATGTGCATATTCTTGCAAACAACACGATCGACAGCCTGCTCTGCCGTACCGCCTGGTATGGCCTGGTACTCTCATCTGCACTTGCTTAACAGCCAGCGCACCTCTGCAATCATGGAAGCTGCCCACCATGGCGGCGGCGCCGGCATTCAGAAGAAATGGATCAGGAAGCAGTTGTGCTGAATGTCAACTTCCTGCGAGCCCTCTTCTTTAAGAACAATCATTGGATGTTCATATCACTCTGTGCTTGCGCACCCCTTCATTCTTGTTGAGAATTTGAACTGCTCCACAAGAGAACGCCCACATCTTTTCTGCTCCGATAGCATCTTAGTTTGGAGCCAAGCTCTCGACTCGACGTGAACTCGCATGCCACAGCAGAAGTCTGTCCACTGCCGGGTGCGTGCATCAGGTGTAGGCCCAGTCTCCCTTTAGCAGCTCATGCCCCAGCTTAGCAGCTTTAGCACTGTTCCATGGACTCCTTGCAAAGCGCCTCCTGAGGCTCCGCCGGAGGCTCCGCCTGAGGCTCCGCCGGAGCGGCGCCTGAGGTGCCTCCAGGAGGCTCTGGAGGTGGAGGCGCTTCGTGCAACGGGAGCGGCAGCGTCTGCAGTCCAGGAGCACCTTTGGCACGCAAGACGAGAGCTTGTCGTGCATTCTGCAGGAGTTTCATCAGTTCAATCTGCTGAGAACTTCACCTGGAGCCGGGATGCCCTGCACGGTGGCAAATGCCTGAGCTAAAGCCCATATGTCCGCGCTGCTGGGCCCAGTTTGCACCTGAACGCAGGCACAGGTCCCCATTACAACTTGAAGGTCTGCAGCTGATTTGCTTGGGTCTTCACTGCCTGGTCTGCCTGTGGCCCCCCAGCTGTCGAATAAATGACCTGGGCGGAGGGGTAAGAAGTTGACCTCGAATATCCTCACATGGCCCTGCACGGGGTCGCTTTGCGAAAGGCCCTGGCAGCACCTGGTACGAGGGCTGGAACCGGGATGTTGCCCTCGTGCGACACCTCCAGGCTCGATGCCTAAACGTCTGTGCTGGCATGGTACTACGGACCGCAAGAGGTGTCGGCACGCCCGCAAAGTTCGAAGCACTTGGGCGAGAAACTGAATCGGATGTCAATGGCATGCGGCATCCCTCTCCTATCGGTGCCTACTGCAGCAATGCGTTGGATCAACGCCCAAGAGTTAAAGTAGGCATAGGCGAACATGAACAACACTCGGATGAATGTGGGGCAGCTTACGGACCCAAGGCTGCACAACCGTGTAGCTGAACAAGATAAGCCTGCGCCCAGTATCTAATCGGCTGGCACAAACAGCTGGGCTGGAAGAATCGGCATTAATATTGCAAGGATGGGATCTCAATGTTGCGGGATCTCCTACACGGACTGCAAAAGCTAGATCAACCAGGATAGTGCCGTGACTTCTCAGGGTTCTGGTAATCACAGCCTTTGAGAAGCGGCAACGTCTTGCAGAACCGCATGCGTTTTGGTAGAATCACGGCATTATCACGACTGATCTGAGAGGGGGAATAAACTCGATCATGCACCGTGCTCATACGAACCCCGAAACTGACAAACACGGGATCCATACGCGGGGGACCCCAAGCTTACTGTACTTAATTTGAAGAGGCGGATGGCTTCGCGGCCTGGGGTGGATGCTCGGCAACCGGCCTCATCTCTTCGTCCTGCAACAGACATGGGCCGTTGTCAAAATTATGGTCCCTTTTGGGGTACTCTCGTTAATGGGTGCCGTATTATAATAGGACGCAAAAGGGGACCATAATTTTGACAACCACCCACATACCAGTTGATTCCTCTACAATGGGTGCCTACAGCCAGCTAAACGAAAAACCCGAGAAACCCAAGCATGAAACAGATGAAAGCATGGAACAACTCAACCTGTGTGACACAAATTCAAAAATTTTCTGGTTGTCTACAGCCTAGATGTTTGACAAAGCCTGCTCTGCCTTTCGATTCCCTTAAAGTGCCCAGTTGCACTACATGCTTCCATAGTCTACTGTGTCTTCTGTGGTTTGAGCTTACTCTTTCTAGTTTGGTTGTGTACTTGAAGATGAACCTATCTTTTCGTGTGTTCTTGTTTGGTGCCTGTATTGTCGATTACATTGCTAGTCTCTGGTGGATTTATCGAAGTCTCCTTCGCCCATTTAATTCATGTTGATTGTTGAGTCGTATGGTGGCCTAGCTAACAGCTAAAACACCCATGTGAACTTGCAGGACAAGGCGCAACGCTTCAATCCGCTAGCGGAAGACCCGCCTGAGGTGGGAGCTGTTCCGTGAGAAGCCCATCTGCGGCCGGCTCCGCTGGGAGCTTGGCTTCCTCGACACCTGGCGGGCGTTTGGGGCACTGCCCAGCCAGCACCGGACGGAGCCACGAAGCACTGTGCTTTTTCGATGTCCAGCGCAGCTGTCAATCCACGTCTCCTCCGACATCCTTTGGCCCCGCCATCAGTTTGCCTGGGCGGAAGCTTTGCAAAGATGTCCCTAGAGACAGAGACGCAAGGCTTTGTCGAACCGTGATCTGACCAGCTTGACTCAGACAAGTGGCTCATGAGCTGCTGCATAACCGTCCTGTCTGGCCATCAGAACTCGACACGAACGGCGGTGCCATGCAGGCATCACAACATCCGAGGCACTGCTGACGCTTCAGGATGCCCACAAAGTCGGGATTTCTGATGAGCTCCTCCTTCAGAGAACGGGAACCGTATGGCAGCAGTTGGTAGCATGGTCCGTGTAGACATTGACATCCCTTTGCCGCAGTCCTGCTTCATGACGGCCGCAGTTTCGACCTCATCGGCGGCCACGCCGTGAGCCTTCTCCACTTTAGCATGCACCAGCGCCTGCAGCACGACTTGTGGAAAGTGGCGTTCGGCTTCAGCTGAAGTCCGCCTTCAGGGCGACTGTGGCCGCCTTGAAATCCTGAAACTGATGAGTCTCAATCGGACTATGCGCGAAACACAGAAAACTCTGCTGTCCTTGGATTCCGCATTTGGCTCGCTCAAGAAACTGGCAACTAGCTTCCTGAGCTGACAATTAGCTTCCGGAAATCTTCATGGGAACATGCTGAGAACCGATGTTGACTCCTGAATACACTCGGCAGTCAGCTCCATGAGCAAGCAGCACTTCAGGCGGCTGTAGGTCCGCCCGTGCAGAACATCAAAATAGTTTGATACAGGCACGCATCTTCAATACACAATAAGGTGTCGTAAAGCTAGACCAACAACCAGCCGTGCAGCATGTCACTGAAAGAAATCGTGGTGAAACTGAGCGAAGAGTTCACTTCACAAGCTTTTCGGCTGAGGCATATGATGGCTCCCATTAGAACAGTGCCTACCCGCGCCAGGACGCAAATCACATGGATGCAACCACTACGTGCGAATTTAATTCACGGGCTCCGACACGCAACCCAATATGCAAAATGCGACATCATGGCAGGGAGCTAATCAGAAGCTTCGACTTGCCAATGTCGAAGGCAACACAGTGTGCAGAGTTAACAATGCTCACTGGTCCCAGTACTGTGAGCACCCACGCCAGCGAGAGAGAATGTGACGCAGTTTGCACGGAATGTCAGCTGCGAAGCTGAGCAGCAAATTGAAATGAGCGACAGCAAACCAGTGTGTGTTGTCCAACAATGTGATGACCAATCTGCTCTCACCCCCTGCCGTTGACTCCTCGCCCACTTCACGCTTCTCACTTCTGACTCTCGCTCTTCTCAATCTTCTCAGTCTCCAATTCTTTTTCACTCCCCAGGAGAGTGTCCCGCTCATAGCGGCACTGAGAAATGCCAGCAGCAACTTGAGCAGCATTTCAGAAGCAAAGCTGAGCAGCAAACTGAAATGAGCGACAGCAAACCAGTGCAGCTGCCAACAATGTGAGCAGCAATCTGCTCTCATCCCTTGCCGCTTGCCCTGCACTCTCCTCATTCTCATCACTTTCCTCACTCTCCTCACTGTTCTCACGTCTCACTTCTCTCACTTCTTCTCACTCTGCTTATTCTCCCCACTCCTCTGCACTCCGCATGCAAGAATGTCGCGCTCATTGCCGCGGTGAGAAATGAGCATCTCAGAAACAAAGCTGAACACCGCTGACTCCTCACTCTTCATTCTTCTCACTTTTCTTCACTCCTTCGACTTCTCTCACCCTTCTCACTTCTCCTCACTCAACAAAATTCTTATCCATGGGAAAGCTGAGCAGCAGGCTTCCTACTGTCTCTTGACTCCTGATTTCTCTCACTCCTGATTCCATCGCAGTCAAGTTTGCTCGGCGTCTAAGGTGGCGAAGGAATGTGAATCGAGTTGCGAAGGGGCCGAAGCACGCAGGGTAACGTTCATATTGCCTTTGCCTTCGCTTCGCTGAGCTTGGAGGCGCTCTTCTACTTGCTGTGGTAGTGACGGCTCCATTCCGATGATATAAGGAGGTGGTACAGCACCAACATGACAAACTGCCACGAACGGACCTGCCTTGCTCAACGGTATGAAACTGCACATCCCCTCCTGTCGCTGTCGCACGTCTGACGACTCGTCTTTCACCTCGAGCACTGCGCCACAACGCCATGGCCGCTGCCACATCTTCTGCTGCAGCACGCCGAGCTGGCGTCGGAACACCTCGTTGACTTGCAGGTTCAACGCCTTGTGTCTTGTCCCGTCGGTGTTCTTCTTGCTGTCGCCGAAGTTGCTGCAGCTGGGCCGTTTCGCGGCGTGCCAACTCGTTTTCGGTAGCCGTAACCAAGTGCTGCGCTACAATGCCAGCAGCCAAGCTGGCGGCTGCAGCAAGCTGTCATTGGCGTGACTGGAACCACAACACCGGGCACTGTCCGGCTTTCCGGGGCATCCTCGGCTCCGCGCCTTCCTCTGTAAGCTCCGCTGTCTCAAAGCCAGGTCCGACTCTCTTGAAACTCTGGTGTGCCGCTGCCGCCGTCCAGAACTCTGATCTCGAACCTTCTCGACGGATTCCTTTCATCTCCAAAGGATGACCGCTCTCTTCTTGCCTCGCTGGCCCCGCCGGGGCAACTCAAGGGGTGTGTGAGCCACGCAGCTCGTCCTGCATGGCTTCTCAGGAAGACTCGCTTCCTATGGAAAGAGTCTTGAACCGGTAAGAGCCAACAGGACGAGAGGGAGTAAGACAGTCTGGCAGTCAGACGATCAGATGACAGTAGTCATTCACACGCTGCTTGCCAAGCTTCTCCAGCTCCACGAGCGCAAACTCCTGAAAAACACGATGCGCCGAAGATGCCGCTATCAGTGGCCTTCAAAGGCCTTCATCGCGAGAATCTTCGCGACATCCAGGTCCGCACCGCCTGGCTTCATGTCGGCGGGGTGCTGGCCGGACAGCCGCACCATTGACTCCATCACCCAGGGGTCGTTCTGCTGCTCAGCCACCTGCTACCAGGACCACGTGTAACTATCTGTCTCACATGAGCTGTTGGCTCTTCGGCCTAGACCATCCAAAGTCGCAACGAGCCATATACAGTCCATCTCTCGTGGACTCTGCTGCCAAGGTGCCATGGCTTCAAACTCTTGGATACTAAGCCCTTGCTTCTCCAGCGGGTCGACTAGATCGCAGGCTTCCACACGCTGGTACGCTTCAGCTATGGAGACTTCCTGTCACGGCAATCACTGCTTGCGATTCCGGCTGTGCCAGTTCTACAGCCAAGTGGGACTCGACAGAAACGGCCAATTGCTCGCTCTCTCTGCCTTGCCGGACAGCTGCTCGCGGACGAGCTCCTGAAGCAGGCTATCGAAGAAGCTTCCAAGCAACGGATCGATGAACTTGAGGACTAAACTTGACTAAACTTCGTGATAGATGCAAACCTGCTTTCAGGCTGCACCCAAGCCGATTCACATATGTCATGCTGAGTCTACGGCATATCTGTCCAAATCAAATCCTCACCACTGCTGCTTCGTCAACTCTGACGGCATTTTCTCAACTCGGGCTGCACACACGCTTCCACGGGAACGATGAGACAGTCAATTGACAGCAATAAGAAGCCTCTACTCACGTCTGCGCTGATGTTGCTTCACTTGCGAGGGTTTTCATTGCTCGAGCAAGCGGCAGGCGAAGTCTCTGTCAAATTCAACCTCATAGCCCTACACGTCCGCAAAAACCGAATACGAAGCCAATGTCCCTGAGACTCCACCAAGGAACCTCCACCACCCGCTTTGCCCGCTGCTCCACGTCCAGCAGCTGCGTCAGCACCTCCTTCAGCAGCGACTTCGGATCCTGAGGGCCCGAGCACAAGACGAAATGAGAGTGATTTCGGGGCCTTAGAATAAAGCCTTAATAGGGTTTTGGGGGGCCCATTATACTATATTTACAATAAGGGACCCCCAAAATAGGGTTGGACCAGAATGTGGCCCTGGGCTTTCCTTGCCCGCAATGGAGCCATTCTCTTCCTCCGCTTCGTCCCTGCGTGTGACATGTCTCTCTCAGAGCTTCCTCTCAGGGATACAAGCTCTGCCTCAAGAGCAAGTAGAGCACCGCCAGCATGAACAGACTACCCGCCGCAAGGATTGCAGGCTTCAGATCACTCATTGCGGGCATCTGTCCTGGAAGCATGTCAGTTGCACCGCAGCACCGCGCCCCCAGAGTCACCGATTCAGACAAATTCAGAACGAAAGCTGGTGAAGGATGCAGATATTGATATGGAACTTTTGAAGCCCCTACCACTGGCTTCTACATAAAGATCGAGACCTCGTCAACCGGCCACCACAGCTCGGCCAATCCAGGACCGAAGAAGGGGCAGAGACTCTGTCGGATCTCGTAGGAAAAGGAGCCTTTCACGGTTAAAACGCTTTCTGGCTGGACTCTGACATCGACCTTACATACATCTTCATCTAAAGCTTCATGGCAAGCTTGAAACCGCTTGTGAGGTAAATCCTGTCAGTTTTCACTTCGCGAATTGATGTCTAAGTTGTATGTTGGCTGATGTTGTCTCGTTAAGAATCAAGCCAGCAGCTGCGGCAAAATCGCGGTCAAGTCTGGCAGCTGATGGCAAATCGATAGCACGGATAGGTTGCACGTTTTCGAACTTAAAGCAAGACACTGATCTTCATGAAGCTAAACTGCCACGAAGATCTTCGCTCGTGCATTAAAAAGGTATGGTTGCTGTCCCTGTCGCTGCAGTGGATCCAGATGTCAAGCCACAACCCTGCAAGACCAAATAATTTGTACCCATGCTGGATCTTGATACTGCCGTCGACTGGAACGAGCATGTCATTACCTTCCGAGTGTCACCACGCACCAAGCCTGGAGAAGCTTTCTTGGATGCTACTAGTTACGAGTATCTTGATCTTGTAATTGATCTTTATGCTTCCATGTCCGGGGCTGCCTGCCAACAGTCTTGGTGGCTGCTCAGATGGAGAAGACTGTCTGCAACCTAAGCAGATCATCGGAAAACTAGACCTATGCGGCCAACAACTCCTTCTCGGCAGAGGAGTACCTGTTGGAATTGCTTTCCACTGTGGTTTCTTGCAGGCACAAGGCTCGAAAACCGAAGACCTTGCATGGTTCGGACCTGCTTCCTCCACTCTGCCTTCGTTTCGGCGCACTCCTCTGATGCGCCACGGTATGTCTGAGACTCCTCTACGAAGTACAGGACGTTCTCCTGATAACTCAAAACGAAGAGAGCGAGGGCTGGCATCAGAAGTCTCTTCTGGCCTCAGGAGTACCCTGAAGGACTCCGTGGCCGAGGTTCAGGATATGCCTGGCATCGAGGCTTCTCCAAAAACTTTAACCAAAACAAAACATACTCCCGCGAATGTTCATTTACATCTCCAGCCTTCCAGGGCCTCCGACTGCATCGATCGACTTTCGGACCGCCTGAGCTTCCGGGCGAGGCGCAGACACTGACAGGCTCATGCCCACGGCCTCTCGGACTTCCGACTCACTGCCGTACCGCAGGATGTAGGGATCAACCTTGCAAGACAAGAACATTAATCGGGCGAAGTGCGAGAACAAGCTGGGCACAACCGGCCAGTTGCCGTCCAGGGTTATCAACGGCTGCAACACCAAAGCAAGACCATCCCAACTGGCAAAGATTGTCTTGAGCACGAGAATCAGCATGAGCCGGATGGGCATCGCAGCGGCATCGCAGCGGCAGCGGCACCACCACCACCACCACCAACACCACCGTCACCACCACCGTCACCACCACGAAAGATGGACAAAGCTAGATGACCTCTCCACACATGAACTCTGGTAGGTCCGGCACATTCCCTTGCAGGATGAGCCCTGTGCCGTCTACCTCGGCGCAAAGCCGTCCAAGGAGTCTGGGCCTTCGGGTCATTTGCCTAATAAATAAGAGAGATAAGAAACGATCAGCTTCAGGGTTAAAGATATGCAGCGGACAGGAGTGTCTGTCGTTGCAGCGAGGTGCGATCTTTGCAGCCTCCTCCAAGCGCATGTGCCTTTAGCATCCGTGTGCACCGTGCAAGCTGTGCAAGCGACAGTAACCGCTTCCCCTTAGATGCTGCCTAGCGGCCCGTCAACACCAAGGACATCTATGTGACCAGCCAGTTCTGTGACCTGAGAAGCAAGAATATACGACATGAACGAACCAGATCAGCCTGTTCAGGACTTGTCGTGATCGCGCCTGGTCCTGCAAGTAGGATGAGCCCCCGTTGGCGAAGTAGATTATCGGCACATCCGGACAAGCCTTGCCATTTGCAGCATTGGCAGCATTGGCACAGGTCATTTTCATCAAGCTCTGCCATGGTGCCTGCCGCAAGGTAGCCGCCACCTGAACGGCGAATGAAACCCTGCTGACGCTGCTCCAAGCACGCAGCGGACAGAGAGGCGACAACACGAGCGCCTGCTTCACGCAGGGCGCAGCAAAACGTCTCCAGAGCTCTGGTGTGAGGCAATGGGCCCACGACCTTTCAGCAAGCACCGGGAATCTGCGCAGAGCAGGTGTTCGGAGAAGTCTCAGCAGTTCGCTCAAAGATCTGGATGCACTGCGCCCCACTTTCCACCTGCAAGCTACAGTCTTCAGTCCCTCTGATCTTCAATGTGTTTCAGTCCCACCTGATAGATGGCATAATTGCTGATCGTTACGGTCATCCGGCGGAGGAATTCGTCCACAACCTGTCAAGCAGTGAGCTCTATGACTGCTGTCTAGTAGGAGCTGACCCTGCGGTGGATGGACGAAATCTTGCAGCACCCAGTCTCACTAGCACACCCGACCATGCTCTTTTTCTGCAGCTTCTGCAAGCAGCTCTAGTAGCCAAAGACGAAGATGACCTGGTCACCCCAGACAAGCTGAGCTCTGACGGGAGGGCTTATACTCACCCCCGACAGGTGCTTCCCCACGACCGTTCCCCAGTCCTTTTTGGGAACCGTGTGGCTAAAATCCATCTGCCAAGTGATGCATGATGCCATGCTGAAGTCATCATCGTTGTAGCATGCCCAGACAATGGACTGGACGTGATTGATCTCTTCGTCCGAGAAACCCTTGTTGAGGACCCATCGCGGATGCCCCTCTGGATGCGGCTTGTTTGCCATCTTCTCCTGCATCTCCGCGAGGTTCGGCCAAGAGATGCCTTCGCGAATGTCGTTGTCTGAGCTTTTGTGGTCACGCAGAGCTGAGCAGCTGGATAACATTAGCATCGCCACGAGGATATGCATGGCGCCAAGAAGCATGAAGCTTTGCTCAAGTACACAGACGACGAGCCGACTCCCAAACGCTAGAATCACGGCTGCGGATGGAGGTGGATTCAAAAACGACGGGCCGAATATGGTCAGTCCTAGAGATGCAAAGGGGAAGAAATTGGGGCAGCATTGCAGTATGTTCTCTCTGCATCATCCTTAGATTTAAAAGAGCTGCAACAAAAGCACAGAAAGACGAAACACGGTTCTCTGTTCTCTCCCTCAAAATACAAGAAGGCTGCGTCAATGCTTTGTCAGCTAGCTCGATGAAGTGGTCCTTTGTTGGAGCCCTCCCTGCTCCGAACAGCCTGCTATCAAAATACATCCAGATCAACGTGTTGCTGAGAACTGAAAGAACTAATTGTCATATTCATTAAATGCATGATGCAATCCCCAACACTTCACTTGCTGTTCCACAAGTCGCTCGATCAGTTTACTTCATACGTCATGATATCAAGACAACCGCTTCGGAGAGCAGCAGAAAGAGTAATGCACCCTTCAGAGACCAGGCCTCGGGTTTGCTGAACATCCACTTCTTGAAGAGGGCCGCTTCTTTGGTGCCACCTGCCTCGAAACGCATCTGGGAAGATCCGAAAAGAGGGGGCCCCAGTATAGTACCCTAAACAGTAGGATCCTTATTATAAGGACCCCAAAAGAAGGTACCCCCTTATTTTCGGAAATTCCCATCTCACTTCGCTTGCTGACCTGCTGGGCTACTCACCTCGACTGCATAGGCAGCCAATGTCCAGGGTGCTCCAACAAAGCCTTCGATGGCACTGTGTTGCATCACACCTCTGCTCAGGTTACAGCTTGCAGGGTACCTAGCAAGCTGCACTTCTTCTCCGTTTCGCTCCTCAGCGCCTCCCAAACGGAGTACAAGCATGCGAAATGGGCCTATCTGCCGCAAGCTCCGGAGTTTGGTGCAACGTCCCGAGCTTCCCATCCTGCCTGAAGCGTCTCTTTCAAAAAGCCGTGGCTGTCTTTGAAGCCCTCGTGGCTCGAGACTTCCCTGCAGAGACCGCGAGTCTGAACAAGCTCTTTCCGCTTCTTCCGAGCAAGTCCTGATCTGGCTGGGGCCCTCTTGCAGGCGGTCCTGCAAAGTAATCCGCCACTGCCAAGGCTTCCAAGCACAGCTGGGCATGGGCTCAGCTTGCGATTAGCGACCGTCCTCCAGGGTCCGCGCCAGGTCGCCGAGCACGATGGGCCCTCGTCCACGCACCACGTCGAAGCTAATGCCCATAGCTGGCAGGGGCGTCAGAATGTCCGAGAAGACCTGCTAGGACATCAGGCGTGTCTTGTCCATGCATTCTTCTCTAAATACCGACAAGCGGCAATGACTCCATCCATGCCGTACCTGGACAGGGAAGGCCTGCAGGCCCTAGATACGTCACGATGCCAACATCTGCATCTTCGACTTGGGCCAGAGCTGTCTCCAGCACTGGAGCGAGAGTTCGATGGCCATGTCCGGCGTCTCCGAGCGCTGCCTAACGCAGCACAAGCCACACACTTCGCAAAAGGGCAAGAGTTTCACTTCGACGCCCGGCCTAAACGGATATCTCTCCGAGTACTTCCGAAAGGCCTTCATGTAGCGTCCGGCTTGCCGCATTAGCCACACGGGTGTGTGCTCCCCTGTCTCGCCCCGCGCCACACGCAGGAGCAGGTCGTGGGGGGCTGGGGTTTCCCTTGTGCCGAGCTCTGCCGGTCTTGGCAGGGTGCGCACTTTGCGAGCACCACCGCGCTGCCGGTCACGACGGCAGAGCGTCGCCGCACAGAGGCTCGCAGCAGCACCCAGCACGATGCCGGAGGAATCCCGGGGAAGTTCGGGCTTGGTGGACCTCGTCCTCTCAATGCGCAGCGCTCGGGCAACGGGCAGAGACGGGCTTGCCACCACAAAACCGAGGCTGCCCTCGGCCATGGCGTCAGAATCTCTGGCACCCTAAAATAAAGTCTCACAACAATGCTACGAGTAAGCCCGACAAGAAGCCGGCGCGAGCGCGGCAAAGGTTTCGGAGGCAACATGCCACATCATGCCAATTGCAAACGCAGCTCTCCACAGCAGCTCTGGCAAAGTGGCAGCAGTGCTACCTGAAGTCGCGTTCGACGGCACCTCGAAGCAGAGTCATCCCAGTGGTTCCGTGCGGCTACGGCCCTGGCGACCTCTGGCGGCGCAACGAAGTTGGACTGCAAGCCTCGGCCGCAAGGTCCAGTCCATCCGGTCCCCAACCGCTGCGCGGCCGTCACGCTAAGGTCTCGGCGTCTCGCCACCTCACTGAAGACGGCCTCAAAGTCCTTCAGAGACATGGGTCTGCTGCCCTGAGCCCATCGGTCCATGTCTACGCAAGCACGACCTCGCCGCGGCTTCCGGCGTTGTTGCCGCCGCTTGGCGCCTTGTGACGGAGACAACTTCAGGCTTCAACACTCTCTTGAGACGTTGCTGAGAAACGAAAAGCAGCGCTCGGCCAATGCCCAAGCGAGACCTCATCCCTCCGACTTCCCAAGAGGCCACGACACTGAGGTTGCTGGGCGTGCGGATGATCGGCTCAACGTTTCCGAGGAACTGGCGAATGTTCCTGCTATGTTCAGCTGAAAGGGGAGGAAAGAGTGTAAGACTGTGGCACAGGGAGATTTGTGAAGGCTTCTACCTTTGTAAAGGTCTGTTGAATCCACTTTTGGCATCAGAACGACTGCAAATCTCATCGCTTCTCTGTGAAGCAAAGTGGCCTGAGAAGGCCAGTTTGGAAGATGAGTTGCTGAGTTGCTGAGCACACAAGCAGGAATGTGCAACAAACACCGATGACCCACGCAAGCATCAGGCTGTCCCTGGCGGCATCCACTGCGCAATCTGCGACTGGTGGGATTCCATGTGGGACCTCACGGATCGCCGTTGAGTGGCTGGGACATGCAGACACTTCGTGGAGGCTCTGCTTGCTTTACATTGCATTGGGGCCTTAGGTTGTGAAACGATATGAAAAGCGTCTACACAGATATGACCCCTACCATGACCCGAATCTGCTCAGCAATTCATACGAACGCTTGACATCCCGTAGCGAGTTGTACCAAGGTGCTGGTCCCGGCGCAGGAGAGGATGCTCCTGAGGCGCATCCATCTCGCCCGGCTCAGCCCAGCCAACACTGCCCGCCTGGAGCTTCCAAACCCTTCCATGATCGATTCCAAACACTACAGATCCAGCATGAAACGTTGTGTCAATGTATAAGTATAATGTGGTGATGAAACATTCCAACAGCTGGCCCGGAATGGCGACGCGCAGCGAGCAGCCATGAACTGGGGTACCAACTGCAGCTGCAACTCGCAGTCCTGGACATCGGGATCGAACCGCTGCAGAATCGCGTACAACCTACAAACCTCCATGCTTCACCACACGCATGGCTGCCTGGAGGTGGTGGCATCTGCATCCGCCGGAACCTGGGCACCCAAACCGAACAAGACAGACCGTTTCGGCCAGCTCCTTCAGTTAATCGCGAAAGGCTGGTCAGCACGCTTTTCTGGTGTCCCTAATCTCAGCTGATTGCTGGCCACCCCTGTGGACTCCATGGATGACCTGAGCAGGGCGCTACAAGTCGAAGGGCTGATTATGCACCCAGGCCGTGAAACCTTGAAAACGCAGGGCTGTCTTTACGAATTCCTGCGGCAGCAGGGTAGGACATCGCGACAGATGCTCCGTCGAATCATTTAGAAGCATGAGTGTTACCATGTGGCAGCATCTCAGTAAAATCGCTGCTCTGCTCAGGTAATCTCTTGGCCGGCTGCGCCAGCCTCGCCCAGGTCGATATCTACCTGAAGAGTTGGGCAAACGTCGAAAGCCGAGGTCGCGTGGTCGCTGTTTGATTGCGCTTGCGAGATCCGGGCCCGAAAAGTCATGCTTTCGCCATCCATCCCGGGGTTTTCTTGGTCGAACCTTGGGGCATGCGCTGCACTCACTCTCTGTGAGCGTGAGACTGGTTGCTCTTCGTCTTCTCATTCTCCTGTTACTGGGTTTGGGGTCCTAGCTGGGGGGGTTGGGGTGCGAAGTTGGTGGTAATGGAGTGCGTGGGTGGGAAGGGGCAGGTGGGTGGTGACACAGTCCCGAACCGATCCAGAGTGTCGCGGGTACAGAACTATCAAGTTGATGGGCGGGGGCTGTCGACGATCTTCGTGGCGGTGACCTCTCGTCCCTTTTCTCTAGCACACCGGATGGCTATGCACTCAAGATGCAAACTCTGCAAGCGTCTGCGTGCCCAGCACTTGGATGGCATTCTGCAAGACCTCGCTTCCAGCTGCAGCGAGGTGACAGTCTCGATGCTGGGAGAGCGAGGCGAGATGATGTGAGGCTCACTGGAACTAATTTCTGGAAAGCGTGCAGAGTCACAAAAATCACCCGGTTCACGTTTCCAGACTCTCGGGCCGCCTGGTCATCTTACCATCGGGAGGAGGAGTTCCGTCCAAGTGGCACTGGCAATCCCTTGGCCATCGGCAAAGTCGCCGTCCATGTCACCGTCGTACTCCTACAAGACATCAATTGCCCTGATGTCCTGACAACGTTTTGGCGCAAGGCGAGGAGGCTGGGCCTCCTCGTTCTCATCGTAGCCTTCGTCCTCATCCTCGTCGCCTTCGTCCTCTCGCTGCGCTCGCTGTGCTCGCTGTGCTGGCTGCGTCCCGATTGGATAAATTCTTCTTTACGAAGCTCGGACCCTGCCGCCCTGCCCGTCCCCCTCTCCTCACCATCATGCCCATGATGCTCAGCCTCCTGCAAGCACCCAGGACATCAGGACGACACCCAGATCTCGCTGCAACACGCCGTGACCTCACCATCTGCATCCATCTGATCCATCTCTCCGCCTCGACTCGCAGTCGCTTAGTCGCTTGCTCTGTACAGGCTTTGTAGGAGGAGCCTGCCTTCCTCGTCTTCGTCTTCGTCCTTCAAGCGGTGGCAAATTTAGACCTGCTCTTGGAGCGGGCAAACTCCCCGCCTCCTCGAGGGCTTCGTCACCTCCTTCCCCCATCTCCTCGTCGTCATCCTCTTCCTGCTTTCATGTACCAGCACAGCTTCGACACTGCAAACGTCAATGTCCCAGCCACGTCGACAGCGATCCGTCCAGACCGCAGTGATGAACACTTCCAACTAGCATGTGCAGATAACCCATACCTGCAGTTTTACCTTCACTGCAACTGCCACAATGGTATCTCGGCAAATCAATCAGCAACGACACCGCTTGCAGTGTGCTCGGAAGACGAACGCGCATGCAGTGACAGCACGCCTTGTGCGACCTTTCAACGATCATCCTTCTGCAACGAGAGCTGTGGACAGTGAACGGGTGCGCGTGCGCACACACAAACGAAGTTCAGGTCCTAGCTGGGATTACCTCGACACAGGCATCATGCTTGGCACCCGCGAGGCTTTCAGCGTTGCTTCGAATATTCCAGCTACCTTCGAGATTTTGTTGTGTGCTTTGGCCTGACAGCAGGACTGCAGATGAAGTCCTGTTCTGGCTGCATTTCGATGCTGCGTGCTTTTCATAAATCTACGTTTTTTCTGTTAGGCTTGCGAAGCTCAAGGCCAAGCGTGTGCATTTGCACTGCAGCCAGCCTCCTCGTCATCCTCCACAGCCGCGATCTCTACGGCCTCCTTTTCCAGCAAACACTACTTCGTGAAAACAAAAGCCTTCTCACAGCCAGAAAACACACAGATGCCGCTGCGCCATGCCTGAAAAACACGACTGCCAAATGCATGGCTTGCTTCAGTGCTCAGCCCAGCTGCCGATTACACTTGTCAGTCAGGAGGTTCTCTGGGCCTCGTCGCCGGGTCGAAGCTCCTCTCGTCTGAGCGCCTCGCTGCACTTAACACCCCACTAGCTGCACTAGCTACTAGATGCTGCACAAGGAAGAAGCAGGAGGACCGCAGAAGGAGAGAAGAAGGCGCTAGTTGACCCTTTGCTGTTGGTGGCCTCGTCTACGTGAGCTTCCATGCCAATGACGTGGAAGACCCTGGACACGAAAAGTTGTGGCTTCAAAGCAGTCAAGGCTCAACATCTTCGCAATGTCATATATTGTCGTTCCGACTTCTGCGACCGATGGACGCAACACGGCATCACGAAGCTGGTACATTTTTGCTTCAGTGAAACACAGAAGAGCAGAGAACGGCAGGGGTCTCTCACTGCCTAGCGGGCTGGAACCAGTTCGATGCTTAGAACCACAATGACTGAACTGCTCGCCTGGCGCGCCGGGCTTGGTGAGAGGCCCTGGCCCGGCGGGTCGACGCTGCCAACGACCCTCTCGTTCGCGGCAGCATCCCATCTAATTCAATAACCACGGAGCTGTGGTTCTGACTGAAATAAAGAATACCACCCCGTCTTGGCATTTGGGTTTCGAAGGATTCTCAGCCCACGAACCACAGCCCCACAAATATTCGGGCGGGGCTGCCACCTAAAGGCAGAACCACCACAAGAGAAGCAAAAGTGGCGCAAGTGTCAGCAGCATTGCTCAGATGAAGAAAGCAAACGAAGCAGACTTGCTCCTCGACGATCATACTGCCGCCGGCTGACACTCGCACAAAATGGTCTAAAGCCCTGTGGGCTACCGCAGCGGCAACACGGCTGCCTACAACTGCACTGCCGCAACAAAGCATGGTACTCACGAGTCAAAGAGCTTGCCTCTGCTGTCGAATTACACTGAGGTCTCGAGTCCGAACCGGGCAGGGACGTGATTGCTCGAAGTGCTACTGCGGCGACAGACACGACTGCACATGTGCGCATACCCATACTATTCACCTCGGCAATGTTGCTCCTTGTGCCGCCAAGTTGCGCTCGAAGCTGTGGAGGCCGTGGACGCCTCCTTCCCTCTGGGCTGCGGCTGAACGCAGCTCGAAGCGCAGCTGACCCTCCTGACGAGGACACATAGTCGAATGTCGAAGGCAAACCCTGTAGAAGCCCAAACACAGCAAATCGGTTCGGGTCTGCACAGGAGCCAGAACGAGCTTGATTGAAGCGCAGCTGTGTGGGGATGAAACATGATGAAGATGCATCTACATGAGTCGAAGCAGCTTTTCTTGAGACCCTTGGTAGCCTCAACGGCACTAGCAAGAAAACTGTCAGCCCGGCGTAGCCCGGCAACCATACCATGCCGGTAAGAGCTCCGGGGATATTAAGCGACCTATATAGAAGCTTTGCACAATTTGCGCCCACTAACTTCCATTGCAGCTAAATTTGTAGTCAGACACGACGATGATTACGCCAAGTCGCTAAGGCCCAAGGCATGTTTTCGGCAGGCAACAACATGTATCCGGCCTGCAGCATCGCCTGCAGCTGGTCAACGCTCTTGGCGCCAATGTCCTGAAACCATGAATGGACACCAACAAGCAGCGCTCTGCCCAACTGACGTCAGATGAAACACATCGGCTGCAGGGGTCGTCCTGCATTCCGTGTCTGATGCCCTGAGTGAGATACGGGATGTATCTGTGGATGCTGCCTTTGTCCTGGACCGTGCCGGAGACACCCTCGCAGAGGCAGGGTCTTGCGTGGTCTTGCTGAGACATGGATTGATCTCTCCGAGCCACAGGGTTCATGCATTGCGAAGCAAAGCAATCCATCCCTGCCTGGGCTACCTTGATTGCCGAGGTTGTGCCGAAGTACCGGTCGTCGGAGCCCTGATGTATGGGACCATGATGTACTATGCGTCCCTCGTCTCGGCCACTTCGAGATACAAAGGATGGCAATTGTGGCCTTCTTCATGGCGTCGATCGAGCCCATTCCGCGGTAACGCTTCAGCCGCTTGCCGTCCTCTGAGTAGAAGTACTCTCCAGGTGTCTCGGACGTTCCTTTGCCAGGAACAACTGTCACTCTTATCTCAGATGTGGCTCCGTTCAGGTCACACATCAAGACAGCTCCCAGCAGTTCGATCCTGCGAGCAGGCTCCCGCACATGGCGGCACCGGCACCGAGGCTCAGCGCCTCACCAGGCGGGAGTCGCTTAAAGCCGCATCCACTACCGCTAGCCGCTAGCGATTCTGTGCCTTCACGATGTGACCAGGGCTGGAAATGCCGCCTAAGACGTTCGACGCGGGCAACCAAACGACACGCTGCGAAGGCTCTCTTCCTTCCTTCCGCTGGGGATGAGTCTGCTCGCGCAGACCCGGGCCAAGGCCCCCCCTTCCCCATTTAATCGGTGGAAGAAGCTCCGGGCTTTGGGCCTTCTCTTTCTTTCTGCTGGGCATAAGGGTCGCGTGCGACCCACAGGCTCTCGGCCCGCCCAACCACCCCCTGCATTATGGAGTGGTCGGCTTCTGGGGTAATCCTGATTATGGCACTGTACTACCCAGTGCCCCGAGTTTTAAGCAGAAGAGCCCCCCCGAACACTAAACACGCACACAACCCCCGCCTCGTCTCCGTGCCCCTGTGGCTACAACTGGGCCTTCTCTCTCTCTCTCTCTCTCTCGCTCTCTTGCTTGCACTCAGCCAAGGAGGAGCGGACCCCTCCCGCGCGCGCGCGCGCACTGGTCTTCTTTCTTTCTGCTGGGCTTAGGGGTCGTCAAGACCCTCAGGCCATAGGCCCGCCCAACCCACCCACTGTGTTAGTGAGCGGTTGGCTTTGGGGTTCATCCTGAGTGTGGCAGGGAACTACAAAGTGCGCCCCGGGTTTTCATGCAGCGAGCCCCGCCCTTAACACTAAACCACCTGCGTCCCGGCCTCATCTCCGCGCCCCTGTGGCTACCACATCCCCCGCAGGGCTCGCTTGCACATGTTCCCCCGGTAGGGCCACTTTCGGGAACGCCAGGCAGCACGGAGCGAAACAACACTGCGTGGCTCACCTAGCGTGACAAGCCTGCCAACCTTGCAACAAAACAAGACTGTGCTCCCCACTGTTTGGTTTCCCCCACAGAGCTTTCAAAAGTTCGTGTGTTGTGTGGGTCCCCGCTTGGTCCGCGTCACTAGCATCGGCTTTCGAATCAGCAAGATCGGCAGAAATGGGTAAGCGCGCTGCCTTGATGCGCGTCAGCTTCCCTCCTGCAGTGATGATGGAACCTCAGTGCGCCATCGCTCACTCCCAACGGCGAGCAGAGAAGTTACTGGCGTTGTCTGCCCAAACGCCGGGTGCTGCCCAAGGCTGTGTCTGTGCCTCAAATGCCGCGGCGTTCACTGCCATCTGCTGCTGCTGATAGTGCACGTCAAAAGCCTGCGTGAAGTCCTGGACAAATGGGAAAGCTGGTGTCCCGGCTGCCGGTAGTGGCATTGTCCACGCTGGCTGGAGTGGGGTGGGTGGCCCCTCCAACGCAGCTTGGAACTCGTCAAGAGTCACTGCTGGCCGAGGGTGGCGGCCCCTGCCGCGTGTTCGATTGGGACGGCCGTTCGTGTTGGAAAAGCCTTTCGCCCCCATTCCAACGCGATCTTTCCGGGTTGCGTTGCCGGCTGCATTTTCCCACGGGTTGGCAATCGCCACGGTGGCCGCCTTCTCAGCCGCCACAATGGCGCTGGTGTTGACGTCTGAAAAAAGTCAACGGGTGGCGCCACGCTCTCAGCGTTCATGGGCATTGTCGGTTCAGGAGCTGGGGTGTCCGTGGCAGGCTCGGCTTTTTCATTTTCTTCACCGGCAGTGTCGTGTGTTGCGTCGTCCTCGGTGGCAGCGTCGTCTTCAGAAGCTTGATGCTGCGCCGGAGCGTCGGGGGCCACGTCGCCTGTGGTGGCTGGAATGCTTGCCACAGTCGCGGCCAACGGCGGCGTGGTGGCCCTCGCGACGATTTTTGCAGCCAACTCCCCCATTGCCGTGGCGGCATGCTCCATGAACCTATCCTGGAGCATTGCTTCACGGTTTCGCATCTGTTCCGCCATGTCGTGAGCGAGCCGATCCATTGCGGTTTTCATGGTGCTCTCCATGGCAGGGGCCATGTGTTCAACCAAAGCGATGGCTGAAACCGACGAGACTGATCCTGAATCGTCAGGCGTCCGGCCGTCTGAGACCACCCTGATCTCCGGCAGTGGCGGTGTCGCCGGTGTGGGGTGTTGCTCTGGCAACGCATCCGGTGCTTCTTCCGCGGAACATTGCGCAAAATCGTCGAGTGTCGGCCCCACGCTGGCGGCTGACTTGAATGCCTCTGTCATGAACACTCGCGAGCGGTTCAGACTCGTGCGCTTCCAGAGTTGAGCAGCGAACATCATGTATTCGGCGCTTGCGGCCGCTGTTGCCTCGCCCACCAGCGATTGTGTCGCGGCGCTGATGGCCAAGGAGCCGAAGGCAACAGACATCGTGAAGGTTGTATTTGTGGCTCCGCCACACGTCAAGTTGTGCTGGCCGTTAGCCGCCGTCGCCGTACACATTGTGAGCCCAGCGACGTAGGTCATCGAGCAACAAATCATGAAGACCGCCACGCAGCCGCCGATGCGCATGCCCGACAGACGGCTGAGCGCTGCTGCGCCCAGCATCGCGATGAGAGCCAATGCCACCAATCCGGAGAGCACTGTGACTGCCGTCGCTGCGACGATCCAGGCCGCCGCAAGGCGTCGCAATGACCCGTCACCCAGCGTCGAGTCAGCTGTGCCCGCCACTGCAGCAGCGATCAAGACGGCAAAAGCCGCCGCGAGTGCCGCGTTGTACCCATGGCGCGCCGTCACAGCTGATGTCCGCCGGACCCAACGCTAGCTGTGAGCCCTGTGGCCGAAGGATCCATGCCTTCGAACCCAGGTGGCACATCCATGTTGACGTTGACGTTCTCTGGCTCGTCGAAGCTCGGCACAACGTCAAGAGCCTCAACGACCGGTGCGCCTTCAGTGAAGTCCATGGCGACCAAGAGAGTGCGAAGTAGTCACTGATTGCTTTGTGGTTTATCTTGAGCCAAAATGGCTACACTGGTCTCTCTCTCTCTCTCTCTCTCGCTATGGCTCTCTCTCCAGACTCCAGACTCTCGACACTCTAGACTCTAGATTCAACCCATCTCAACCCTGTTTGCCCCGCGGTGAGGCATCTGAAGACTCTTGTGAGCGGAAAGTTGCCAGAAAATTCTTGCCGGCTCACCATCTGCCAGAATGGGCACACCGTACATCCTGGCAAGCTTAGCCACGTTGTAGACGGCAGAGGCCTCACAAAAGCAGTACAGCCGCAGCAAACGCCAGTCCGCGCATCCGCCGGCCTGTGCCCGGCCGCAAGCGCAGACTTCCTGGGTGGTGCAAATGGAGCCGATGCCCATACCTGGGCAACGGCACACACAAAACAGCCACGGGACTCTGACCATTGCTTTGCATATCTTGCGGCATGAGCGCCCACGCGGAGGGCGTCGGCCCCGCATTCGATGAGGTTCTTGGCCTGCCGCTTCGTGACCACATTGCCGGCGACCACCTGTCCAAAGAGGAAGCCTCCACTGCTAGATTTACACCTGAACACAGCCTCACAGAGCTTGCTGGGTCACTGTCTCCAACCAGCTCGCCTGCAGGTCTGGGAAGTTACTCTTGATCCACTTGATCATTTCGTGCTGGAACAAGCTGTCGCCCTGGCTGCTGTCGATGACGACAGCATCCACACCTGGGCCCAAGGCTTCAGGTCAGCAGGTGAATTGCCAAACATGTACTCGGGTCATGCTATTGCTGTTCGAGACAAGGTGCCAGCAGCCACGAGAGCTCGGACACGCTCCTTGTCGTTGGGCCGGGTGCCGATGGCAGCAGCGACTAGGAGGCCCTTGTTCACCGCTTCCTGCAGCCACTCTAAAATCAAGCAAGCGCTTTCGGCTTGCGACTAGAAAGGGCATGAAACTTCTCCATCCGGACCTTTGTCGCGTTGGGAAACTCGACATTCTTCTTGATGTCTGTTCGGGAGACCATGGCCACCAGCAGGCCCGACTGGGTGATGATCGGGAGCTTGCCCTTCTTTGACTTCTGCAGAAGGGCGTTCGCTTCCAAGAGGTCACAGCCTTCCCGCATGGTCACCAGGTCCTTTGCTGGCGTCATGATGGCGCTGAGCCGCGTCTTCCGGTCCTGCCCAATTGGCTGGCCAAAGACATCAGACTGCTAGGAGGGGGCTTCGACATTCGGTGGCAATGCTGAAAGCGTTCTTAAAAACACACCGATCGGTCATGTTCTGATCAGGAGCTGACGATCGGGCGGGGACAACTGCCACTAGCACTCCGAGGGAGCAGTCCCCTATGAAGTCGGTGTCGCGCTTTGTCACCAAGCCAAGCAGTTTGGCACCCATCTGTCCGTTCTCCGTGACCGGGAATCCGGTGAAACCTGTAGCAGCCACTGCAAACGAGCCATACCAAGAACAGGCACTATAATAGCAGCACTAGGTGGGTACTATGACAAACAAAAGGTGCCAAGACGAACAACAATGGTACTAGCACGTTGTAAACACGGGAATTGCTAAAATTCTCGCAATAGTCCACTGACAGAAGTATGGAAGGTCTGCGGACACATACAGGTAGAAGTAAGCGCAAAGTCAATACCAGTCGTATATGTTCATGGAACGATTGACCAGAAATACAAATAACCACAATCCGAACCCCAATCCCAACCCAAACCCCAACCAACTACAACACTACAACACTACAACACCAGCACCACCGCCATCACCACCATCACCACCAACCCCCAACCACAAGAACAACAGTGATCATTATCAGTATCATCCTATATTAGTCGTATGTCATCGTTATTGATACTACTAACCAGAACCAGAACCAGAACAAAAGGAACAACAGGAACAACAAGAAACAGCATGAAAAGACAAGAAGGATAAGAAGAAGACGATGAAGAAGCGCCACCATCAACAACTACGCCACAAACACAACCACCACACCACCACGACCATCTCCCGATCACCACCAACACCACCAGCACCACCACACGACCACGACGACGACTGCCAGTTTATGACACCCAGCCATTGCAAGAAAGCGAATGAAGATACACACTCAGTACGGTAAGTGGCCGAGATGCCGTGCTTGGTCTTGAGCACATCCAACTCTTCCAAGGTCATCGTAGGCAGAACACAGACCTGGACAGCAAAAACAACAAAAACATCCAGCCCCTGCCAGGCCTTCAACAACTTCCTCTTGCTGCTGCGGCACGGGATCCAGGATGAAGCCGGCTTTGTATTTCTTTACCCGCGAGACTTCCCTCGCCTGGTCCTCGATGGCCATGTTCGTGTGGATAACACCAATGCCGCCTGCTGCGCGAGCAAAAAAAGAGTCCCCCGCAGAGCGTTTGGGGAACTGCCGGGGACGAGGATGCAAGATGATGCGACGCTTGGCCTTCTAAAGCCATGGCGATAGCCATGTTGGACTCTGTCACTGTGTCCATCGGGCTGGACACGATAGGCGTGCGCAAGGAGATGCGCTTCGTGAACCGGGACCCCAAGCAAACATCCTGAAGTTCTCGCGCAAGCGCAATCAGGCCATGTGTTGCTTCTTGGGAGGGCTATGCTGTCAGCACCATCTGCAACTAAGAAGAGTTCGTGCACTCCGAAGTTGATGTGCCCAGGCAGGCAGATGAGATCGTCGTACGTGTAGCCACTCATGGCCGTTTTGGAACCAAAGACTTGAGCTGCAGAAAACCCATCCTTCGTTGCACACTATGGCTATGCTTCCGGTAGGAACAGTGGAAACACAATTTGTAAACTTCAGCCAAGACTCTTGCAGATCTTCTTCGGACAGCTGCGGCTTGACAGGATCCGTCTTCCTGAAAGCCACATTCGCCAGCCAACGAGTACGGTACAACCTGGGGCAATTGTCGGATCGTAAATCCGAGCCGAGTCTCAACTCCTTTTTGGGGGAGCGGCTTCGCTCCTGTGACGAAGCTAAGCGTTTCATGCGTTATGCCGAAGAAGGGGGAGATCAGATCAACATGCTGAACGAGATGTCCTTCACAGGACTAGCGCCATTTGCAATGCCGACCATCTTTCCAGACTGGAGCTGCGGCTGCGGCTTGAGCTGTTCGGCGGGCGATAGCATGACAATTTCATTCAAGTGATTCCTGTCCCGCTAGTCCCCACAACGCATATCATCTGGCACGCGCGCCCCGATTAGGCTTGCTGCGTGTACCAATAACCGAGAGTATCCGCACCGTCCAATGTGTAAGCTGTAAGATGCAGCTTCAATGCATGCTGGTCAAGTCCTGTGCCTCGCGGCCCGTTCAGAATCCAGCGACTCACTGCGCAGCATCTCGGGACCCTTAGCTGCAACAAATGGCGCTCGCGTTCGCCCTCAGTATCCCTTGGTCCTCAGGTTCTGCAGTGTAGAACCCTGATCCATTTCTCCTGCCTCCGAATTTCGAGACCAGCATGACATGCCTCATACCTAGCTTTGGCTCGAGCTCCAGGAGAAGCATCCGTTCGCCGAGGGTCGCTTCCTCCCACGATTTCATGTCCAGTTGTGAGGGATACCCCCGTACACCCGTAGGCCGAAATGTAGTCCTGTCTGGATCTCCCGGCGAGACAGGAGCTCCAGGCACCTTCGGAGCCAGACATGCCAAGACCCAACAGGGACCCTACTCTGCCCCGATTTTGGCCCCGCCCGCCTGACCACGGCGCCCGCAACCTGCGAGGATTCGCTGCGCTGGAGATCCAAGCCTCGGAGTCGCTCGAAACTCGAGTGGCAGAGTTGGGAGCAGCCGGAGCGAGGGCAGGAAAGAGAAGCCAAACGGGCGGCAGACCGGAAGATACACTCTGGCTGCACAAACAGTTGATTGCGAGGTCTGCTTTGTTCCGAGGCTGGCGACGTGCCAGGACCGCCACAAACGCGTCTCGAAGAACCTGTCGACCGTGGCGCTCTTTCTGGCAGTGCACACCTTTTCTCCGATGAAATGTCTTCACTTCACCGATTTGAGTCAGGACCCCTGGCTGCGTCACGACGACACAAGCTGAGGTGATGCTGTATGGCTCTAAACACGGCTACCAGCCGAGCAGAGTCTGGTTTTTCACGCTTCAACGCCCCACCTGAAGCTCCTCCTTGGCACTGAAAGGAACGGGATGGCGTGTGCGTGCCTCGCCAGGCTGAAGCATCTCAGTTCTCTAGGCTGCAAAAAACGGCCGAGGCCAAAAGGGAGGCTAAAGGTTTGCCGTCACCCGCCGTGCGGCTTAGAGTCGGGTCGCACGCTCGGATCCAACACCGCACAAACAGCAGGGAATTATGATGCTGGTAAGTGTCCCCAGTCCTACACACGTTAGACTGAGGCACTGGGCACGTGATCTGGAGGATCCAGAATCTGGTGCTACGGAGAAGTTGGAGTGGCAGTTCACAGGTTCTGGCCTACCTTGATGAAAAGATGCACAAACAACAATCGGCACTCAGTCTAACTGCTGCGGGCACCTTCTTGGCGGGTGGGGCAGCTGCATTGCTTCCTGGCGAGGACAATGGACGAAGCGAGGTCGCGAGCCTTTGAATACGGCAGTGTCGGGCCTCCAGGATTATCCAGAGCAGCGAGTCGTGGGGAGGCTTTGTCCTCCAAGCGCATGGGAGATCTGCACAAAAGTCTCTACACGCTGCGCCCAAGCTCCTGGGCCGCGGAGTTGCCAGGCGACTCCTTTTCCTCCTGCGCATCTGCTACCCGGCTGTGTCTCTGCCCTACCTCAGCTTGCTGGAGTGCTAGCTTGCCTTGCGCTCCGCAGCATTCGCTGCACTAAGCAGTCTTGCGACGATTGTTGACAGGGTGGATACCTCGGCAGGGCAGCCCGCTCATCCCGACCGGCTGGTGAATTGCTTTCTTCTTCAATTGCACTTGACAAGTAGAGAGCAACATGCCATAGACTGTGTGGAATAGACGCGCACTGCGATGGGCTGCGCCTGCGACCCATATATGCCTTGGTCCTCTGTCGCTCGCGGGCCTGTCAGCGACATCTCTGAGAAACAGATCAGAAACAGGCAGCGGCTCTGTGACTCTCCGCAGGGCACACCTTCCGCCAAAGAGCGCAGCAGAAGAATCGCCTGAGCAAGCTGATCGGATCGCCGAAGCGGGAGAACCAAACGGCTCTCGTCAGGAGCACCGACTGACTTGTCAACACAGAAATCACTGAATCTGTGGCTGAAACCTGGAGTAATGCCTTGCTTTGTTAGCTGCTAGCATGCACTACCGTGAAAGCCTTCAGCATGCAATGCAAAAAATCCTCACAGTGCTTTTTCTTCGCATGTTCGGACCCAAGCAACTCTTGTGCTGAATCGTCACGGTCTGTAGGTCTTTTTCAAGCGTCTGAGACTGGGGAGATCCCCACTTCATTCACAGCATAGGCATGGCCGCAAATCACCAATGCCTTAGCTTATTCTGTCCCATTAAACAAAGTGACCACTTCCAGTACAGTCCAAGCAACCAGGAAAATCTGAATGAATATGTGCCTTGCGATCGCAAAACACTCAACTCGGGTCTCTCATGCAACTCGTGCACTGGAATGGAGACTGCCACTCACCTAGCGCTGCGAGGCAGGGTGCAACTGCCACAACGATCTGACAAAAAAGATCCACAGCAGCAAATGGATACCTTGCAACCTCGGCAAGCGAGCTATGGCAAAGCACCCTGAGACCGCTCCCTCACGAAAGGATCAGCAGGCCATCCCATGCTTGCAGCAACGGAGCACCATCACATGAACGGATGGGCCAAACTGCCCTATATTCTGCGGGGGCAGAAGCAGCAGAAAAGTCTGAGCGGCCACCAGCCTCAGGATCCATGAATTTAACTTGACATCCACAGAGAGGAGAACTGGACCGAACAGGAGTCATTTCCATGCACATGACACCGAGATGCAGCAATTTGGGCAAGTGGCCAAGTCAGTATCCCAAATCGCGACAGCGAGTGAAGCAACAGGAGTGCAAAGACAATGCTCACGTAGTGGGACAGGAGCCGTGGGATGTTTCTCCTGAGCGCTCCACACAGGGGTGCAGCATGGCAAGACAGTCCTCCTCTGATAGCACGGCCCAGGTGCTTAAGCCGCAGCAGCCAGGGTGACTCTCCACGCCTTGATGTCCTCTTGGGACCTTTCAGGGCGTTCAGGAAGTCGGAGCTATCTCCAGCAGCTCCGAGCCTCCATCCATCTCCAGAGACATGAACTGCACCCATGTCAGCGGCATCGGGAGGCCTCATCCATATATGATTACTCATCGTGTCGAGTGGGAACATCTTTGCAGACCCGTGCTGGTTTGGCGACTTGCTCTGCAGGTGCACAAAAGCCTTTTCGTCGAGGTGCAGAAGGTTGTTTTGAAACTGTACATGTTAAAAGTAGTTGGGACCATACCGGGGACCTGCAGCGGACTGCACAGGAAAACGAAGCCAAATCACGAGTTGACCCGTTCGAAATTGGCATCGATGCGCAGTCTGCCGGGCCGGACGGGTCAGCAAGCCTGCCTGGGTACCCAGCATCGGGTAGATCGTGCTTCAGCACGCCACCGCAATGCTTCAAGTCTCTGAAAAGTATTCTGAGAAGGAATCAGAGAATGGAGTGGCTCTTGCGAAACGGCTACATCTGAACTTAAAATGATGAACAAAACAGAACACCGCCCCACCCTCTCGGGAACTCAAAGGTGAAACTATTGTAAGGCGCAGTGTCAGGCACTGCCGACATGGCAGATGTATCCACTGCCTCTAGGTTTCAAGGCTAGTCAAGTCTTGTTGCATGAGGTCCAATGCCTCGCGGAAGTTCACCACGTGAACCCGGTTCTGCAAAAGCTCCAGTACCTCTCGATGGGATCCTTCCTTATCAGCTTCAAGAGCTATATCTTCCGCTGTGCGCCCTTTCGACGTCGTCTGGCGAGGATCTGCTTTGGCTTGGAGCAAGAGATGTACAACCTCATGATCTCCCGCGTGTGCAGCGACATGGATCGGATATACTCGCGGTTTGGGAAAGAAGAGACAGCCGCCCTTTGTGGGCCGCGGCATGGTAACATCATCCGTGAAATCGTTGGAGTGAAGGAAGTCCTGGAGCTGCTGCCTCCGTTGCTTTCTGGACTTCGATCGCTTGCCTTCTTGGCAGACCTTCGCTGCTACTGCTGCTTGTATTCTCAAGCCATGACCATAACCCTTTCCGCCGCCAGTGTTCACATGGTGCGGCAGGTCAAACTGAACCATCGGTGGGAAATTGCATCGGGGAGGCGCCGCGTGCCGGCTTGGGCCATTCGCGGCTAAGTTCATTATCACCTCGTGAAGCCTTTCCTGTCAAGATCCAAAACGAGGACTGGAACAGGTCGCAAGCCCCTGCAGGCTCCCAAGCCCCCCCGGGCACACAGCCTAGCGGAGCTGACGGCGGCAGCCGATCGATCAACTCAACAAGACGCGCTTCTGCCTGCAACGACTTCTGAAGCCTGCATTCTCCTAGGGTCCAGGAACTCCCGGATGTCGAAACGATACCCCCTTCGCTGCTTTACCGGGCACTGCAATCTGTGCAGAAGGCAGACGGACAATGTGCAACCTAGGAGGACGTAAACCCTAAACCCTGAGCCCTCAAAGCTCAGAAGCGCAAGGTTGCCCTAAACCCGAAAAACAGCCAAGCCCCTCTTGCAATCCGCGGATTTGAATCTGGATGGAAGAGCTAGTCTCACAGAACCCTACATATTACATAACTGGTAGGATCCTTGATCCTGAAGAGAGTACCCTCACGTTCTGACATGTGCTTATCCGTCCTGGACTATAACATACCATAAGCCATATAAGCCTCTAAGCCTAATCCCGGCATCGTAGCGAGCTGCTCCCAAGCTCCTCCTATACGCAATGCCACCTCCAACCACCCACAGCGAGAATGTACCGAAACACGGGTCGAGCCACCCGACAAGTGCCTCACACCACATCCAGCAAGCAAGTGGGGACGTCCGAGGATCTGCGTAACTTCCGATGTGTACGAAGAAGCACATGTTTTGCATGATAGAGATGGTCAGAGATCATCATGTCGATGTGTTCGTGTTCACATTTTCGAACAGCCCACTGAATCCGTTGTGGTGCAATGCTGCCTGCGACAATTCGCTGCTGCAATTTTGGCTGGCTCGAACTCCAAGCAGAAAGAGCAGAAGCTCGGAAGACCCTCAAAAGCACCACCACTCGTTGTGCCCGCACTCTTGTTGCTGTCACTGGCCTCGCATCGCCAAGCCGCGGATCGCAGCAGCTCGGAGACCAGGGTCCCGGCGAAGAGCGCCTGGCATCTCCCCAAGCGCTCTCTGCCCCTCTCACGACATGGAAGTGCAAGAACAGGATCCAGGATCTCCATGCATCTCCATGCTTTTGCCCAACAGCTTGAGGGATCGTCCGCCTCCACCGCTGACCAGACCCCGCTTGGAGGCGTGTGTGGAGCGGAGGCGGCGGAGGCGGCGGCAGCTGCATCGCTCTCGTCCTGCGACCGCTGCGACCGCAAGAAAGCGCAAAAAGCGCGGACTCGAGACCGACTCGACCTCTTCGCACCTCCCGTGGCCGTGGCGCGGGCGGCTTCGATTTGTTCGACTTGCCGCGCTTCTTCGCAGAGGGGACAGGAACCTCCCCGCGCTCCGTGCGCGCAACCTTCGTGGAACAGGCCCAACTCTTTTGAGTCACGGTGCTTACGAACGGCGTCAACAGAAAGTGCGGGCAGAAAAAACCTTCTTTGCAAGTGGCGTTGGATGGCTTGCTGCCAGCCTCCTGCTGCTCAGGAGCATCTGCCTGAAGCATTGGAAAGGTGCGGCGCGTTGACATGAGGACTGTTCCCATGTCCTGACGCACAATTTTGAGTCTAGCCTAGTGCACAACTGTGCCGGAAGAGAGTCGGACCATGGCGTTTGAGCTAGTGTTGCACTGGTGGCTGCACATAAAGTATCTGACGCTTTGTGAGCGACATCTTTGAACAACCTCACGCGCAATAAGGCAAGACTTGCTTTCACTTCGCGCCTGCACATCTTCGTCCTCGGACTGGCCTGGGTCCGTGGGCCCCCAGCGTCGGCCTCCAGTCGAGAACACTGGGACTGGAACTGGGTGGCAACATGATGCTTACGCGCCTGAGTTCGCAAGGGAAGACAGAGGTGCTCTGGTCGGCGCGTTTGGTGGCCGCCCCGGCTTGGAAGCCCTTGATGCCGCAAAACCATCCTTTGGTTCTTTGTCTTGCGCCTCCGGAAGAGGGGGTGGTGGGGGCCTCTCTGTCGGGAGGCCCTCCGTCCAGAAGCCATCGTCCTCTGTCTCCTGCTCCGTCGCTTGCCGCACTTTCGCTACAGCCTCAGCTCTGAGCCGCTGTGCGAAGCTGATCGTCTGCGAGGCCCAAGAGGAGGAGCTGCTCTTGGCTGATGCCTTCTTCTTGGAATCTAGCGCCACAGCCGCCGCACCCCGCACAGGCGTCGACGCAGCCGGCGTTGTTTGGGCCTTGCGTGCGATGGAAGACCATCCTGCCTTTGGCACGTCCTGTGGCTCCTGTGGAATGTTGGTACTACGCCGGGCACAGAGGGCCGCACACAACTTCTCATCGCCAGCATCCCGGATCTTTTTGCATTCCTCGTAACGCCTCTTAAATGCCTGCAGATCTGCATTGGATCGGAAGCTGTGTCTTCCAGCCTGCCACTTCTCATAGATCGGTGAGATCTCCTTCCAATCTGTTTCAGCCTGCTTCAGGGAGGCCTCAATGTCCCGCACTGCTTTGGACTCGGTGGCAGGACTCTTGCCTCGAACCTGGACCAAAAGCTGCTGCAAGCGATCGATGCCTGCTTTGGCCCGTTCGTCTCGCAGAGCCTTCAGCAAACGGCGCTCCAAAAGTTTCGACTGCACTTTCTCTGCATGCTGCTCGGCCTGTCCCTGCAGCTTCGAAATCTGCTCCTGGAGGCCAACTACGGTTCGTCCAAAGCAGCATAGATGCCTATCGGGCCAGTGTGTGTGTATTCTTGGGAGAATCTTCGTTGACCGACTAAGGAGCGTTTCCTGCTGCGGCAACGAGCAAGCGAGCTTGTGAACGGCTTCGTGGTTTGCAGCGTCAACACGATGTAACAATGCTTCACCTACTACAATCGATCAGAACTCTAGCAAGCCGGCTGTGACAGCTCCGCTCCTGCAAGAAGGCCTCTGCAAGTGGCTTCTCCCGCTTTGTCAGAGGCTCCTTCGCTTCGTTCAACAACGGCTACCCCAGCTCTCCACAGCTGACGTGGCCACGTTCCGTCTTACTTGTGCACGGACATTCAACGCATCATTTCTACCACCAAACCAAAGCCGGTTTTCACGCCCCAAAACCCATTGCACACCCCAAAAACCAAACAACAACAAAACAGATACCAAAACCACACCGGCCAACACCAGCACCAACCCATCCAACGCATGCATTTACCAGGCTTACTGGGTCAACCACAAAGCAAGACTCAGGCACTAAAGGCACACACCAAGCTGCAACCCAGCTCAACTTCGCACAACTTACTGACGCCTGAAAGAAGCGCATGAATTAGCAATACTGTGCTGACTACACTGGCGGTGTAGATTTCCGCTGCAGGTAACAGTCCGGCTTTTCATGCGCAAGACCCAAATCCAGGACCGGGTAAACGCGAGCATACGCTGCTGATCAACAAACCACACAGGTCTGCGCCGATAGCACGCCCGTGACGATGGCCACCAACGATTGTTGCTGCAGCCAACTGCTGGTGCAGCCTCCGTGCTCATGCCTGATCTGACCGAAACACTACGGATTCAAGTCAACCGAAGCTTCTCTCGCCCATGCTAATGTCCGGACCTGACGTTCCTTCAGTCACCACGCGGCTTCAATGTTGGCTCATGCCAACCCAAATTTTTCTGACACTTGAATGTAACCGGCTCAAACGACCTGATTTGACATGAGCTAACCTAAAACATCCAGTCTGAATGAACCCGACCGAGCCTAACCTCATCAAACCTAACCTAAATTGCCGTAAGAAACCTTGGATCACCAGAGAGATCTCTGCGCTTTCATCGTGGTCACCCAGAGTTTCAAGCTTGACAGAGCAAATTCCACATGTTGTCATTCAAAAACTCGAACCGAATCAAACCCATCTGCATGCAAATGCTCATTGTCGAGCCGGGTTCATGACATGAAAGGGCTTTGCATCGACGACTCAAGAAGGCCGAAGCGGCTAACTGGAGAACATTCAATCTGAGCGTCTACCGTGATGAGTCATTTTGTTGTTGGTCTACTCGTTTACGTTGATGTGCATCTCATGTGCCTGGTCTGCTGCGCTACCCGTTCCGGTGCGAACAGCTTCGGGGCACACATTCGTCAGTTTTCGTGAATGTCTCTTAGAAAAGACCCGACATGATCCGACCACTGAGCGTCCTCCAAGCGGCAGCCCATGGCGCGGCGCACGCGGCCTTGGGCCTCCAGGATCGCTGGGCGCTGCTCCAGCAGAGCTGCTTCCTGCGAGATTGACATACATCCCTCTTTGATAGTATTCCATGTTTTACTTCTGCCATCTTCGGGAAAGTCGGGGTACTGTGTCTTCCGACTGTTTCGCGGACGGCTCATGTCCGAGCAATTTCAAGACTAGCAAGGCAGAAACCATTGAAGCACTACAGAGCCCCGCACTGGATTTTCTCAACTGGTCCTGGGCTTTGGGCGCCTTGGACACGGAGGCTTGATCTGCCCTGTCCAAGAGGTCACCAATCTCAGAGAGGTAGCGGGAGAGGCCGTATAAGGAATAGGGCTCCTCAGCTGCGAAAGACTTCTGGTGTTGACAGGTCGGCTGCACATCAGACAAGTCAAAGATGGAATCGGAGCTAGATCCGTTAAGGAACCCTTGGTGAAAAGGGACCGTATTTCACGGACTATTCCTAGTCACACCACCGTCTGTTGACCTTCGTGTTGCGAGACATTTTCGCAAAGCTGACAGTGTGACACAGATGGCTTACCGAAAACCGGAAGCGACAGAGGCTCATTGCAGTTCAAATACAAAACATGTACGCCCTGTATACGAAACCGCTCAACGAGCAGTGGAGACAGAGGACAATGACAGGTTGGAAGGGGCAGCGTGGGAAGCTGCTACCCTAGTCGCGTGAGCTATCCTGACCTGTCAAAGACGGCGACTCGGACTGGTGCCAGAGTCTGAGTTCTAGACGAAGACTGTTGCAAAGGCAAAAGCATTTTGGCTCTTACTCGCTTGCTCTCAACCATAGCAAAAGCTGTCTAGGAGACAGTCCAGCGCAGGGCCAAGCATCCACATCTTCGACCTTGCTCAGGACATCATCCGCCATAGCTCGAAAGCACCAGATGAAACTTGAAAGGGCCACACTTTCAGGAATCGGCTAGGCTGTCGCCAAAACCGTGAGCGCTCGCTGTTTCTTCCCAATGCGCTGCTAAATGGAAGCAGGTCGCAAGACGTGAAGTGTTTGCTGCTGGATGACACAACCTCTCGGGAGGCCCAAGCGCATCAGAATGGCTTCGGAAGGCTTGGCGAGTCTCGAGCGGGCTCACATGAAGCACCAGGCTCTGACATGAACTTAGTGGTCTCCTCACTTGCCACAGCAGCATGTAATCCGCGTGTGACGGATTCGGGCCTCCGAGACCAGCGTCTTCCGTGGTTCGCCGGGCTGGCGCGCCGCGGCGCACAGTACGGACTCGGAGATTGTGCGATGGTTCGGCTGGGCTGGAAGACGAAAGCAAAAACAGCAAACGCTGACTGTCATCACCATACTCGGGCGGATAGTGGTGAAAACAGCTATCAGACAGAGCGATACAGATGCTGACAACATGACCGCAGGGAAGATGGTGATACTGGTGACGATAGCGAATCCGAGTGATGAGTGCGACTGTTGAAGAAAGGGGATACCATAAACAAGCATACCTTCATGCATATGTATATATTCAGGCATGATGCATGGATGTATGGATGTATGTACGTAGGCAGCCAGATGGGCCGGCTAGGCATGCACGTATGCACGCAGGTCTGTACGTGGGCAGGCAAGCATAAAGGCATGCTGGTCTGCAGCATGAGTACCCTTCGTATCATCCGATGCAGGAGTGCGAGCGTGTCATACCAAGTACACGAACGAAGAAACATTTAAAGAAAGCATGAAGAAAAAACTGTGAATGACTGAAATGCCTGGCTGGGCTGGCCGGCTGATCGCCTGCCTGCCTGTGGATAGATGGAGGGATGGAGGGATGGATGCGAGCAGCGGAGAGGGACGCGGTGGGGTGGAGTAGAGCGGAGTGGGACGCGACAAATTCATGAATGTCTATATTCTGCAGAGAATGTTTGTAACCTGCACAGGGGGCCAGCCAGCCAGACAGATGAATCTACAAATGCGGCTAGAAAGATCGATAGAAATACGTGCGCTGTTCTATGTGTTGTACTCATAGAATGCATACTTGAGAGCTGGTCACGAAATCTAGAAGCACGAGGTCCGGTGCTGAGCTCTGCAAAGCGATGTGCACGACAGTAGCGGAGGGAAAGTTTGGGCCGGTGAAGGGTGCAGGCGTTGCTCGTTCATTTAACTCTTGAGAAAGTAATGTGCGAACGACAACTAGAGGTAACTCTGGAGAGAAGACCGCACTTCAGTCGCCGAACGTCAGACACAAACAAAACCAAGGGACCTTGAGGAGGGGGGGGGTGGGGGGGGACCTCATGATAGGGGAGGGGGGGGGGCCACCCCCCTCCCCCACCTTATCCCAGGCACAACCACCTTAAAGGAGGGGGGGGAGGGAAGCGCACCTTATCAGTGGAAAACGCATAATGACAAGGTGAAGGGGGGGCCCCCCCCCCCCTACCCCCCACCTTAACTCTTGGACGTCCCACCTGATAAGGTGCAAACCCTGTTTTTTCCCTAGTGCCTTAATACAAGTGTGAATTGCTAAAGGGCAACTCCCGCGAGCTCCACAGAGCTAGCTTTCGTGAAAACCTGACATTACATTTGGTCCCTTCGGTATGATATTTTGTTTCAGTTCGTACAGCATAGGGCAACATTGAAGCTTCTGATGTGGCCCACATGCAGAGCGTAAAGCCACCGGCGTGAAACAGTGTGGCAAACTCACCCCCTGCGGGGGGAAGCAAGTCTCCCAAAGCCTGCAGCCGGGAAGCTCCCAGGTGCGGAAGGAGCCTCTGCACCGGGTTGACGGCACCTGACCTTGGAGCTTCAGGCACTTTTGGAGAGTGGCCTTGCCAGGGTTTCAAACACTCACACCCACGCTGCACATGGCTACACGGTTTCACGGAATGACGGAACTCATCCTTTTTTGTTTTTACCTTGCGCCCGTGCCCATCCCTGCATCAAGGCCAGGAGCAGCGAGAGTTCGGAATGAGCATCTGATCTAGTCTGTTACTGTAAACAAGTCAACTGTATTCTGACTACCAGACAGCCACGATCAATCAATCAATCCCACTCCCAATCCCAATCCAATCCAAACCTTGCACAAGAGTGTGAGGCGACTGGAGTACATCGTTGGACTGATCTGCAGCTTGAACAACAACCCAGGGATGCGACATTGCTGACCGTTGCGAGTACTTCAGCAAACTGATCTGCTTTGGCCACAGCCTTGGCTTGAGAACAGGCTGTGGAAGCACTAATCTCTACTAGTGCATTCGACCAAGGCCCGTGCTCACTGAGCCGCGCGAGCTGAGGCAACAGATGCCGCATCATGAGCAAAAGCAGGCTCCTGCGCATGGAGGCACTGTGCTCAATCAGTGCTCAACACAGGCACAGCTGTGCGCCACAGCAACTGGCTCGTGAAAATCTCTTACAGACGGTAGCACCGCTTTGGCTTCCAGCCAGTCTAGCCTTCCTGTCTGCAATTGCACAAGGGGGATGCGCACTTGTGTGAAGGCGCCGACGTAGCGTCTACAACGAAGTAGCCCCCGTCTGCCTGCGCAGACCAAGGCCCACAGCCAAACAGTGCTACTAAGGGCAAGTGAAACTCTTCGAAGAGGCTCCGTTCCCGAAAAGAGCCTGCACAGACGCCGCCGGGAACGGCAACGGACTCCTCGGCTTTCACACGCACAACGTTGCGTCCCAAGTGCTAATCAAGTCATACCAGGTCAAGCCGCTTAAGAAAAAGCATCGCGACGCCAGGCATCCGAAGGAGAAGCCCATCGAGGACCTTTAGTGATGAGTTCCACACAGGCACTGAGGGCAAGCACGGGTTTATTGCACTTAGACCTACGGGCGATGCTACCAGCTGAGCTAGGACAGCGGATCAAGATGCAGGCATGATCTATGATCCCCGTTGCGCCAGGGCAACGTGAAAAACCGTGGCCCCGGCACAGAGGATGCAGTTCGGTCCTGCAGCAAGGGATCTGGAGCCTACATTGGCACCGGAACTCCTGCCACTGTTTGTGGTTACAAGGGAGAAGATGAGGGCCCTCTGGTTTCGAGGCCCTTCCTAAAGCCTAAGCCTTGAGAGACTGAGAGCCCTCTGCAAGCGTCGTTTCATCGAGGCCGGGGCCCAGCGCCAGCGGGTAGGCGGGAGGAAGGCTGCCCGAGCTCGGGTTCGAGGCTCCCTCCTTCGTCCGCGAAGACGGGCGGGGCTGCCGGCGACCGGATGCTACCGCTAGGCCGCTAGGCTACTCCACGACCGAGAAGCCAGTGAATGGCAGTCCTCAGCCTGCTCCAATGTCTTCGATGCCACTTCGTGAAGCTTCGGGAAAGTCGTCCTGCGACACAGCGTCGAGAAGCAAGTGGAATTTGAGTATCAAGGGGATGGGATGCATGCAGGATTGTCGGAAAGCACGCTCGGACCTGATAAGGCTTCCCGTTCGGTTGCAGTGAACTCACACGGATACCTGTCCCTGCCTTGCCTGAACTGGACATCCACACCGAAGCAGATTTCGTTGACCAGCGTCCTTGGGAGGAAATTCGGTCGTAGTGTCGGCTCCCGTTCCGATGCAGTGTAAGGGCGGAGCTGAAGGACGAGGAGCGCCGAGGCCGGGAGTAGCGACTTCTTGGGCCCTGTGCGCAGGGCCAGGCCCTATCCATGCGATGATCCCCCAGCTTGCTGAAGGATCTGCCGACCTCGCGGTCGCTCTGCCTCGGGGATGGGGGCAAGCCTCGCATCGCCCACGCGCAGGCGGATGACCCAAAAGCCCAGTGGCGAGCTGGATCCCGTAACGAGAAATCAGCTACAGTTCCCGGCTCTACAAATGATGCAGCGAGGAGCAAGAGGATCCGGAAGCTAGTAGCTACAAGCTACTAGCTTCCCGATCCTCTTGCTCCTCGCCGCAGGCTCTGATGCCAAGATCCCGACAGAAGTGCATCGGGCGAGGCGGCTCGCGTCCTCCGTGCGACGGCCTTGATCCAATGGCTTGGCTTTTCCGCAGGAGACCATCCCTTGGTGACCGGGCCTTCAGGGAGTCCTCAAACAGCTGTGGATTGCGGCCTGTGAAGGTGCTGCGGCACAGGCTGCGCCATGCTGCACTTCTCCCAAGCTCAGCTCACGGCTCATCAAAGGAAACAATGGCTGGTAGATGTCCCTGCAGGTCCGACGCGAAAGAGGAGTTTCGCTGGGTTTCTCGTCTGTCTGGACCATTGAGCCTCGCCGGCACCTCTTTCCGAGCCCCGAGAATGCCCAAAATCTCCAGCTCCATCCTCTGTCCTAGCACCGGCCTCCAGCAGAGCGGGAGAGACCGGGACTAGGCGCTTCCCACGACGCTCGAGGCCCGGGCGCTTCTTCCAGCAGAATCACCACCAAGTCGGAGAGCATTTGCAAGAGCCTATAGAAAGGCGTCGTGAATTTCGCCGCACCACAGGCTTTCACGCGTAAGGCTTGCATGCTCAGGCGACGACCCTTGGAAAGCGGCTTGCCTGCTCAGGCGAAACAGCCTCAGCTACGAGAAGCTGCATGAGCTTCTGTGACGACAAAGCGTGTCAGAACCTGGGCCCCCGTGCAGGCGCAAGGCTTTGACACCACCGTCCCCACCCTCCGCCTGCACAGGCAGCCAAGGCAGCCAAGGTCAAGCCAAGCCTTTGTGTTAAGGCTTCGCCGATCAATGCGCGACCAGCGGCAAACAAGAAGACTGAAGTGAATAGGCCTGAGCATCCTTCTGGAACCTCAGCTGCAGTCTGCTTGCAAACAATCTTAGCTTCGTGCTTGCCCCCACCCAGACCGCCCAGGCAAGCACTCGGACAACTCCTTCTTTTGTCGCTGCTGAGAACGGCGGTCCTCCCTCGGCCTCCGTCGAGCCGCCGTTAGCCAATCATCTGGCTCAAAACTTTCTGCCCAATAGCTCCCCAATCGCAGCCCGCCCCCCAGACTCTCCTGAACT